CTGTCAATATTCGGTAGCAACTTAAAACCCTTGTCATGGCGGGAGATGATACAATTATCACGCAATTGGAACAAGATTTCTACTAACATACGAAAGCAAATCACGTCAGACAGCTTCCGCGGCAAAAAGAGTTCATACGTAGATGAGAAAGTTTCGTACTTGAAGGCAGCATCAACTGGCACGTGAGCATTTAGCTGTCCTCCCGGACTACATGTCTGAATTGATCACAGCTACTAGGCTGAGGTGATGCGGCTCTGCGCATTGATGTGATATATGCAGGTCCCCTAGATCACTTTGCAGATGGGTTGGGTGAGTATAGATGATCCCATGCAGCCACCGTGAACGACGCGGGATGTCCGTGGCATGACCTGCGGCGTAGCTCCCCAATGAATCCCGGTGCTTGCTTGGTGCCTGTTACTGGAGAATTTCGTACCCTAGGCGTGACTAGTTCTTTCGAACGCTTCTGACGACGAAGAATTCGGAGGATTATCTTTGGTCCAAGCAGCGCTTGGAGTGAAGAGAAGTCACAGTAAGAAATCGCCTGATGTAGTCCGACGTTGACTGTACAGCGCGCGGGCAATTCCAATACAGAGCATAATTCCCATTTTGTGGAGTAGACCCAAACCTCGTCTTAACTAATCTTGACAAAAGATACTGTTCATGCCCTTGGATTGCCGGCGAGGATCTGTCCAGGGAAGAGGGTGGCGATCTTGGGCTCGATTCGGACGAATTTCTCCTCCCTGCAGCCCTGATCGTGACTAATGTGTATCATACGTATATTCTCCTATTGGACTACGTGCAACACGACTTTCAAGTCAGCGTGTGTGGGGGCGGGGAACAAGTGAGCCTCGTGTCGCGGGATGCTGATATTTATCGTCATATCTTCGAAGCCGTGAAAGGCAGTCCTTTCCGTAGAAACTAAGATTGTTAGCCGAGTTTGTCCCAATCTATCCATCGATGATTCTGACCCCCAAGCTGGGAGGTTGACGCCGAGATTGCCCAGTTCTCGCATTGCGGCATTGGGGGCCGTGCAGCTTAGAGACTTGCATCTTGCACGCAATATTCGATCTGGCCATGGGGATTTCCATCACTCCATCACGCTGCATATATCGCGGGAGACATCAGCGTTTCGGAAGATTTGATATTCAGACGGCGGCAAGCGCTCATGCCGTAACGTAACCGTGGCCATGACCGCTGGCAAACACTCAGTGAAAAGCAAAAATAGGGGCAGGATGAGGACTTCAGCCTATGAGACTACTAATTCGAAAAGCCTCAGGTCAAACTTAAGCGGCTCAGGGATGAGACAGGCATGCGTATACCACGTCCAGCGAGCACTGAGCCTCATAGCAGTATTTACAAAGGCTGCATGCATACCCGTGAGACATCGTGCATGCTGGGAGATGCAGGGTGGCTTGCCATGGCCACCACTTCGTCTTGAGTAGCAGAACATGTCAATACACGTCCAAAAAGATGCTGACCTGGCTTCCAGTGGCTAGTGGCGCTGGCATGATTGTGTCCAGGTGGTCAGAGAAGTTCTGTCCATGAATGCATTGTTGGCCGGGAATAGCATCCCCTACGACATCGCATGTGATATCGACCAGCCTGTAAGACCACATTAGGCCCCCCTGCAGGTACCCTTGAGAGCTCAGGCCTTGCACTGAGCGGCGGTCAATGCATTGCTGACGAATAGGAGAGGCTTCACTGAACAATCAGCCCTGAACCCTCAAGCGCGATTGTGGATAATTGGTGCTGTGCACCCCAAACATGAGCAGACAAGATCTCATGTGATCAGCTAATTTATTCTTCGGGCATGGATATGGCGAAGACTTTGCCATTTCGAGTAAACCGGGTGATGGGTGCTGCATCCGGGCTTTTGTGGTCCCATGTTTATGTCCATGTCCATGTCAAAAAGACGACCCAGCAGGTACGGTAGGCTGCTGGGGTTTGTCGAAAGCTGGGGAAAAATGGGCTGGCGTGGGGGTTGACGATCGTTGATCATTTCCAGGCTACCGGCGGCCGGAACAAGAACTATCGGGTTGTGTGGTCTAGGCGATGCACTTCGACGGCCAAGCCATGAGATAATCATTAGTAGTCGATGGGATTGCAGTCGGCAGTAAATTGCCGACGCGAGTTTATTACGAGTTTCAACAAGCTTCTGACCTTCCCGATACCGCATTGGCGAGATGGAACAACGGATTATCACATACCATAAGCTTTTGGCTTATTATAGTTGGTGGAGATCCGATTGAAAAGCAATGCCGGAAAGGGCAAGTGCGCGCGAGTCAGCAAATATTGAATCCGATCTTGTGACCTGTCGATGGTTTGATGACAAAATGTCCGTTATGTGATGTCCATGCAATGTTTCCGTGGAAAGTTTGGTAAAGCAATGAGGGAGCCGGGCGCAGCTCAGAGACCCAGCAAAACGTGGAGACAGGGGGAGCTAACACATGCACATGGCCTCCGTCACGCGATCAGGAGCCATGTACTGTAGTGTTCTGGGCATTCCTCCGTTGTGTTGTGTTATTGTTCGTCCGGCGCATAGGTATACAGGTGTATCCCTATCGTGACTTTTCAGTCGCCAAACCTGCTGGTTCTAATGGAAAAGGAAGTTGACCGCGATGGGGATGTGTGGGTGCTGCAAATGCAGCGAGGTCGTATGCAAGCCGTGATGGCCAGATCAATCGACTCGCAGATGCTTTCGCGAGGATATAATGCATATGAAGATGCATCTGGAGGTGCAATCCAAGGGAAATGGTCAATTGGGGACGTAGTGATTACCAACGCCAAGAACCTAACATCAATGCGACTCCGGTCTAGCTGGCGAGACGGCGGATTATTTTTGTCACCTTTCAGCGATCGATAATAGCATGTTCACTGTTTTTTATTGTTTTCTTATTATTTTAAATCAGGTGCTTGACCAGCCCCCCGAGTCTCACTGACGACGCGTGTTGTTGCTTGAAAGTAAATGACAATGACATGATTTCATAAAGACGTAGTGGATATTGTGTCTATTACCTGCGTTAAAGCTACACCCAAAACAATGTATCATGGAGAGCATGACCTCAAAGTCATTCGGCTACGTGCATCATTGCTTCGCGGAAAATCAAGACGTTCCAATTACGATAAATATACGGATGAAAGCATGTGTTGCAAGCAGATAGGTCACTTGTTTTCCCATGATTTTACCTCTATTACCCCGCAAGCACCGAGCTGACGGATTGCGGGGCATCATTCGCAGAGGTCTGGGGAGTATCATCAACAGTGGATCATCAGATGCTGAAGTCAACGTTTGTGGTGACCTGGCGTAGTTGCGTGCTGATACAGCCATCAGGCAAGAGGGGTCTAATCTTGATTCGAATGGGTATTGCGTGGTCATTCTCGGAGTGGCAGTGGCGAATATCTGACCACCATGACATCTAGTGCCGCGAGCTCGTACCTGGAGGCCTTGCAATATTCGATAGTATCGTTCGTCCAACAACGTACAGGATCTTTCACGACACATAGATGCTACTGTCGGATGCCAGAAAAGTCAAAGAGAATTTGTAAAGCAAAACATAGCATAGTATCATCTCGCAAAGTACGCCAACATGACGTAGCATAGAACTGGGAGCATGGTGATATCACGCGTGGCCTGACTCAGAAGTAGTTATCGTGCACAGGGGGCACATTGAGACGCACACCGCCTTGATGACATGATTCTTCTGCACAGCCTCCTTGCTACCAACAAGATGGGAGTTCATTTAATAGGCGAGGCTTGTCAGAGCCCGAGCATAGTGCCACAAACAGGTCTCGGCCACCAATGTGGGCGTGTCAACCCGAGGTATGGGGCAATCTTATACAATATATCACCTCATGTGCTGTCAATGTATCCGCATGACCGCCTGCGGACTATTTGGTTCGTCTCGCCTCAGTGGACGGTCTGCCAAGATGTGAAAGCTGAAAGCATCTCCTACTGTAGCACGAGAGATCTCCGAAAGAGGAAAGCGGCTATAGCGCGGGCCCGAGCTTTCAGTTCGAACCCTCGGAGTGTTCTCTGTGCGCCTTACCTGGCAAGCCTGGTGCTTTAACACAAACGATAAGCTCCGATCCTCGAACGCGCAGGGAGTTTACAAGTCTGCCATCGGTTAGAATGGTCTCATCTTGGCTAGCCTTGCCGGTATGAAGTACTTTGGACTGGTACCACCAGTGGTCTCCAGCTTGAGGCTAGCCCCCACGTCCACCATCCCAGCTAAAATATACCCTGCAGCTTGGCGCGTTGGGGGCGTCAGAGCTGCATCTGCAATCCTTCCTTCGTACTGCATCGTTCTCTGACAGCCCGATACGTACGGAGTACCGTTCATAATCCAACACACCAATTGATCGATAAGGTGGTTTCGATACTCTCCCTTGCGGTACATCAGCCAAACCATGTGTTGCCCTTTTTCTTTCAAGGGTACTCCGTGGTACCCCCCTGCATTCTGCAACCAAGTTGTCCGCAAATCGGTCTTGCTGAGTCGTCAAAATGTCATCGTCCATCCCGACTGCCGCCTCGAGGTTGGCTGATGCTGTGAGCTTCCTTAAAGCGCCACCGCTCTAGAATGATGGGCCATGTCAGGTCGGGTGGAAAAGAAACTTGGTCCCACATGTCCAGATATACTAGCATTCACCTCTAGTTCTCACAAGTGTGGCGAGTACATAAAGTAAGCATCTGCCGCGACTCTTCCTTCTGGTATCAAAGCTCTCTCTATTTCCTTGATACCATCTCAAAGGCCATCGATTATATCACCTTCATACTACACAAGCCTCAGGCTATCTGTGTTTTTCGCTGGCCCCAGTACATTGTCTCAGCGTCGAGACGAACATTCAGCCACATACCTTGTGAACTAGAAGCATCATTATAGTGTCGTCATTCGTCATACGATCTAAGCTCGAGTGCACCTTTCCGAACGCAAAGCACTTTATTCAGCTCGGCAGCCACAACCAAGTCCACATCCGTGTAAACAGAGCCCATTCCTCTGAAGATGGCACCTCATTTTGATGCACCATCCCCAGCGGTCAGCTACTCCAGCTTCTCTGAAAGGATACCATCCAACCTGCGCCCGCTTGTTTCTTCTTCTCTAAGATCAGGATCTGCAGAGTCTCAAACGTCTCTCAGTAGCTCGTTTGATGATAGTTCGCTAGAGGACGTCTACGCAATGGCCCGCCCGCTTGTCCCCGGCGTCTACGTTCCTACTGTCTGCTTCTTTGACCCTGAGACTGAGGACGTGGACACGAAAAGCATAGCTCAACATGCTGTACGACTTGCTCAGGCAGGTGTTACAGGCCTAGCCACGCAAGGCTCAAACGGAGAGGCTGTTCATCTGACTCGTGATGAGCGCTGCCTTGTGACCCAGACCACCAGGAATGCACTCAACGACGCCGGATTTAGACATATTCCAATCATCGTCGGCTGTGGCGCTCAAAGCACGCGTGAGGCCATTCAACTTTGTAGAGACGCTTCCAAGAGTGGCGGTGATTATGCACTCGTACTTCCTCCAGCATACTACGCATCACTGTTTGCACCATCGTCGAAAACAATACTGGATTTCTTTACCGCCGTCGCAGACTCATCTCCGATACCGCTCATAATCTACAACTTCCCAGGAGCAGTCAACGGCATGGACTTGTCATCTGACCTCATCGTCAAGCTGTCCCAACATCAGAACATTGTCGGCGTCAAGCTAACCTGTGGAAACACTGGAAAGCTTAACCGCGTAGCCGCCGCTACACGAAAGCTGACAAAGAACTACGACCCAAAGAGACCAGAATTTCTTGTTTTGGCTGGATCCGCCGACTTTTCCATCCAGTCACTCGCCGTCGGCGGGCATGGCATTCTTGCCGGCTTAGCAAACATTGCGCCCAAGGCTTGCTTGAAGACAATCGAGCTGTACGGAGCAGGCAAGTATGATGACGCACAAGAGATGCAAGACATCGTCTCACAGGGTGACTGGGTAGCCATTCAGAGCGGAGTGATTGGTGTCAAGTCGGGTCTCCAATCTTGGTTGGGGTACGGAGGTTACGCGAGAAGCCCTTTGCCCAAGCCAACTGCCGAGCAAGCCAACAACTGGAAAGAAGGATTCAGGGAATTGTGGTCGCTTGAGAAAGCGTTGTGAGATATTCGTGTATCCGGCTGGTCACTGCTTTCGTTTGCGCCATCGACAAAATTTTGTGATTAATTCAGCACTCTCCACCCGGTATAGTTTGGTGCTCGGCGGACGAAAATGGATTTGGGCGTTTTGAGGAAGCAGTACTGATAGATCAGTATGAATTGCTTTAATTAGAGGCCACCTTTGTATCTTACAAATAATCAACGTTTCTATCTTGGCTCTCCTGTACAATGGAGTAGTGTGCTTTGCGAACTCCTATAGTCAATTGAGTTCTCCATCAGACTCTCGTAGATTCGTCCGCCATGTAACCCCAAAGCGTCGTGAGTGCTCTCACTGAACCTGGCAAATTGATACGTCTTCGACTGAATGCGGCCACAATATTTCAGCACTTCAAAAATTCCACACTTAACATTCGTTAATTCTTTGGTCAAGTATAGTGATGGCAATGGAAAGAAAAGGGTGGCTAGCCCGATCCTGTTTCATGATTGTTGTTTTAGAAAGCGATCTTGTGTTCTCGCTTCGAGTGCTTTAATCAAAAATACAATGTGTGAGAAGAACCATTGAGAAGCCACGAATTGAGTCGTCATGGATAAACTGTTCATACATTGGCTTGGTGTTGAGCATCCCGCTGCCATTTTTCTTGGGCAATTTTTTAGCTTCCAGTAGATTGGTGCCAAGTAAATTCATATCAAATTGAGTATATTTGTATTTTGCGGGTCGTTCATTATGGGGATCCTTTTCCTTCCCGTACCTGCATACAATTGCCGTGGCTAAGATGGCGATCTACATGATCAGTAACCAGTGTACGTGCATTATACACTTATTACAATACACTACTGTAGTGGATAGTCGCTCATTTTTTAGTGCGCTCATAATCGCATGGAATATTTGAGTTTGAAAACGAAACATTGGAGGCGGTGTGTTAGCATGTTATGACATCCTTGGAGATGCGGTTTCCGTTTCCTAAGCATTGTATTCACAAGACCGATCCAAAAAAAATCGTTACTCCAACCAAGCTTGCTGTGCAACGTCAAGACCTCATTTTCTTTGATTTGACTTGAAGGGGGTACTGCTTGATCACAACGTGGCCGTTCCCGGTCCCCATTCAGATGTATGCTTGACTCTTTTTAACCGCCTGCCCATGCGGCTTTCCGCTGTTTGTACCCAAAAGAAAACATGGCTTCGGGCTGCCTTACATACAAGTTTGCTGCAGATGAATTTCTGATCGCCGACATACGAATACACTGGGGAAAAAAAGTCCTGCGTAATATTCGTAGTACAAATCCATCCAAGCCCTGTCGCCTAGATCGTTTTGTGATGATTGTCAGATGCCCGCCAGATTAGAACAGTTCGTGTCTGCTGGATAAATCTGAGCATACTCTCGTACAACCTGTCCTGGAAACTGCTGTTATTTGCAAACCTGCTCTAAGTGACCTTTTAGTGACTGCTCATGATTCACGCGTCAATACCATTCCGCGACAATATCAGGGCAATCAGATGCTGATAGAACTTACCACATCAAACATGATGAATCACAAGCGATTGTCATTTGATATCATAGTCATTTGAAAAAAGAAGACCGGCCTTTTGTCTGTGGTGCTTTCCCTGTCTCAGAATCACACGGCATTGAGTAGTGGTGGACCAAAATATTTACCAACATAAAACTCGGCTTGCCACCGGAGTGTACCAAGGAGTTCCAACCCAAAGATTTCCCGATTATTAATTTTTTAGCCAAGAAACACATCTTATTATTGATACACCGAATATAATGTTATTTCTCAAGCAAATGTCATGCGTGGCACTTGCCTCGCTGTCTACTTTTACTTATGGACAAAATCGCATACCGATAACAGGCCTCAGCACATCTATCTTGGGCGATGGCGAGAGACCTCCTAGACTGAATATCAATCAAATGCAGGCCGTTGGGGGCCCTCAATGGTATATAATACTTGGTTTGCACTACTTTTAATCACTGAGATTTCGATAGGGATTTATACATTCTCGGGCTTCATCAACTGCAGGTGTTAGATCAAAACAACCCCGAGTCTTTTTTTCAGATTGCAGGTCCTGTGGCACGTCTAAGGATCTTAAGCGAAATTACTTATATCGTCACAGGGATACATGGGCGGCCCTATATACCTTACAATGGTGTTGGAAAGGGAACGAATGCTCCGGATGTCGGATATTGTTTTCACAATGTGTGTTCATGTGAGCACCCATCAGTCGCTCACAGTCCTATCACGGTAATCCTTCCAGAGAAGCAGTTTTAAGCTGACTACATAAAGGAAATACCGTTTATTACGTGGCATAGGCCATATCTTGTCTTGTATGAAGTAAGAGCAGCCCTTGTCGCTCTCTACTTAGCGACTAACAACACTCCAGCAAACCCTTGGGCGCCTAATACAGAATATATCCCTTCAATATACAGGAGATGATGCTGTTTCGTATCGATCGGCTGCGCAAGACTTCAGGATTCCCTACTGGGATTGGGCGGTTGATTCACACCTGCCGCCTTCGACAACATGGCCTGAAATCACGATTAGTACACCCACCGGCAAAGAGAGAATGGCCAACCCTCTCTATAGCTTTTCGTGGCCTGATTATCCGCTTAATCACGAATCTGACTGGTTTCCGACCTCAGATGATCCTATTTTCTGGAATTTTACTGGTTCACAAAGACAACTCGACGACGACGGGACTCTGTTGCAGTTAAACACATCCGCCTTAACGGACAAAGTGGCAAGTCTTCACACGGAATCTGATTGGTTTCAATTACATTACTGATCTGCGCCAAACTAGTATAGTGTCTTGTCGAAAACCAAGGACTTCGATTCCATGGCATCAACAAATAACCGCGGCCCCAGTCTGGAGGACCCGCATAATGACATCCATGTCAATACGGGAAGATTTATGCAGAATCCGGTATACTCGGCTTTCGACCCACTCTTGTATGTCTAGTCACGCCTGCCTCATGATCTTGTCAGCCGCAACATACTCATCTTTCCTAGCTGGCTTCACCACGCCAACGTAGACCGCTTCTTCGCTCTCTGGCAAGCGATCAATCACAACACAACTTACCAAACGCAACCGGCAAATATCACTTCTGGAACTTTCACGCAGGCGAAGAACACATGGATGACAGCCGACAGCCCCTTGACACCATTCTACCAAGGCGACGGACAAGACATGCACACCGGCAGAAGCATAGCATCTATCAAGACCTTTGGCTACACGTACCCGGAGATTAACGACTGGTCCATGAGCCCCGAACACACACGACAGCTCGTCATCCGACAAGTCAACCAGATGTATGGACCGTACAAGATAGAAATAAAGCCGGGAAGAACTACAGCAATACCCTACCGCCATCTGCAACGTCAACGCAGAGAGCGTGACGCACTGAACGCAGAGAGACAGTACTACGTGCAAATAGGAGTGGACCGGTCCGAACTAGATCTTCCATGCACCATCAAAGTCATGCTGGGACCAGATATCCTCGCAGGGACTGTGAATATCATGGCGATGCCTGCTATAGGCCGCACAAACTCCGAGATCCAGCTCAACCGGGCGATCAAGCAGCTGACTCAGTGCGTTGAGGATAAAACAGTAGTGCCATTGCTAGAGAGCAAGTTCAGGCTTGAAATAAGAAAGGTAAAATACAACCCAGATCTTGTCGTGGGTGCTGATTGAATTTGTCCACAGCTAATCTTTCACAGTTTGATGGGGCGGTGATCCCGCTTGAGACGGTGCCGAGCCTCGCGGCTGATGTTCAAAGCGTCGATGTTCAAATCCCGGAAACCGACGATGAACTTCCGGACTACGGTGCTTTTATAACCAGCTATCCAAAGATTGGGAGGCCTTCACATGGTTACGCTCCGTCTGGAAAGGGGGAGAATACCAGCTCAAGGTTGAGTTACTTTAGGAAAACATGGAATGAAATTCTGGAAATGATAAGGTGGTAAAATGAAGGAGGGACGTTTTGGACTGTCATTAAAAAAGAAAACAAAAAAAAAAGAACTCGTAATCTAAGTTGACATGCTCTTCGCGATGACGCCTTGGATATCGTTACACAAGTGTAAAGATTGTGAAGTAATATAATGGGATCGTCGCCCGTCCCTGAATTATATCGATCATCAACGGAGAGCATAATATAAACAACACTTACCGCACTACCGTGATTAATACGGCTTGTAAGGTTGGTGGTGCTAATGTACGAACTCAAATACGCCACTAATCTACGTTGAGACATGCGTTGATTCTAAAATGATGCCCCGTGCACTTGCATTGAATTGCATCGATCACATTGATACGATCTGTAGTGACTACATTGCATCAAGCGCGCAACGGCCAATCTTTCAACGACACTGTCGTGTGATCATGCACATGACGCGTGGGTTTGTCAAGTCACACCTCGAAAATTACACTAGCGAATAATCGAGCTTGTCTGTAATATTTTTTCTTTCGTTCTTTTTGATCTCCAAAGAAACTAAATACTACTACTAGAAGCTGCGCTGAACATGCAATACTTTCAATGTGTGCCAATTGTTGCTTTGGGAGGAAAGAATGGATTTAGACCATTGATTATGTAGTCTAAGGGAAAATTTGCTACAGGAATTCGGTAATAAGAGATTAACCCTGTGCCTCTCTAGAAAAAGCTCACCCCACTCGTACAACGATCTCGCTCATCACCCCGAAGTCCAGACTAAGGAATCCCAAAAACTTGGAACAAGCTGCCCATGAACACCAAGCAATGCAGTTTCGTTACGGCACGCAGCTCAGAAGACGGTAGGCTGAGGTAGGGCGCCAACATCATACCAGTCGGGGTCGTTGTAGTCGCCATCGTCACCGTAGCCGTTACCACCGTCGTATCCATTGTCGCCACCAACGAAGGTAGGATCGTTGCCACCGAATGAAGGAGTAGGGTCAGAGCCGTAACCACCGTTGCTACCCTTGCCGCCGCTGTAGCTGGGATCATAGCCGCCATCGTAGCCACCATCACCACCCTTGCCGCCGCCGTAGCTGGGATCATAGCCACCATCGTAGCCACCGTTGCCTCCCTTACCACCGCCGTAGCTAGGGTCGGAACCACCGTCGTAGCCACCGCCACCTCCCTTACCACCGCCGTAGCTAGGGTCGGAACCGCCATCGTAGCCACCGCCACCTCCCTTACCACCGCCGTAGCTAGGGTCGGAACCGCCATCGTAGCCACCGTTGCCTCCCTTACCACCGCCGTAGCTAGGGTCGGAACCACCGTCGTAGCCACCACCACCTCCCTTACCACCGCCGTAGCTAGGGTCGGAACCACCATCGTAGCCACCATCACCACCCTTGCCGCCGCCGTAGCTGGGATCATAGCCACCATCGTAGCCACTGTTGCCTCCCTTACCACCGCCGTAGCTAGGGTCGGAACCGCCATCGTAGCCACCGCCACCTCCCTTACCACCGCCGTAGCTTGGGTCAGAGCTGCCGTACCCTCCTTCATCACCACTTCCGTGGCCAGAGCCAGAACCGGAGCCGGAAGCGTCCTTGCCACCACTGTAGCCAGAGCCACCACTCTCACCACCTCCGTGGCCACTACCGCTACCACCACTTCCACCGTAGCCTCCATCACCACTGCTTCCGTGGCCAGAGCCAGAGCCAGAGCCGTAGTTGCCGGTGCCGCTCTCGCCACCCCCGTAGCCGTCGGAGCCACCGCTGCCGTAGCTGCCGGTCTCCACGGGATACGCACTGCCCGAACCGGAGCCATCAGATCCGTAGCCTCCAGTGGCGGTAGGGTAGACAGAGACGCATCTTTTCTTGTGGATACGGGCGGACATGGCCAGACCCGGGACCAGGAGGGCAAGGGTTGCGCTGGTAAGCTTCATCGTGGCTGATGTTTGAAGGGTTTTCTCTTTGGGAAAAGAAAAATATAAAATCGAAAGGAAGTAGAATGAGGGTTGTATGCCTGTGAAGAAAGGTATTAAAAAAAGGTATTAGGAGATCCGCGTGCTTGATTTGGCTCCAGCACAGTTCTTTGATACTACTACTACAGGCGAGTCCGAGTCTGTTAGGGTGGGATACAAACGAGTGTAGAGTCGACTGGGGATGGGAAGAGATGAAAATAGTGGGAGTGAAGGAATCGCGACCAGACTCTTATAGGGTTGCTCGACGGGGAGGATTGTTTGGGCGTCAAGTTACGAGACATGCCTTTTCCTCCCCCCTCTCTTTCGGCTTGCTGCCCCCCGTTCCGCAGCTGGAGCCTCATCGAAACTTTGAAAACTGTGAGCAGAATTAAGCTTCTGCGGCAGGAAACAGCCTGCCAGTGGAAATTACTATGTCATGTAAGGTACGGGTCGCCCTCATCAGCTACCCGGGGTGGGAAGTTAAAAGTAAATGGCTTGATATGATGGTGCTAAATCTTAAAAACCGCACTCGTAGAAAATACGCTTTGAGACACCTTCTCCTTATTACCTCAAGGCCCTTTCTCTGGAAGGAAAACTCCTGGCATGTTTTGGTTGTGCCTGGATCTGTGACAACGGAGGATTATGAGATTTCGCTGCTCAGCTACGATCACTAAGCAGCTTGCAGTAGCAGATCCGCCTCGTTTCACCACCACGTTGTCTGAGGTTCAAACAGCACTTGAGATGCAGCTGGAAAGCAAGAAACCACGACTCGCTGTTCAGTGACCATATCGTACGGAACTTCTTGGATGGGATGCTGTCTTGACTGAAAATGAGATGCAAACACTTTGTTGTGATGTCGATCTTTGTTTGCTGCGCACGCGACGATCAGTCGCAGTTGCCCCTTTCTCTGTAGTTCCCACACTTACGGGCTTAAGCTCATGCATCCGCCATGATTGCTTTTTCCGCACCCGGCAGAACTCATGCAGAAATCTCTTTTCAGCCGCCCGCCTCAAGAAAAATGCTGTCCTGGCCTATTGGATGCAATCTTTATGAACCTTATTTCTTAATTGGACAATCCTCCTTTCGGCTCGTCTCTGCGGAATAAGCTCTTATAGTGAGTTCGTTGGGTCAAGTCTCATTACGGAGTTGGGGCATATGTAAACAAGATCAGTCTTATTTCCCCACACCGACCAGCCCGAAGCGAGGAAAGCAGGTTGATAGTAACATCCATCAATTCGTTGCCTACATGTATCCAAACATAACTACGAAAACAATGGGCACGCGACTCATGCATGCCGAAGAAAATCAACATTCAAGCCACAACGTGCGGCATGCCCCAATCCTATCTCCCTCCATTGAATCGAATTTGACCACAGGGGACGGCCCCTTAGCATTTCATACCCGTAGTGTATTCCTGCTCCCAATCAGTACTGGGTCATCCAAATTAGAACCGCGGCAAACTGCCGGAAACGCAGAGATGCGAGTCTGGCTCATTTGTATGACTATTCCACAGTTCACGCCATGTTGACGAAGGAGCCCGCCATCCTTCTCGTTGCCTCAGTATCGGTTTGGTTTACTTTCCGAGGCCAAGCAACACCAGGTTGGCGACATTCATGATTGCGATGACCAACCAGATAAGGACTGCCAAGACGCAGACCCACCAGTCATTGCCCATTTCGACGAAATCACCGAGCCCAGCAATGCGGTCACTTCCGCCTTCCTCATCACGATTGTCAACCCGTCCGCCCGGAACGCCGAAACTGTCATCGCTACCCTCCTTGTAGAATCTGGCGAGACCAGGCTGAACCGTCATGTACTTGTTGAAGCACGTGTACCAGATCAATGGCGCGGAAACGAATGGCAGGACGACGGAGAGAGCGACCTGACTGCCATTCAGCGCGGCGCTCAGCTTTTCACGGCCAGCAGCTCCAGCGATGATGATGGAAGGCGTAATACTGATGCTACGCGTGATCAGACGACGGAGCCAAGGCTTCATCTGCCACTTCAGAGCACCTTCGCACACCATTTGACCGGAGATAGTACAAACAATGCCGGCCGAGACGCCAGAAAATAACAAAGCCAAAGCAAAAACAGTACCCGCAGCAGTACCGAGGCTTGATGTCAGCAGGCTATGAATTCCAAAGATATCAGCATCGAGTGCATCTGGATTCTCGTACAAACTCGATCCCGCAACAATTAGGATTGCGCTGTTGACGAAGAGGGCAAACGTAAAGAGTGAGATGACAAGTTCGGCATATGAGTACTTGAGACAGTGCTTGATAGCCTTGATTGAAGGCACGTAGAATACCTTCTCATTCGACTTGCCATCGCTCAGACTGTCGGCGGCCGATGGTGACTCAGCGGGCATGAGACCATTACAAGTGTCGTACTCCATGAGACGGGGTTGACAAAGACCAGATCCAAGATAGAGAGAATGCGGCATGACCGTGGCTCCGAGGATACCGCAGGCTTGGTAAAGACCCTCACCCTGAATAACAGCACTATTCGGCAGATAGCCCTTGAAAACGTGCCCCACGGATGTGTTCTCAATGTGCGATAACTCGATGCAGAAGCAGACAACAACTGCAAGAACAAGCAGACCGACAAATATCTCAAACACGCGGAGACCCTTCATAGAGCCCTGAGGGCGGTAGAAGAAGAGCAAGAACATGACATCCAGGATCGAAAGGGCGCAGCCGGCTACCAAAGGGAGCTGTGGAATGAGGAGGTTCAGAGCGATGGCCGTACCGATAACCTCGGCAATGTCCGTAGCGATGATGGCGATCTCTGCCATGCCGTATAGAAAGTAGTTCAACCATGGTGGTAAGAATGCTCGATTGGCCTCAGCCAGGTTTAGTCCCGTGACTGTTCCCAATTTAGTAGACAAGCTCTGTAACAAAATGGCAAATAAGTTGCTCATGAAAACAACAAAGAGCAGCCGGAACTCATATGAAGCTCCAGCCGCGATAGCGGTGGAATAATTTCCAGGGTCAACTGTAGAACACGGTTAGTCATCAATGCTGTTTAGGTTCATAATTGCCCTGGAACGATGCAAAGCCGTGCAGCGTGGGCAAGCACTCACTGTACGCCACCGACACCATAAAGCCGGGTCCAACGAATTTCCCAAAGGTGAGGAAAACTCGCCAGACCCGCGCGAGAGGACTCCCTCCATCCTTCGCAACGAACGACGCAGCGCCGCCGCCACCTTGACGGAGGTCGCCTTGAGACGCCTGGGTCTTTTCGTTGATCCCAGGCGACTGACCAGTAGCACTTTCACCATGCACCACGGCCAGATTTGGCTGCATCGCAGCTTTGTCACGAACTGGCTCCGTAGTCGGCGGGTCGAGCTTCGTGATGGCCTGACTACCATCCTCATCCGCATCCCCATCACCTGCAGAGCGCCGAGTTCGGGCATTGGCGATGCCGTTCAGGTCCTGGTTGGTGGTGAGATCGTTGGAGAGAGTATTGGGGCTCTGGTTGAGGGCGCCATCGCCCTCGTAAGGCTCATCGGTTCTGGACGTCTTGTTCATGATGTCTTCGCGGGTGACACGTTTTTTGGTCTGGACTGCTCACGTGGCTGTGGATTCCAACGGTTGGGACCCTCCCTTCCCAAATTCGATATGGTGACGTTGACCCTGGCGATGTCCCTGCAGGAACAAAGAATATAGCAAAGTCACACAACAATGCCCTTTGACGTAGTCGTGTAGAGAGGGTAATAGTTAAGAATCGATCAGGATCACAAGCTGAGTACGTATGTTGTCTCGTGACTCCAGCCGACGCAAAAAGCAAACCCGGGGTACAGACCGACAAATCTAGATTCTCTTTCACGTCTCTAGCTCGAATGTTTTTAGCGGGCTGTCGTCAGCGTCTTTAATGCTTGGCTCCAGGGGTCCGACTGCAATTTCCAATTTCGAGCGTACCCTTCAGGACTCGGCCAGTTGTTCAGAGTCGTTTGGGATGCGATTGCTGAACTAAGATATAGAAGGATACCTGAGAGGACGAAAGGGACATGAATGAAAACCATCCGTTCCCCGGAATTTCGGCTGTCATGCACCTCATCTGTACTTTGTCGAGACTATTCCGCAACAAGCGCGGAAGCCAGAGATAAACAGCCCCAGCCCCTGGAGCGGAGCGCATCAAAGGGCCAAACGGGTGCTTTGCCTGCTAATTCCCCACCCGGCCATGGCCCCCCGATTGATCTGCCATTTACATACTGCAGGTGCAGAATCGTCGGGTACTCCAAGACGGTTTATCCCGGTGTATGACGGCATCTAAACGGCGGCATGTATTCGTCTTGCATCTGGCGAGCAGAGACTGGCACGTCTGGACCGAGGGAATGAAAATACATGTTTTCGTGTCGCTGTAATGATACGACGGGGCGTGACACTATGGTGTACCGTCGATAATGAGCTAATCTTTTGCTTCAATTGTCTGATCATTCTCAGATCAGACGAGCAAATTGACACGGCACGATTGCCGATGCACTATGTAGAGGATCGGAGAGATCATACAGTCAATTTGTCATTACATAACCGTAGTTCTATCACTAGCGCGCAGACACAGAACCCAGGAAGCCTGATTGAGTGGAGAGAATATTCATGTTAGAAATGGACTATAATACACCCAAAACTTATAATTGCAACGATGCAATGATCGTACAACGTTCCTTTGGTCCTTCGAGACGCCTTTCTCGGCCCGTTATTCCAAATAATGTATTGACTTAAGCCTACACCATTGGTTTTTGTGTACGACTACTACGAGTATAAACCACCATCCAAGTCATCCATCCAGGCTGCCTCGACGCCCAACTTCCTAGTCTGGAAGAAACAACCGAGAAGATGGTTCCCAATAGAAACAACTGGCCGCAGTGTACACATCCTCAGAACAGCCATTGCTACAGCGCCCTCCCGGGACCCATGTACTTACGCATATCATAGCACCCACGAACCGTTCATGATCATGTACCCGCTGTCAACAAGACATAGCCTCACCCGATCCTACCGTGTCCTTGAGTGCAAGTCTCACTGTCACAGTATGTAAGGCCGTTGAAACATATAAATATGAATATATATATATAATCAGTCGGGCAACCGGCACGTGCGGAAAGAAAGAGAAAGAGCTCAAATGAACTCACGCCTTTGGTTTCCGGCAAAAGGCAGCCCCAAGAACTAGTCCACGGCCGTCTCTTCCAAAATTAAACCGATCAGCAAAGTGAGAATCATAATTGGGGCCAGACGTGCTTGATATCAATCTTGACCTTCCCAGGCGCACGTTGCCCGCCACCTGCTTGCTACCCGACTCTAGACGGTATATATATATATATGTATATATGTATGTGGCTCTGGCCAGCTAAGTTGGCCAGAACTCGACGACAAGTCTGTGAGATATGCAGCATCGAAACATGTATTTTTGTATAGCGCCACATGGAAACTACCAACGGACTCTTCCCTTGAAACTGTTTCCCTCGAATGCGTATCATCCAAGAAATATGGGGAACACGGCGACACCTGACCGTGAATACTACATAGGCCGTGCCTGACACGCCGTATCATGGTGTACAGAGCCCTAAAACCCGACAGGATATCGTCTTAGGTTACAGCAATCTGTGCTAAGCAGATGCTAGTTTCATACTTACCACCTACTACAAAGAAAAAAGGAAGGGAATCCGTCGTATGGCTATCAAATCATTCGGATTTTTTGTTTCTTGCCGTGGACATCAAGGTACATCTTCTCAAAAAATCACGCCGCCGAACACGCCGAGAACGCCTCCTCTCCACATTGTCACCGAGATCACTTAAGAAGACACGCACACACAAACGCAGAGAGGATTACTTTTCCAAGTGTTGAACTTGCACTCCATTTTCCCATGTGCCGCTTTCCGTCTCTCTCTCTCTCTCTCTCTCTCTATATATATCTTTCTCTTTCCACCAAAAAGCTAAGTACACTGACCTTAGAAAACAATAAAAGGCATAAAAAAACAACCACCAATAGGACCAGTGGGACCGAAAGACAAGCTTTTGGGTCAAGAACTAGCCTGTTCTCTCTCTCTCTCTCTGTAAAGGAACCAAGAAAAAAGATGTAAATGCGACAAAGCAAGAACACCGTAGAACGCCTCGCCAATGGATGTCGTTGAGCACACCGTGTCTCGTTTCTCCTCCCTTCCCCGTGCCCCCTTCGGTCCGTGAGGACTACCTATGTCTCCAGTGATATGGCTTTTCCCATGATGGACATGTCATCTGCATGTCGGTAGTTCCACGTAAAACCCAGGCCCGCCGCCGCCTATCTCTACCCCTCGTATCCCCTCCCTCACACAACCGGTTTATCCCCCTTGATTCTCTACCTGCTCTTCTTGGCCTCGCGGTCCCTCTTGGCATAAATGCCGGCCGTAAAAGGGTTCTCATAAGCCAGCGCGACCTTGTAAACCAACCAAACCCAAGCCGTGATCAGCAGGCCCGCCGGTTTTCCGTACAAGATAGCCGTGCCCAGGAAACTGCACGTGGAGCCCCAGTACATGGGGGCCTCGGTGACGTTGAAGGGGAAGCCGGTGACCATGTGGTCCATGAGGATGCCGAAGTAGTCGCCGAGGAAGGTGCCGGTGATGCCGAGAGCCCAGGTGGAGGAGACGACGAGGATGTTGCCCGAGGCGATGAGGGCGTAGGCAAGCCACTTGGCCTCGGGGGCCTCGAGGGCCGGGTACGAGGGCTGGCTGCGCAGGGCTCGCTCGTATAGGAAGTCGCGGACGAGGCCCAGGGAGAAGATGGTCGCGGCGAGGAAGTAGCAGGCGGCCTGGCGGTTGTTGTTGAAGATGCGGGATAGGAAGTGCGTGCGGTACTCGCGGCGGGCGACGATGCTGTTTGGGAGGAAGAGAGAATATGTGAGCAGTGGGTTCGTTCTCGTGGGGGGTGGGGAGTTTGTTTGTTTCCGTTTCCTTTTGTCAAGGTGTCTAGAACATGGACTGCGCTCCTGCAGTAACCAGGACAGGTGTCGAGGTACGCCCGGAGCTATAGGCTATAGGACGTGCGTAATTGAGATGGGAATATAGCTTACTTCCAGAAGGTAGGGTTGAATGCAATAGCAGCAGCGGAAACTAACAGGTCATGTCAGTATGTGTTCTTGCAAGCCTGGCTTCTCCCTCGTGTAAGTCGGTTGGAGTGGGTATTCACTTACTGTACAAGCTCTGCTGGCTGAAATCGACCAGCTTGCTAGGCTCAAATGCTAAGGGTGCCATGGTTGCTGGATGGAAGCCGTCTTGGTCTGTCTGATCGGAACTTGTTCTGGCTCTGTATTTCGAGGTGGGTACAGAGTGTAGTGTATCATAAAAGCTTGTGAAAGTGGGTGGATGATGATATTGAGAAAATAGAGCTCTGGAATTTGGTTCCCCAGGCTATTCTGAAAGCTCCAGTAGCGTCACATTGCTTCCATGCCCCTCGCTTGGGTTGCCCGATTCGTCTGGTCTGGTCTGGTTCGGCACAAAACAGTTCAATTTCTGGGACCTTGAGGGCAGTTGGGAATTTTACGACCTGTGTATGCACACTTTTGCCAATGGTAGTTGCCAGCAGGGGAGTCCGTTGGTCTAGGTTAGCAAACAAAAGCCGTGGTGTTTACAGCACCGCACAGCACCACCTTTTAACCTAGCCTAGTACAAGCCTTGTGCTGCTGACTGACATGTCTGAGTAGGTAATAGATTGATCATATGGAACTCGATACCCGTGGCTGATGTCATACTGCTTGTAAGCACTTTCTTGCACTGCCCAAAAGGCCGAAATCAGCTGCGGAAGGATAGCGAGTGCTGCGTAAAAGTTATCTTGAATTGATCATCCTGATCATGTTGGGGGTTTATTTGTTGGCACAAATCCAAACAAGTTCCCGGGTATTTTTGGATGCCGATAACGCCGGCGCACACACGCACACACGCACTATATGCTCAATCAATCAGTTCCATCCCATCCCATCCCATGCCACAAAACAAAAACAAAAACAAAAACGCCTTTGTTCATTCCCATCATTTCAATGTCTGTCCAGATCTTGCGAGCCGAGAGCGACCCCGGCGGCAGCCCTACTTCCTGGCCCGAGTCTTCTTTGGCTGTGTTGTGGTGTCTTCTTCCTCTTCATCTGCGCCCTTCTTCAAATCCTCCTCGAGGCCCCATTCTTCTTTGTCATACCAGTCCTCGCCGTCGGACATGTCCCGGTTCGGTCCGACGTGCGCCTCGTACTTGGACCATTGAATAACCGTTTTCCGTAATCGTTCAGCTCGCAGCAGACCCTCGTGTAGTCGCTTCGTGCCTCGGCATACCTCTTCCTGCTTCTGGCAATAGGCCTGCAGTAGTCGCCGAAGGTCCTCAGCTTCCTGCTCTGGTATGCTCAAGTCGCGTTCTGGCTTGGATGATTTTGGTGCCAAGAATATGGGATGTATGAACATGTCGTCTAGTCCATCCACAGAGGCTATCGACATGGGGGCGCTTCCTGGTAGGTTGATCTCACTGCCGTTCATTGTTCTTTGCAGTGCGTGGTCATGACTAGACACCCCATTCTGTTCCGCTTTTCTTAGAGCACCGTTGGTCAATGGTTTTTTTGAGCTCGTTTTCGGCTTCTTAATCTCGACTTCGGATGTCCCGCTAGCCTCCTCCATTTTGGAATCACTGTCCACGTGGTCGCCTTCTCGGTTCATGTCCTCTCCTGCGCTGGGTTTCGACTCGTCGTCCGCCGCAGTCTCCTCGTCTATCGTCACATCCGCATCGACCATGGAAGTGTCACCCTCCGTGGGACTCTCCTCGTCTTGCGCCACGCCGTCCTTGTTGGAAACAGAAGTTTCTTCACCGTTCGTGGACGGTTGGCCGTGGGTGCTCGCGGCGGGGGCGGCGTCCAAAAGGAGCATACTAGCATCGGACTTGACAGATGGCTGACCAAGGCTCAGCCCGTTCGGGAGTGCGGGCTCTTGGAAGAAGTGAATGTCGTTGGGTGTCTCCATCATCTCGGTCGGCACCCAGATGTGATCTCCGACGAGTTTTGTGTGCAGGTGCTTGATGTTCCATAGGGCAGTGTTCTCCTTGTACATGATGTCGCGGGCTTGTATTGTCAGATCGACCAGGGTTCTCGAGGTATATGGGCGCGAGAGGGTTGGATGCGAAGGAAGCTCGGTGACAGCAGTGAGTGGTGCCAGAATATCTGTGCGATAAGGAGGGACAGGGTTAGTTCGTGGTCAGAGGTCAAAGGTTGTGGCGCAAGGAGGTAGCAGAGGGCAGACGAACTCTCGAGCCGCACATTTGCGTACGGGTTGAACTGGGCGGCTGTCTCTACGATATCTTGCATGCGCTGCTCGTAGTCTTCGTCGTCGCTCTCGGGTTCGTAGCCCTCGTCGTCTACCAAAGGAGGGTTCCGGCTTATGATTGCGCGTGTGTAGCCGGCATGCTCGACGACCTGTAGAGGGAAGGCGGTTAGCAACACGGCTGCTAGCAGTGAGCGGGCTTCGGCCCCCAGTTATGAACACTTGCCTCTTTGTAAACTTCTGGCCCTGAGCCCGGGGCTAATTGGCCTTCGCGCGCAAAGCGAGCCCTCTTGTTGAGCTTTTGGCCGCGATTGCCTCTGTAGTTGATATCGTCGTCTGAGTCTTCGGATTCTGGTAACAAGACAAAGTGGTCAGTGGGCGAACCAAACAGGTTCATGCCGGGGAGAGGGCCGTGTCTGCTGGAAAGAGAGCGTACCGTATGCTCTCCGCTTCATGGCCTTCTTCATGGCTATTATAGTGTCTGCGAAAAGAGCTTGTTGAGACATGGTGGGCAAACTGCGAGCGTGCCTGCGCCGTCGAGCGTCCTATGGCGAGTCTTGGGGGAGGCCGAGCGTGCTTCCAGCACCGATGTAGGTGAGGTTTTGGGAGATGGTACGTAAGCGTGTCCAGGCGACAAGGCAAGGAATACGCTGCGGTATAGCTCTGGTCGAGGACGGGGTTCGAGTAGAGGTGGTGTCTCGGTCGCAAAGGTGGCTCGCTAGATCGAGGGTAGAAGGGTGAAGGGTGAAGTGTGAATGGTGGGAGGACGGAGTAGCAAAGTGCCGTGGTTCTAAGCAGTCCCTGAAGCTATTGTACGAATGAATTTGTCTAGAATTAGGCTGGGTTGGTAATGTTCACAAACTTGCTCATGATAAAGTCATAAAGAATTGCAGATCGCAACATGCTGTGGTGGTTTGGTGGGAAAGGGAAAAGAAAAAAAAAGAAGACCTTCAGTGCGTAATTGAACTTGGACTTGCACCAGCACCTGCACTTGAAACTTGGGGGGGCAGGCAGATAGAGAGGTGAGCCGATAGATGGGGGAGACAAGACCAAGGCCAATGCAAGACAAGACAAGACAACCTGGAGGCTAAACGTCAACCAGAACCAGGGTTGGTAGAGACAAGGCTGCGCTGCCGCTGTAGTCACCTGCGGTCGCTGTTACTCGCTGTATGGGTGCTCCGTCCAACTTGAAATCCAATCCAATCCAATTCATGGGAATCCCGCGCCTGGCCGATGTCCATTTCCATTAGTTACCGAGTACGGATCCGTACTTATCGACAGGTCAATTTTCATTTGTCCAGGAAGCTTGAGAGCCCCCCCCGGTTTTATTCTTTAAGCTGTCTCCAGCACGCGGCACCTGTACTGATAAGCGCGGCAGCTGCAAGCCTCCCAAGCTCGCTTCACGTTGCGCCGGTAGTCGCGTCACTGCTCCGTAGATAGTGATCAAGTCAGGCTAACTCACAACTCACACCTCACACCTCAGATCCCTGGAAGCGCCAGCCAGCGCTGCTGCGGGGGCCGATCATAGCTCATTTGACGTCTGCGCCCGCACTCGGTGTCTGTGGCTGGGGCGTCACAAACACTTGAACTGTGAGGTCACCAAAATGTCCCCTTCCCCTGTAAAGCCACTCGTCGAACACGGGCCTGTCTGTAATACTCTGGACGGATTACGCCGCGGGACACTCGACGCAGCGAGTAGCTACAGCGAGCAATTACAGCAAATGCAATGACCAGCGACAAGCATGCATGCAGGGGAACAGCAACTTTAATTCATCCTCAAGATACCCAACCATACACCATCATCCGTAGCATAACATCTCATAGCAAAATCTCCAATTCCGAAATATGCCATTTATGGATTGCGTTTCGTTTCACACATAGCTCCCCACCAAAGTGAGCCATCCCATCCCATCCCATCCCCTCCAGTATCTGATCCAACCCCCGGCCAACCGTGGTCCGTCTCTACTGACTACTAATAACCTGAATTGCTTCTCCCCAGTGCTTGCTTGAAAGTCTTGACCAAGTATCCCATCGCTTCCACTACACGGCCAATGTAGTCGCTAAAATTGTACGGTACGCATCGTCCGACAGCTAGAGCCATGGACGACTACCCGGCCGGGAGTCTGGACCACAACCTGCCATTACTGGTAGTGTCAGGTCTCAGCACCGGCCCAACCAAACCACTGCTCACCGATCCCGATCTCAAAGACCAGAGCGTCTTAATCCGCTCAGAGCTCCCTCCTGTCGACAGTCGGGAAGCCAAGGCGATACTACGCTACATCCAGGACGCCGATGCCACCGCCGAACCCTGGAATCCACACGATGCCCCGAGGAAGTACAAGTTCAAGGTCAAGCCTATCGGTAGAGTGCGTCTTCCACTGCTGCGCCCTACCTATTTCGTTGCATCTGACTGTGCCCCCAGGACTTCCTCTTGCCCCCAAGGCGTGCCCCATTGCCCCAAGACTTCGAAACTCCTTTGTCCCCGCCCGTTCTGCACTCGCCATTCTCACCCCTGAGCCCCGGCTCGACACTGTATCCAGACGGCCTGATAGACACACGATGGCTGGGGAAACATCAGGAACTCATACCCAGTGTATGCCTTTGTTTCTACAGTCTGACCTCGGATACCTCATTGGCAACCCTGCACGACAACCAACTGAAAACGGATATCAATGCCCTGAAAAACGCCCTCAGTCGATCGGGGTACAAGTGCCGTCTGGTTGCCGTCATTCTTAGCGATCAAGCTCCCGATTCCATGGGCCCCTTCCAGGAAAGACTCGAGAGCATACGATGGGGAACCGGGCTAGATCCGAAGACGTCTTTGTTCGTTCTGCCTACCCAGCGATCCGAGGCCGAGCTCGAGGGCGCCGTCGACAGCATCCTGACCGCCGTCTTCGTCCAAGCCACCGAATACTACCGCGAACTTGGTCGACGTTCTCGCAAGAAGAAGGGACGGGGCGTCGCCCCTCAGCCAACTATCCCACCCACCACCGGTACCTCGCATACCTTGACCCTGCAAGGCTGGAATCTTCGCTATGACTTCAAGGCTGGCGTCTTTGCCGAGTTCCGACAAGAAATGGACATCGCACTACGTTCCTATGACCAAGCCTACGAGACACTCTTGGGTACCGACGTTCTGGAGACTGTCCCAAGTTGGAGTCCAAGATTCAACGACGGCCGGTTCGTAGCGGACATGCTCGCTATTCGCATTCTAAGGTGCCTGTTGTGGACTGGACAGAGTACCGCAGCCGTGCGAAGATGGCAAGCCCATCGCCAAAGGGTTTCTGATTTCTTGGATCGGAGAGGGAGGGGAACCCAGAACTACGGCTGGCAGGCTTGGGAAGCAAGATGGGCTGAAATCATGGGCAACTTGGTTGAGAAAGCACACTTCACAGAACTCGATGCATCCTCTCAGACACTATTCCGAGCTCCTGAAAAGATCTTGTCGGCGGAGCGGCTGCAGCCGTGGGAGCTACTGCATCACCCCGGATACTGGTATCGGACTGCTGCTCGGCACGCACTCGACCGGAGGAAACAGGCGCAGGCAATACCGGAGGACTCGCGCAAACCTCCCAGCTCGTCCGAGGTATCGAAATCTGCTGCCAATGCGTACAATTCTTTTGATACATATATGTGCCCGGAGCCTTACGAAGAGTACCCCTTAAATGGGGGTGGGACAAACCACTCACAACAGATCCTGAAACATCTGAACGCAGCCAGGGGGGAATTCCAAAAACGTCACCAGGCACGTTTTGTGGCCGAAATCGCCCTTGAGGCCGCCAAAGAACTGGAATACGCCAAGGAATGGAAGCAGGCTCTCGAGATTCTCACCCCACTCTGGCGGGATATGTCATTTCGCAAGGAAGGATGGCTGGATGCTGCAGAATCTCTAAGCTGGACCTTGAGAAGAGCAGCCGCCGAAGCTGGCCATGCCGATTTGGTGGTCGCCATAGATTGGGAGCTTCTCAGCAACAGTAAGTCTTGGTTTATCGGGGTTTCTGCCTTGGAAATTAGAGCTGACCATGACCAGGTTTTTCAAGAAGGCCCAATTGGCATTACGACCTTACCAAAGCCTTGGACAATGTCAAGGTTGATCATCACCCTGAAGTTGTGCTCAGCGACGACCATGTTACCTCCTTTCTTCAATCTTCTTTCGTCTTTAAACATGACGAAGGCCGAGCAGGCCAAACCTGTCCAGCACAGCTCTCAATTACTTCGACTGCATTCTCGGGAAGCCCACCTGTTGTACTGCAAGACATCGAGGTGCTGTTCGAGGGCAGTGTGCGCACATTGCATCTTGGCCACAAAGCAAGTTCTACAACAGACCTTGGCAGAAAGAAGACATCTCTAGCACATGTTGCTTTAACCGAGACCGAGATACTGGAAGATCATGATACAGACGAAGAGCCCGAGTCTATTACATCAACAAGTCGCGCGATCGTCCTCCAGGGCAGCGAGGATTTGACGCTGTATCCAGGTCAAACCAGGGTGTATGAGCTAAATTTGCCCTTGAGAGAGGCTGGCGAAGCAAAGGCTTCTGTGGTTGCTGTTACGCTAGCGCCTGCCACTTTCAAACTGGACTACAGCATGAAGATTAGGGAAGACAATACCGTCGGTGTATGGTATACAAACTCAGGTCGGAAGAAGGTCACCAAGATCAATTCTCATATCATCAAGGTTCTACCAAGGCCTCCGAAGATGCAGCTCAAATTTGTTGGTGTCCACAAACAGTACTATGCTGGGGAGCCTATCCAGGTACAAGTTGATATCGTCAACGAGGAAGACGTCGATGCTGTCTGCAAGCTAGATGTGCACCTCTACGGCCAAGAAGTGCCTCCATTCAACGCGCGTGTCGGGGACGAGACAGAGTCATCAAGTACTGGCGAAGGCGAAGAAGCGAAACTCAGTGGCCTAGCCGCCGGCACTATCGCCACCTCGAGCTCAACGATCGCTTTCATTACGATCAACCCCATCATCCGACCGACAGCATACGATCTTACCATCAAGGCCTGGTACAACCTAATTTCGGATCCTGCGACACCTATCGTCCAGACCGTCTCGTTCCAGGTCAATGTCGTCAATCCTTTCGAGGCTAGCTATGATCTAGTCCCAAGATTACACGACGGAACCTGGCCCAGCATCTTTGATCACGAGAACATACAGGATGTGTCTGACGACGATCAGGATCTCTCTCATCGAGCCACGGGCTTAACGCAGAAGTGGTGTCTAGTCACCCGTTTCGGTTCGTTCGCTGCCGAGGATCTTCGCGTTTTGAACTTGGACGTCAAGGTGATCAAGACGAACGGTTCCGTGAATTGCGTGGTATCCCAGGACCAAAGACACCCTATCAAAGACTTGACCATGACTCCTCGATCAATGGAAGAGGCACGATTCGACATCGTTGCTCAAAAGCTAGGCTTGGACGAGCGCGCGCCTTCGACAGCAGACATGGCTTTCGTCATCAAGTGGCAACGCGCATCCGCAGCTACCGACAGCCCACCGAACACTACGACCTTCCTCCTCGATCCGTTCTATGTCACCGTCTCGGAGCCGCGTGTGCTTGCAACAGTCTCCTACTCCCAGGCGCCTACGCCTGCCGGCGAAAGCGGCGCCACTCCAGACGCTTCGGATTCGGTTCCCCTCGTCATCCTCGATATCACCATCGAGAATCCTTCCAACCACTTCCTGACTTTTGGTCTTACCCTGGAGCCATCCGATGAGTTCGCCTTTAGCGGTTCTAAAACGACATCGCTAAATGTGCTGCCAGTAGCGCGGAGGACTGTGACCTACCGTCTCTTGCCCTTGGTGGAAAGTGGCACTTGGATTAAGCCTCAGCTGGTGGTGAGGGACAAGTACTTCCAGAAGGTGTTGAAGATCATACCCACTGAGGGCATGAAGAAGGAGGGCGATGGTGTGGTGATCTGGGTCCCTGAAGATATTGAGGATGTAGTCGAGGAGGCTGATGCTAGGGATGGCGGTCGAGAGGTCAGGTGATTGCGAGGGCGCATTCCAAAATCTTGGACCCAAAACTGTCTGCTCAGCTACATGAGGTCTACGCTGTTCTCGATGTCCTCAATAATAGAGCCATACCACCATAGTCAAGACCGTTCATCGCTCCATCCGTGCAACAGTCATTGTTCCGCAGCTCTATATTATTACCACAAGAGCCGTTGATGACACAGAAACTTTCGCGCCAAACTACTCCCCCTACAGTGTCACCGTAAAGTCAGATCTGGCCACCCCTTAAAATGAAGTCCTCAGCCAGGCTACGTAACCTGCATCGAAGGGGATTGACCGTCAGGTCAACCACTGGCGCCCATTGCAATGACTATCGGTGCGGTTACTTGCATGAGGCCGAAAACAAGATGGTGTTAATCTCCGTGGATTAGCAACCATATTAAGCATTCGCCTGGCCATGAGTTCCACCTCTTTCATGTACGCATTTGCTCAAGCCATAAGAAGTCCAAAGAATTTCTGTTTTGTACATACATTGACCAGCACAGCGACCCCCTAACACACTTCCCGTGTGGTATTTTCTCTTTGAAAGCGTCAGGGAGTTGGAAATAACGTTGCATGAATGTCCGTGGCTCTCAGGGGTGAAATCGACGGAAGGGTGAGCTGAATCAAAGATTATTTCAGCTGTACTTCAGCAATGAGCCCATTTAGGTAAGGCTCTTGTTTAAGGGTTTCGTGGAGTTCCTTTTTCTTTGGTCTGCGGACTCGATTCAGCCTCACGCTGTAACTGCATTTAGCGCAGTGCCGAGCCGAGGCCTCCTGGCTGTGCCAGCAACGCAGAGGTGGCGGCGCTCTACGCCTATATGCGCCGGAAATCCACGATCCGTCAGCTCATCGGATGTTCTACATCGAACTTGTCCGTTGAAGCTCGAGGATTTGTTCCAAGCTGTCATTGCTGCTATGACCTCGATATGGAGCGTTTCGAACAAAGGCGGTGGGTCGCCGTCGGCGCACGACCTGACGGAGATCATGAAACACATTCCAACATTTGACTTCATGCCTCGACCCGTGCCTCGGGAGTATAATGTTCTTTGGCAGACGGCCGACTGGCTCCAGGATGAATGGGCTGCGAAGGGCCTCTACTGCCCGGCCTGCTTCACTGTCTGTAAAGATCTTGGCCGGTTCTCGAGCCTTGGAGATCGCAGCCCGACCGAGGAGCATCTGTATGTGCGATGGGAAATACGCCTACAGTCGCTCGTCCAGGCCGCAGAGGGCGGATGCCAGCTGTGCAGTTTCTTCACCGTCCGGTTCTTCAACGACCCCGGGTACATGCACGTCTGGGGAAATACGCTGAAAAAGAACCCGGTAGCCTGCTGCGGAAGCGCGCCGGATTCTGATCGATCCGGCGAGTTCGGCAAAGCCATTGCAAAGATCCGTGGTCTCAGCGAAAAGTACGCTGATCCGTCGTTCACGCTTATCATCCAGCCCTTGGACTACTCGGTGGACGAGCAAGGCCGGGGAGGATACGGCAAACTACTCTTCCAGCTCTCGGACACAACTCTGTCGACGAAGGAAGCGCTCAAGGATATTTTGGGTTTTCGAAGGGAGATCATCGTAGAGGTATATGCTCGAGGTCAGAACTCAAGTGCCCTTGAGCAACTGCTCCAAAACGCAGCCTGTTGACGATCTCGTACAGATGCCCCAACCTCCGACTTTATACGATATAACCCGGTTGTGACTGATCTGGCTTCGCCCCTGGGCTCTAGCATCGCGCAAAACTGGATAGACGTTTGCGCCAGCTCTCACGCCGAGTGTCCGTCTCCAGTCCCACTACCACTTCCAACACGGGTGATCGAGATCGTTGACGAGCACAATCTCCGCCTCAGCAGCAGCGGCGGCGGCGGCGGTGGCTTTAACTCTGCTGTGGGCCGATACGTCGCGCTGAGCTACTGCTGGGGCGGACCTCAAGAGTTCGCGACCACCAAGGAGAGACTCCAAACCCTGGAAGACGGATTTAAGGCTTCCCAGCTACCACAGACCCTCCAGGACGCCGTCACGGTGACAAGGTCTCTGGGCGTGAGGTACTTGTGGGTAGACTCTCTCTGTATCATCCAAGACTCCGAGGAGGACAAGAGCAGCGAGCTGCCGATGATGGCCTCCTATTACAAGAACGCATACGTCACAGTCTGCGCCGGCGGCAATAAATGCTCGTCTGGATTTCTGGAGAAGAAGAAGCACGCAATGTGCGAGAAGCACCCCTCGGACCTCCCGAGCGCACTGTTGGGTTTTCCCTTCCTCTGCCCCAACGGCCGGACGGGCGAACTTCTCTTCTGCGAGGAGTCCCCCTACGCACTCTCCCAGGAGCCCGTGTCGGGCCGCGCGTGGACCTTCCAGGAGCGGGTCCTGTCCCCCCGGGTGCTCTCGTATGGAGAGCGGCTCGTTTGGCAGTGTCACTCGGCACAGCACAGCGCCGGCGGTGTGGAAGACTGGGACGCCGACCTGCGCAGCCAGGGCAACCGGCGGCTGCATCTGGAACTTCGTCGGGAGGACAATTTCAGCTCCACCGGAGACCCTTCCTCCCGGCAGCGATGGCGCGCGCCGGACAACAACAAAGACAAACTGTACGACATGTGGCACCGCGCCGTCAAGGAGTACTCCTACAGGGCACTGACGTTCGGAAAAGATAAGCTCCCGGCCATATCGGGTCTTGCGAGCGAGTTCGGCGCCCTGACGGGGGACGAGTATCTGGCGGGGCTCTGGCGCGGCCAGCTTCTTCGCGGGCTGCTCTGGTCGACATATCCCAGAGCCACGGCGACGAGGCCAGAAGAATGGAGAGCGCCGAGCTGGTCCTGGGCATCTACGACGGACGTGATCTCGTACGACCGGCTGCCTTCCGTGGAAGATGCCGGCGCCGAAGAAATGGCGCAGATCGTGCACGCGAGCGTTACGCCAAAGTCCAGCGGCAGCCCGGCGGTCCCCTTCGTCCACGGAGAGATGGCGTCCGCATCCCTCGTCGTCCGAGGCCCCGTCATACGCGGGCAGAGCGCCCTGGCCTGCGACCTTCTGCAGCGGGACAATCGCCTGTCGCGGCAGGAGGACACGACGGCGTGGCGGCTCAACATGGCTGACATCATCTCTACTCGCCAATTCGCTTCGTTGGAAGAAAATATAGACTTCAAGCTTCCTGAAAGCTGTGTACTGCTTGTTCTCTTTGCTGTGCCGATAGTAGAAGAAGCAAAAGAAGACGTAAAAGAAGAAAAAGACATCAAGAGGCAGGGCGGAGGCGAGCAGGCAGATGGTGGCGGTGTTAGCATAGGGGATGCCGGGAGTAGTTTAGGAGGAACGACGGAAAGCGAAGTAACAGAGACGAAGACAAAGAAGTCTTCGGAACACACAGCAGACAAAGATGAGAGAGCGCGGGCGACAGTCTACGGGTTGGTCTTGGGCGAGAATGAGGACGGAAGCTTTCACAGGATCGGCAGGTTCACCACGTTACGTTTGACGGGGTATAAATTTCTGACAGCACGGGAAGAGACCATTAGACTATCATGATATCAATTATATACCGACATTTGAATTGAACTTGTTTCCTGCATATCCTGGAGAGTAGTCGAAAATAAATCCAAGTCACACAATCAAAAGGTTCAGCTCGACGGGACACAACTTCGTGCTTCTTGGTCTCCAGGACAATAATTTGGTCCCGCAATCCCGACAAATGCTGCCAGGTGGGAAAACTGAGGTAGGACATCCCGTTGATAGCGCGAGCGACATTGCAGCCAGGCGAGCAAACCAGTTGCCAGAGGACCGCACGCAACCGATTTCGTCCGGTAGGAGGTTTTCTTGGCAAAGGAATAACTCCTCCCACCGCGAGATCGAACGCAGCTTTTCGCCAAGAGTTTCCGAGAGCTGGGCTCCTAGTCCATCCCAGTCCTCGCGGCCCGAGCATGTGCACCCAGGCAGAATCGTCAAGTTCAGGTCTTCGAAGCCCCGCACGATGTCCAGGTCTGCCATCCAACGGGGCCCGTCGAAGACGCGGACAAGGGCTTCGCAAATCACTATGTCTGCGTCGATCGCGCCCTGAGCGGTAACCAGTGGTATCTTCAAAGCCGTAAGTTTTAGGTGTAGGGAGGTTTGCTCGAAATGGTTCACCAATTGTCCATCGAAGGCGTCATGCCGGACGACTCGATGCTGCACACTGTCCAGTCGTTCCCGCCTGGGAGAAGGGGGTGGCACTAGGAACACGATACCCGGTTCGCCGAGACTTCCAATAATTCGACGGATCCCCTGAAATTGACTGATACCTGAACGATCTAGCCTGCTTGGGTCTTGTAGGAGGCATTCCGCAGCGTATATTGAGTTACCAGTCGCCATGCCCATAACGAAATCTAGCTGGTCAGGGTGGACATCGTGGCCGCCAGACTCCAACATGGATGAAGGTAACTCAATTCTTCCTTACTAAACATATGTATATCAGAAACGTTTCAATCAGCTAATTCTCTGCGCAGTTCACCCACAGATGGCTCAATTGCCGTCTGGCACAAAGATACCGGTCGTCTCATAGGGTTTGCCGACGGGCACCACGTCGGCGAGGATAATATACGATGTAACACTATCTCGTGGAGGCCATTGAACAGTTACACGTTTGCGTCGGGCGGGGATGATGGCAAAGTTCGCATGTAATTCGGACCGCTTCCTCTGTCCCCCGGCATCGGCACTCCCAAAGTCTAACAGATTATCAACAGCCGGTCCTGTGAAGGTTCCCAGGAGGACGGCTTAAATTGGGGCGAGTCAGTAAAGCATCACTTCACCCTGAGGGATGATTGGCACATGAAACCTGAAGAGGCGCTGCCAGATTACGCTTTGGTCGATCGATGTGCGCCGAGAACAGGATAACGGACTACTTGTCGCAGTATAGTTGCGACGCCTCTTACACTACATAGTGTAATTGCACAGTCATGGACAACCTCCATTACACGGACTTTTGGCGTGTTCGTCATGCAGTACACAAACTTACTATGCTCCACTTGGGTGATCCAAGAGCAGTGCTGGCGTACAACAAAAGGGGATTACTCTGGCTCACAAGGGACCACTCGTGATCCGAAGCGATCCGAATTCGATCCAATGTGATCCAGGGAACATCAGTGAATGAAAGAATGGAAATAATAAGGATCGAATTTCCTACTCTACATAGACAGTTACTACTTCAGTGATTAATCTAAGCATCTGTCTATCCATAGATAATGCTCATGCTTCGACCGTTACACTTGTGAATTTTCTTTGCTCAGTATATTCTGAAGTTCTATCTGCACAATCTTCTCCTTATGGCTAGCATACCTTGTTAGTATAAACCCAGCGTCTCATATTATTTGTGGTTCTGCGCCCGATAGTATAATCGTCACACAAGCCTGCCGGTCCGACACCGATTGGCACTTCCGGAGCCATGTTCATTGTGCTGCCGAGGATGGTGTCACCTATAGCGAATCATCTGGGATAATCTACACACCATTAAGTGCGGGGATACGCCCGACATGCAGATAAGTAGCGGCTGTATGCTCTTTTGTAAAACCTCAGAGGAAACAGTCTAGCAATCAAAGCTACGCATTCCCATTCGAGAATTTTGATCTCATATATTGTGACCACAATAATTAAAAGCAAGCTATCATGTGGCTTATTGACACGAATACCCTGGAGCTAAAAGAGTTCTCTTCACCTCCTGCCAAGTTCGCTATGCTTTCGCATACCTGGGACAGTGATGAAGTAACATTCCAACAATTCCAAAAGCCCCACGAAGCCCAATATCAACAAGGGTATCGGAAGATTGAACACACCTGCGAAGAAGCTCGAAGGCAAAAGATACCATATGCATGGGTGGATACATGTTGCATTGACAAGACTAATAGCGCTGAGCTGACAGAGTCGATCAACTCAATGTTCACCTGGTATGCTAAATCTTTTATCACGTATGTTTTCCTCATGGATCTTATGACGGACCCAAAGGTTACGTTGACAACCAAAACTTTGAAATCTTGCCGTTGGTTCACGAGAGGCTGGACCCTGCAAGAGCTTGTTGCCTCGCGATCAGTGGAGTTTTACGACGCAAACTGGGTTCTAAGAGGCACAAAAGCCAGTCTTCGTCCTCTTCTTGCTACCACAACGGGCATCGACGAAAAAGTATTGAAGAATTCTTCTTACCTTTCGTCAATTCCAGTCGCACAGCGGATGTCATGGGCGTCTCGAAGAGTCACCACGCGTCTAGAAGACCAGGCGTACTGTCTTCTGGGCATTTTCCAGGTTCATATGCCTTTAATTTACGGTGAAGGCAACAACGCATTTATCAGGTTGCAAGAAGCCATAATTGAGGAAGTGAACGATCTCTCTCTGTTTGCATGGAGATCGAATGCACATCAAAGTACGCAGAAATATAGGGGTATGCTTGCAAGCTCACCCGCGGAGTTTGCAGATGCTGGCAATATTCAAAGGGTACGCGACGGACGACTTAGCGACGAATTCGCTGTCACCAATAAAGGCTTGCGGATGCATAGTGGCTTATCCCGCGACTCAGATATACTATCTCTGGATTGCTTTGTCAGCACCAAGCGGAAGAAAAAGTACCTAGGTATCCATGTCGACAAACATGGCGCCGACTTGTACGCGCGAGTTCAACCAGCGTGTCTTGCCCTCTTGGAAGAGCGCAGTTATGAAGCTGCGGAACTATTTTACATAAGTAAAACCATCCTGCCAGCGTTATCCTCAACGCTAGAACGTGGGAAAAATCTCCAGGGGGCGATTGCTTTCAAACGAGGATTCCAGACCAAGCTCTTCCGTCCAGCCACAATGCAGCCAAAACGCTTATGGGATATTCAAAAGGAACTTTTTATCACCAAGGGCGTTCCCAACTTCACTGGTAGCATATTGTTTATGTCTGTTGGATCGCTGCAAAGACAATATCTAGACAATCAAGCATTTCTGGTCGTATGCGGGATGGGAATGAACGACAAGGAACCTTGGGCCACTATAGTACCTCAAGGCAAACGATCAGACATTTGGGAATTACATAATGACACACAAGTATCTGATATGCAGAGGATGGCAGATCTTGCTTGCCAGGGGAGAAGATCCGCGATCAACATACAAGATCCTAAGACGAAGATCAACAAGCTGCGAGTATCAATTTCACAAAGAAAGTTTTACATGGATACTGTATCTGTCCATTGTTTCGATCTTTCCTTTTCGGAGTTAAAGCAATAAAATAGGAATTTTGGTTGTATGATAATACTGCTGCTGCTACTGCCTAAACATATTGAAAATAGTACTGATCAGCCGATCTCGGCCTGGTACGATGCACAATTTTTTGAGTTGATCTCAACCAAACGAAAAGATTGTTGGATCTTGTAGATGCGAACCTTAGGCACTTCATTACTTGCTTGCACATGGACGAAATTATGGAAAAGAGGAGCTATACTATATATATTAATGCGAAAAGATATGCTATATCTATTGTTCAAACTTGTCATTACGAATGGGATATCAAAAACGCGAAATATTCGATTTAAATCTTTAGAGTAACACACTTGCTTAAAAAAGTCTTCTACGTACTTCAAACCAATCATCAAACATATTTCATGCCCAAATCGCTTTGAAATTCGCGTTGAAACCGGCATGCAGTTTCTGGAATGACTTGAGCACATTGCGCAATCCCTCCGTTTTGCCCTTGTTTCCTCCCAGTGCATCATTGAACTCGAATTCGAGCCTTGCTACATGAGTAGCTCGCTGTCTCTCAACCCGGGTTATATCGTCTTCTTCGTCAGTAACCCCCTCCCAGCTAGTGGCAATCTTTGCCTCCTTCTTCGTCACCAATTTCGGCTGCTCGAGAAGGGATGTCGCTGCGATTCTAGCAACACTAGCCAACGACGCTTCAGGCTTCTGTTTCTCGGACACAGAAAATTTTGCTGTTTTCGTCTTCGGTATCGTCACGGACCTTCCAGTCGTCCATAACATCCAGCATGTCGAGGTCCGTACCCTCTTTGAGCTTCATGAAGTTGAGGAGAATATTAATTATAGTTGCGAGGATCAGCGAGAAATCTTTCAGTAGGAACCAGATATCGGCCTTACGAATACAATTTGCACGCTCTATGGTCATGACATAACCATGTTTGACGAAATCCAAAAGCCAGGCATTCAGAGGTACCTCCATCTCGTCTGGATGTACGTCACTGTGGGGCACCACGGCTTCCTCAAGGAATACACCATCCCTCAATGTCTGGCGAAGATCGTGAATCGACTCAAAATCCTCACCTAGGCCCGAAAGAGTCACGAAAGGGGAGCGAATCTTGACAATGGGTAAGGCGTTTGGTACTCGTACATCTGATGCTTCTTGCTTGCCAATATTGATACGCACAAACGGAAGAGAGCGATCCTCGTTGATAATATGCTGTGGGATAAAAGCTTTCACGTATGTCTTGCATATATCGAGCGTCTGTCTGTTGTGTTCTCGTAGGATGTTCGCCGCATTATTCGGCAGTGGAGGCAGGAACACAATGGATGACGACGATTTGAAATCCGTCTCTTGATGCTCCGAATCTGCTTGGCACCAATAAATCCGCTTGAACAAATGTGCCATGACAAGCATAAGCGTCTCGACAGTATTTTTCTCAAGCTTGTCTATCCCATTGCAGAGCTCGTGAAAATATCCTCCCTTCAAAAGAGCATGGAAAGCGAATGATAAATTTTCCGTCAAGTACAAATAGCTTTTGAGTCCAGCAAATTTTAGCGGAACATCATTCCCGCTGAGTAGAAACTGCTTTCGTAGGTACTTGATTGAGAAGCGAAGATGATGCATCGTCATATCTTTGAACGACGGCCCGCCCATGTCCAACCGCGGCTGCGACTGTAAACCATTGACGGCGCTTACAGCATACCTTGAATTCTTTGACCCATGCAACAAAGTGAACAACCGAAGAACAAGCGTCGTCGTGATGGGGAAATGCCCTGAAAGGTCAGGCAAACGTGAGCTGATTAGCCTGCAAACCTTCTCCCTAGTCACTCCGTGGAAGACCACGTTGCCGAGCTGATCGAAACCGCGCCGGCCAGCGCGGCGGGCACATTGGCGGTAGTTGAGCGCAGTCAAAAACACAGAGTCTCCACTGAAAAACGACCGTTTTACATGGCATATTGGTACCTAGAGCAAGTGTGCCAGTGGCAATCACAACCCGTAAGAAGCCTTTGCGAAACAAGATTTCAACGACCTCCATATAGCTCCGATTCATGCCGGCGTGATGAGCCCCGATGCCTCTTTGGAGCGATTCTATGAGCCATTTATTGATGCCATACCGACTAAGCTTCCAGACTAAGTCATCCAGATCGGAACGTTGCAGCTTAGTATAGTCTGCAAAATGGTACCCATGCAAGGGTATGGCAGGATCGAAGAGGTCCAATGCACTGGTGTGATCTTCCGCGGCATCACGGTCCTGGTGGATCTTTGTGCGTCTTTCACCGTCTTGATGCTTGGTCGTCTTGACGCTGAACTGCGTTACTGCAGCTTTCTCTTAAAATTTCTTCTACTCGTCCCTTCGCTCGAGCGTCCTTTCCCATTTCGCTCCGCTTTTTTCCTGAGTCAATTCAGCCTGTTGAAGCTCTTCGAGCAAGCCCCGACAGATCTTTTTGCACTGGTGGCGGTCATAGTTGAATATTATGGCTGGCAGCGCATCGTGGGTTTCTAAACGGCAAAGCAGAGGTAGAGTTGTCTCAGTGAGGTCGAATGGGTCGTGAAGCCTCGCAGCGCGTGAGCTTGGTCGTTCTGCAGGTTTAGTTGCGTACTCCAGCTCACGAATTTCATCTCTGAAGCTTTGTTCAAGCTCGCAAACATCATTATCATACGGAGAGGAGCCATAAGCAATCCACTTCTGGAGTCGATCTTTCAAATCTTTTTCCCAGGTTAACGTGTCGACCTTGCGGCATACTGTGGGCAAAGCATCCGCTGGGCTAAGATGCGTGGGTACCGGGAATAAGGTGGTCTGGTGCTTCACCATCGCTCTCCAGAGCTTGAGACAGTCGCGAGGCTCTAGCCCAAGATCATGGGGAATACCTCGAGACCTGTCGGTCAAACCAGCAACTGAATAAACATGCTGGAACCTGGCCAAGCTATCGAGACCTAGTACACCAAAAGTTTGCTCTTCATATACTCCTCGAAATAAAAGGTTCTCAGGCGGCGTGTAATAAAACTTGTCGAGGTCCGAGTAATGGCGCGGATGATGTACCGTCACCAGGTCAATTCCAATGGCTTCCTGAGTATCGGCCAGCCACCTACTAAACTTTGGGGGGGGGGGGGGGGGGGGTTCCAACTGTTGGGCTTAGGGCATTAATTGGGCAAGGTGCCATTAACAATAGCTGCTCCCAAACTACACCATCCTGAGCTTGGCCAATGGAATGCACTTCATCAAAAATGATGCGGCGAACCCTACTTGACCATTTGTTGGCATTTGAAAGAGCCAAGAGCATGATCTTACCGTAATCAAAATTTGTCAACCAGTTGGGCTATTGATTCGGTGGTCGCGGGTATGTATAGCCTATACTGACTTACCAACTTGCTTGAATATCTTATTGTATCGAGCCTGGACTTCCACTGCGATTTGATTCACCAATGCCTTTGTGGGAGCTACACAAACCAGTACTCCATCATCATCACATTCGAGAACTTTGCGCATGGCATAGAATGAAATGAATGTCTTTCTAGCACTTGTAGGTGCGACCACAAACATGCTCTGATTTGCATCAATACCGTCTAGCACCTTCCGCTGCCATCCGTTAGGTTTGAACTCTACTCTATTGTCGGGTTTCGAGTCAAAGCCGCGCTCCATCTATGGCAACTTCAATAACATTTGGGAATTTTACGGAACACTTTAAGGTGAATCAGATACAATATGAAAGGATAAGCCATGGAATGAAGTTAGATGACCATGGAACTTGGACTAGTGGTGGGCCGATATCAGATACTGTGCATACGTGGGCTCGCAATATATGCCCATTGCAACTTGAACAAGTAACTCTATCCAAGAAGAAGCTCTTGAAGCCAAATCGACCTATGGCAGACTACTAACCGTGCCCACCCACTTTCGCACGCACCCCCTTTTGCACGCCGATTTACCGACGTTTCCTCAAACACACTGATAGATAGATACAACAACTGCCAGCTATAACACCATGAAATCAATTCAAATAAACTATCTCTAGGTTATTTACGTGTCCGCTTTCGCGTAGAAGGTTGTATTTCGAGGAACGAGTTAATAGGGACTTGTTCATTGCGTTATAGCTCAGGCATCTTCCTTTTCAGCTTGTCTTGCGCTGGTCTGATCTCTGTAACACTAGCAAAGACCTTATTCGGGTCTTTTCTAACTATTTGACGTTTATCAGGCTTATGATTATCTAGTTCAGCTTGCAAATCGAGGTTTGCTTGACGTGTTGTTGCTAGTTCTGCGAGCGCTATGTCAAGTGACTTAGCACATTTCCCAAGCAACTCCCTTACGTCTCTAGAAGTTTGCGAATAATTAATGGTAACGTCCCTAATTTAAAGTCGAAGGTCCTTATTATTATAAGGAGTAAACAGACCAATTTCAGCTAGATCTGACTCGTTTTGTGGTGTTATAAGTTGAGTGTCAGGTAATGGTGGGAAGAACTCAGGGTCACCTAATACCATTAATTCATTTAAGGGGTAAATACCCGTTTTGGCCCAGCCGCTTTCGATAATTTGTTTCGTAAAAGCAAGGGCACAAGCTTTATTATAAGCTTTAAGCATCCGTTGCTTGTTAACGGGCCTAGTAGCTTGAATACCACGGTATAGGCTTATTAGCCTATGGTAGTGGGACTTCAACGATGAGAAGACCGTCTTGTTAAGTGGTTGGAGCGCTTCGCTTGTGTATACTAGTAGGTATATCAAGACAATCCTCTTCCTGAATGCCCTTAGCATGAACCCGGGTGTAATATGAGTACTGTGGCCATCGAGGAGGAGCATCCTCCATGGGTTTGGGCAGTCTAGGGACTCTTGTGGTCTGGTTTCTGGCTCGAAGACCTCTAACAACCATGATAGCGCCACTGCTGAGTTGGTCCAGCCCTTAGGGGTCGCTGTATACTCAGCTTCCTCAAGATCCTTAGGTAACCATTATGCTTGTAGTGTTGTTCCTCTTAGTATATACGTATTCGTTATTTTCAACCCGATAGCGTTAATACTATGGATAACTAACATCCATCCAGTTGCTGGGTTTTTCGTAACGCGTGAACGACGTGACCTAGACGTCCCGATGACTATGCCTTGACTTTGTTCGGCTTCTTGTACACCTGTTTCATCCATATTATAGATGTCCTTTGGTAGGATCTTATAGGTGTTTTTGACCTGTGATATATACGTGTAAAAGTCCTTTACGGTCTGTTTTTCAATGCCTTTGACCCTCTTAGCGTCAATTACACGTCCAACCTTAGTCTTCAAGTGTGGGTGGCGGCTAAGGAACTTGTATACCTAATTGTATCTAGGGGTGACCGTATCGTCGATTTCGCCGATACCAGTCATGATATTAGCCGCTATTTGTCGCACCATATTCGAGCCCGGAGCGCGTCCACATAATTCCTCATGTAAAATCCATTGCTCAAGCTCCATTTCTTGCAATTCAGATAGGTTCTTTGACGTTTCGTGGGCTAAGGAATGTGGTTGCGACCCGTTAAGTCGTCGCGACAAAGTAGACCGTACGATACCGAAAGCTTTGGCTGCGCGCGTTATCGTTTCGCCGTTTCGAACCAAACTAATTGCTTCTGCTACATCGCGTTCATTTAGTTTACCCATATTGAAAATATCAGATCGATAGGATTACAATTGGTTGAGTTCTAGCATTTACAAGAAAAGCGTGGTGTTGTTGACGCGTCGGAAGATCGGCGTGCAAAAGGGGGTGCGTGCGAAAGTGGGTGGGCACGGTTAGAGTATTTGATAAGTAATTTTGCTTCTTATGCAAGATAGCATTTCCTTTATCTTTCGACTGTGCACCTAAAACATGCTTGTCTGCTGTGCGACACGGTTCTATGCAGCACTGCGTTGTTGCACAAGACTAGCGGTCAATCTTCTTCCATTACTTAGACGAAACAATGATTCCCAGCAGGCAGAGCCCAACCGTGAAAAGCACAGTAGTTTTAAAAAATCCGCTAAATAGCAGATATGTAGAGATATAAGAAAGTGCTATCATCCCAAAACGAGATTACCCTCCTCAACAAGATCGTCAACTGAAATAAGCACCTCACTCTAGTCAAGAATTCAGCTCGGAATTGGTCAGATGATTTTGTATTTTTCAATTTCTCCATTATCATGTTAGAAGTCATTTTATATAGTCCTCTTTGGCATTCGCTCCTCTGGTTCTGGTCCTATATCGAAGGGATTCCTCCATGGCTTACGCAGCCTGGTTAGTCCGCCTTGTTCTTTAATAGAATCCCAAATGATATACTAGTGCTAATTATCCAGGAAGAAGTATACAGAGTGCTCTTGGCATGGGCTATCGCTTTCACCCTGTTTTACATCATCTTCACGTCGTTGGGCTTTGGACCGACCGGCGTTCTCCCCGGTACCATAACATATTTCTATTGCCAGCATGAAACGCAACTGACGGCCAGTTCCTACAGGATCGATTGCTGCTTTCTTCCAATCCTTCATGTACCGCGGTTTTACTCCTGCAGGAGGATTATTTGCAACCATGACGAGTTTGGCCATGCTGGGCATGATGACGCCGGCTGTTGCCGCTATCTCTGCCACTCTTGCCACAGTCATCGCCTTGATCGTATGGCAATTCGAGGTTCGAGCATAAACAATATTAACACCATTCAACAAAATATTGTTCCCATCATGGGGTCCAACAAAGAGTATAAATTCGGGGCCCTAATCATTTCAATGCTACCGAGCCTCTTAAGTTCACGACGAATGCGTGCTTTTTGTTGTTGTTGTTGTTTCCTCCAACAAAAGCAGTTAGAGAAAAGCCTAGCCAGTTGAAATCCGAGTTTTGTTCCTACGAGTGCATAAATAAACCACAGAAGATGTGTAAGTGGCATCCTGGGTGCATGTATCTTATACTATATTTGCAAATATCACCAATTGAGCCCAGCTGAAAGTGAACATCGATAAACTACCACTTCTCTCGCAGATTTAACTACGAATGCGGCGTTTGCTTCCATACAGAGAGATGATTTCAAGCTTCCCTTCTCTTGACGAGGCCAAGCGCGGGATGAAGCTCTTGAGAGAAGCCGGGGTGAAGAAGCTCAACTTCTCAGGTGGTGAGCTTTTCATTTAACCTACCTTAATGCATGAGCTTCTTGATAGGGAAAAAAATTTGGGGGTTGAAAAGCATAAGTATCGCATCGAACAGCTCAAGGATTACTGAAAATTTCGTCATCGAGATGATGATGCGCGAGAATGATGCGTTCATCGTTATCCTTGCCATATCCTGCGATCCATTTGACCCGGAAACAATTATCAAGATCAGACAGGGCAGAAGCGGAGAGCACGTGGAGCAATTGACTAAAGTTGTAGGCTAGTGTCAGCAATTGGCATCCGGATTAAATTCAAAATCAACACTGTCTTGCAAAGCATGAACTGGAATGAAGATATGACTCATCGGATCACGCAATTCAAGCCCTTCCGATGGAACCTCTTCCGATTCCTGGTCGTCACGGGCGAAAACGACAACGAGCAACACAAGCGCGACACACGTTCGTTTCTTGTGAGCAATGAGCAGTAGATGATGTTTTGTGACAGACAAAAAGCATTTAAAGTGTTTTGTACCTTGGACAATGAGATGACGAAAGGAAGCTACTTCGCCTTAAAAGAGCACATGCGCTTTCTAGACAAAGGTGATGGGGAAGGGAAAGCGAGTGAGAGTATATCGAATATTGAAGCAAGAAATGCGATGACACAGGTGGGACGGGAGCGGTACTTGACCGTTGAGAGGGGTTGGTTTTGTGTTTGGACCAAGCCAGCACAAGTAGGGTGCGCCTCAATTGTTGACAAAACAGAGGAATTGGAATGGTAATGGTATTTATATATGGCTGTGGATGGGCAATATTACTCGGACATAAGGGAGCGTTTGCAGGTATAAACTCGTTTGACCCCGTGCCATTCAAAAAAAAAAAAAAAAAAGAACTCAAACATGCCGAATCATGGTTTGGCCGTCAGTAGATACAACGCGTTCAGGTTTCACGACCGACTTTCTGGAAGTAGGCACTCAGCTTGCCAATTGGGCGTCCGGTTGGGAATGCCGGTGGATAAGTCTGCATGAAAGCCTTGATCTCTTGGTTCATCTTTTCCCTCAAATTCTTCTCTTCCTCTTGTTCCTCGCCCTGCTCACCACTGGCAGACTGGAGAACTTCGGTCAGTTCCACTTCTCCAACTGTATGTCCAAAGTCTGTTGTATCGACATCGACTCGAAATTTTCCGTCAATTATCCAAGACTCTCGATCCGTAATGAATTCGGCGCAAGGCTCCAGCAACTTTTCGATACCAGCTCCGTCTGCGGTGACAGTCAAGCTTTTTTGGACAACCTCCGTTACCGCCTTGTCGCCACCGATCTCCCTAAAAGCCGAGTTGATGAAGTTACCACCAGTGCGGATCTTTGCCTCCCAATGCCCATTTCGCCGACGGATATAAACTCCTTTCGAAAAGAGCACACCGTCTCGGTCGTAGTACACGTCGTGGTTAATCTGCACTCCAAGGCTCTTGTATTTCTTGAACCTTGAGCCTTCGCCGTTTGAACGTAGGTAGGATATAGCTGACGGTGTGGCAAGAAATTTGCGCTCTACCTCGAGTTGACGAAACTGCACCGCCCCTGAGTGAGTGGAGGCAAGCTTCCTCGATCGGCGAGAGATGCGTGGCAATGCAGATGTGCATTTGGTGGATATATTCAGCATTCTGAACATCTTGTAGTTTCGGTGTCGTTGGTAGCCAAGACTCGATCTGGACTAGACTAGACTAGACTAGACTAGAGTGTATATGTGTGGATAGAGTACATGATGAAGTGTTGAAATAGGCCGGGGGACTTGGATTACTTTGGGGATTGCGCACCCGTGCGCATGCGTGGTAGAAACAACGGTGGGGTTTCGGCGTGGGAGGTCTCACCAAGGTAAGAATTGGTAATAAGTCCCCATCAAACCACGCGGCCTGCGGTTGTAAGAGTTGTGCCTCAAGGGCCTGTGGCCCAAGCATCGATTTCTGGCCCTGTTGTGGCCCGTGGGGAATTCACGTAGGGCGAGCCTTTAGCGCGTCCTGGAGATAGATTAACCTATCCATCATAGCTAGGCAGTGAATCAGCGCGATTAAAGACTGCTTTTACCTATCTCATGGTCTAAGAAGCAAAGTGATACCGGGTGATCTTTCAGGTGACTTTCAGTCAGTCCAAATTCGTCTTCATACTCAACAGTGTTACGGTTTAGGCAGTTTCCTTGATGTGACTAGCGTTTAGTTTGTTTCATAAAGTACTGGCCGTAGAAATGAAGTCCTCCAGACTAACTGTACACTCAACCATGTCCACACGGGAGTGATTCTTAATGGCTAGGTCCCTAAATACATATTCCTCGGTTTTCTAATTGATCTCCCAACTCAAAGTCTTTGAAGTCTTCAGAGGCCCTGACCTGGTCTTCCAGGCGACCAGTGAACGTAGTCGGGACCAGCCCGCCGTAGTCGATTCTAATTTCCTCGAACTTGCTCAACACCGCCACAACCACGATGCACGATGCAAACTCTGTTCATCATGCTCCATCTGCACACCACTGCGAAACCGTCACATCTTTGACCAGAACCTGGATAGCTATATAAGCCTAAACAAAAGGACGTCAACTAACACCCCATGAAGCCACAGGTCACAGTGGTGTAGTGGTTATCCGCCTACCTAGGAATCATCCTTATCTTCTGGCTGAGCCGTCCTCCCTCAGCCAATCTTCTTTTTGCAGGTTTCGAGTTCGAGATACACAAGTAATGCCTCTTGCGGCTTTTCGTACCTTTTTTTCGGTCTTCTTTTCTTCTGCCCTCTCACGGCTAGACAAGAGGTCTCGTCCAAAGGAAACTACTTTTAGTCGACTGATATATCTTGCTTCCCTCGTCTTTGCTCAAAGTCATATTGTGGAACAATTTTTGCTACTCCTTTACGTGCACTCATGGCACTGAAAGTTTAATTCGAGCTGTCTTAGACGGTAATCTATATGGTATAGGAATTGATCAAGCAAACAGACCAGTACCATCCAGCCATTTTGCCATTGTAATTACATGTTGAGGTTTGGCCAGAAAGGCTCCCATCATAACATACCCGGATATGATAGTAGTGTATCAGCCGAAAGCCGTCGCAGAAGTATGCCTGGAATGAAAACAGAAACCGCTGACTAGCATTCAAAGAAACCCCATGCCAAGCATTAGGTCATTGCGTCTTGCGTGATTGATCAAGTCATTATATTGCGCCCTCGTGTGAATTGAGTCACAGGTAATCGTCTCTTAGGAGCTTCCTGCCCGTATCGACCCCGTGGTCAAAGAAAGCCGGTGCCAAGAAACACAACGGGCTCTTGCTCACAGCGGTTCCGATAACGGGAATGTGGCCGTTCCAAAGTCTACACCAGGAGGAGTCCCTAGTCTTTGAACCATTCTTTATCTTTGGATAGCTTTCGGTGCAGCGTCCTGGCAAATCCATGACGTCCTGATAGCATTTCTCATAAACCTTTTACGAATGCAGTATCCCACGTTTCAATGTCTCTCCGATTTGTATTTGTAGAATTTTCATATTATATCCTTTTGTGTTGATACTAGTACCTGTGTATACTGTTGAACAAATCCCACCCAACTTTCCTCGCTTCTGATGGAGACTCATCCCCTGACCAAACAGTATTTGGGAAGCTCGCTCAGAGGTGCCCCGGAGCATAGAGCCTCAGATCTTCCCTCGTCAAAGAGAGCCACATCTAAATTGGAGATCAGTCCGGTAAGCCTCCTTATTCCTTCCTTCTACCGCCGGTGCATAGATTACGTCAAGGTCTCTAGGCGCAATAAAGTCCCTGAAACCTGAAAGGTCTTCAAAAGGGTGAGAATGTTGATAGAAGGGGTTTCCTTAGCTGTCATCCAATAGCCCTTTTTTTCTCTTTTTCTCTTTTTAATTATTCTAATAAAGTGCGGAAATGTGGTCAAAGGTCGAATTTCGAGTTAGATGCCAGTATAACAAACGAAGTCCATCGCTTGAACAATCTATTAGAAAAGGGGACAGAATACCTCCAATCCAGAAAGCAAAATCCTAGTGGCGAGTACTGTTTCTTGGAAGAACCATCGTTTGTCCCAGAAACAATATTCGATCAGGAGCTTAAAGTGCTTTTACCGGTCTTGATAGTGGTCTTTGAAGGCCGAGGCTTGATGGTGTACGATCCCACTCATCAATTTGACGCACGGTAGCGTTTCCGCCTTCGATTCGATCGTTTCTAAGCTATACTGCAATCCAACCGGTACTTCGATATATTTGTGGCAGATATGGCTGTCTTTCTGTCTTTGTCTATCCTATCATGCCGACTAGTACACACGTCATACACCCAGACATAGACGGCGCAGTGGCCAACAGGTTTGGACTCTTCGTAGTTCATGCTCGGTGATGTAACCGGACTGCACCGGCAGGCTTATCTACAAGTTGTAGTAATTTCCACCACCCCTCTCAAGCTGGGATTTGATCGCCATACCGAGGCAACAGGCGTCAAGGCACTACGCGATATGAGTCTGGCTTGGAGTTGGTGAGGTGCGAACAGAGATTGTTGCGCATTTATGAAGTCATGAAGTTGGTGCTGCTGCTTTCAGCCTCCCCATCAGGTTTATCGGTAGCTTCGTATACCTGTATTCCGCCTGCGGCCGAGCAAACCTCTGTGGCCTTTTCAACGACAGAAAACTGTAACGTCCACACGCCTTTTGTGCCAATGTCCAGGTAATGGTTCCGACGCATCTCGAGATGAACACGACATCGTTCGAGGTTGCAGTTGGGCCATGGTCGTCTAGTTCTCTGGCCCCAAATCTCGAATGCCCTTGTATTTTAGGAGTTGAGAGTGGGTGCGTGATTGATAAAGCTAGCAGTCACCTCCCTACCTGGCTCGCCTCTGAATCCCGGTCGCGCATTAGCCATTCTTGCATAAATCACTTAAGGAGTGTCGGTGTGGTTTGAGATGTGCCAAGTCATGTATTCATAAATCAATCATGCAGTCATTAATGCTGGAGGACACCGTACTACACCTGAACCCCTTTCACGCCGATCGCGACCTCTCTTCATCTTTCTCCGAAACCCTCTGAGACATTTCCAACATTTTCTTTCCACCCAGCTATTCTCCATCTTTGCTACCTTGCTGCCAAAGGCTTCGTCTTATGTCATTATCACCAGATGAGAGAGGGAATTAAAGAAATCAAGAACACCCCGAGCCATGAGAAAGACCAAACCAGCCATGTATCCTAACAGTATAAAAAAAACCTTGGGCCGAACATGTATATGCAAACAACGAATCGTGGGGGACAGCTTTGCGCCTCAAATACAGGAACCGGACACCAGACAGACCTTCTTCTTGATATATCCAGTTTCGCACTGGTTGTGAATCTGAATTACTCGGCCCTCTTAGCCTGCGCCCACTCTTTCTCATCAAAACCTGCCGCTAAGAGAGCCAACCGCTAGGAGACCCGAGCATAGGAGAGCGAGTCCTCCCATCACTGAGAAGCTTAGGCGGTTCGAGCGCAAAATCCAGCTTCGGCATCTCAATCCTAGGAGGCGGCGGCATCTTCTTCTTCGGGCTGCTCGCGGCGCTCTTGATGGGACTTTTTGGCTCCGCCGGCGGTCCATATCGTACATCCTTGACCTCCCATCCATCTTCGCACGCAGCGGCTGCCCAGCATCGTAAAGCGTCATGAACACCCGGATAGAACTTTTCCTTGCACAGGCGCATCGAGCCGCCCATGCATTTCTCCCAGCCAGAGATCTTGAGCAGTTCGCGCAATCTGTTCCGCTCTTCTAGAGTCGGCGTGCAGGCCAAAATCGCGTTGAGCAGATCGAGGTGTGAGGCGAGATAATTCGTTGCGTCCCATTCCACACCACCAACATACGGGGCGGCCGGGACGGGTGGGCGTTCCTGTGGGAAGTGCGCTTGCATGTATGCCATGCCATCTTTAGGTTGAGCAGTACCAGAGATATTGGACTGATCCTTCTCGCGGGGCAAAAATACGACATTGAGATGATGTAGGAATATCCAGAAAACCTCCTTGGTGACGCCAACGACTTCTTTGTTCCAGACACGGTACGGGCGATCACGGCGCATCCCAAGCACAAATTCGACAGGCCGTTCCTCCTCCTTCGGTTCGGGATCGCGAAGGTGTGCGAGTATCGTTTTGGCGCGTACCAGACGATCTTCCGGCGAGGCAGATTGTATATATGTAAATAGGACTGATGTGATAATGTGGCGTGTTGTGAAGTCGCTCGGGCCCTTCTTCTCTGGATCGAAGATCATGTGCAGTAATGCAGGGAATAGAGTGCCTTGGATCGAATGGAGGTATTGTAGGGCGAGGCCGGTCGTGCAAAGCGCCTTCAGACACAGGAGGTTCTCATGTAGAAGAGCATCCTCGTGTTCCTCCCTAGAGAAGAAGTCAGCAAGTCATGAACAAGGTCGCTAGCATTCTAATTTGCAAGTACTCACCTCCACTCAACGTCCATAATGCGATGGAGCAGGCCAACGATCTCTTCCATGCCACCTTGCCTTACGAACTCGTCTGTCCAGGACACTGTCTCGTTCCGAAGCAGCAGTCGCAACTTGTGTAATTTGCCAACCTCGACCGACTGGGGTTTCTGTACTTTGCGCAGGTAAGCTACAAAGTCTGCAGGTCCTTGTTCGGGCTTGAACCTGGACATGAAGCCACCACCACCGGTAGAAACGTTTGATCCCGAGGAAGTTGGGCGCTCCCGATCCACGCTGTCGGTCGACTTGCTTCTGAAATGCCTTCCCAAGGTACCGCTGACCTTGCTCTTGGTTGGCGAGCTGGGCTCGGTCTTTTTGCTGCTGCTCTTGGAGAGGGTGAAGCTCAAGGGTCGGGGCTTCTTGGACTTGCCATGCCCCCTCTCGGACCCGGAGTTGATACTGTTGCTATTCATGCTGCCATCGCTATCATTGGTGCTTGTGCGGGGTGGCGCCATGTTTGTCTCTGCCCAGTCTTGGCGGATGAATTCCATCTTGATGGTGTTTGCCAGATTCCTCATCTTATATCGCTGGTTCTCGGGGATATTTCTCCGGTCCAACAGGGCTTCCAAGTGCTTGTCGATATCCTTGGGATCAATATCTCTCTCGTTCCTGCTTGCTGGAGAGTCATCTGACCTTGATCCAACCAGGCCTCTCGTGAGCACCTTAAGCCCACGCTGAGTTTTGGAGGGTGAGGATGCCTTGAAGCTGCTGGAGCCTGACGTGACGTCGGGAGGTTGTGTGGCGCTTGTGTGATACGATTGAGGGCGCTGCTTTCTGTTGGAGGCATTGGAGGCATTGGACATGTCGCTCGGAGTGCGTGGTGTCTTGTGGCCCATGTTGCCACCCAGCTGACTGAAGTAGTCCTGGGGGTGTTGCTTCTCCAGAGCTCCACTTGAGAACTGGGCGTAGATGGGCGGGCGGTATTCCTCCTGAGGCGGCGGTGTCTGATTCTCCTTGTCTTTCTTGGATCTCGTGTCCTCTTCGCTAACCAGCTTGTGTAGATTCTTCAGGCTCTTCGGGCGAAACAGGCTGACCAGGTTTGTGGCAGACTTGGTCTTCTTTGGGTTGTGCAGAGAGTCTGATTCGTTGTTTCTGTCATCTTTTGGGAGTTTGTCGTCGGCTGTGCCTTCTGCTGCGAAGGAGAAGGCGCTGGTGGTCTTCACGGGAGACTTCGATCGTGATCGGGAGTCGTATGGTTTGCTGGAGGCCCGAGGAGGCGGACCGTCGGCGCTGATATTTTGGAGTTCGCCAAGTGCGGGAGGGCGTCTCGAGAAATTGGGGATGCGCATCTCGTCGGCGGCAAAGTGCGTGACGACTTCGGACAAGGCGGGAGCCCTTAGGTCTGCGGCCGGGAGAGCGATGCCGTCAGAGTTCTTCCGCCTGTGCATGAACGAGGAGAAAACATTGGATTTGGACCGCTGGTGGCCATGTTGTGGCGGCACGGGCGGTTGCTGTCGTGAGACGTCTTGGAAATCCTGTATCGAAGCCATGCCGTTGGCGGTGTTCCAGATTAATACGCGTGATGTGCTGTGCCGTAGTTGCTGTGTGCGTTGGGAGGAATGGCGGCTGAGACCACCCTCAGAGTTCAAGAATGTTTCAGTGGGGAGAAGATACAGGAAGAAGGCAAAAAAGGGTCGCGTCTACACACGGTTGATTTCATGAGGGAGGGATCAAAGAGGGGATTGCAACTGGGAATACTCCCGGCGCGACCACACATGCAACCAACCTGAACGCCTATAGTAGTTGCCACAGTCGGTTAGGAGCGAAGCTGATTGTCGTTGGGTGGCAATAAGATAAGCTCATGAATACCGATTGAAGTGGAATAAAAAGCAACACGATCTCTCTGCTTACCAGCAGCGTGTTCCTGGTTATTTGCAGCAAGGAAGAGACATACGAATTGAGTTCCAATGCCCGCTTGAGCAGCTGATCCAAAGGGCCAGAAAGTCTGGGGTCGGGATCACTCTTAGCCTAGAAACTTCCGGGTTTCGGTAAACATCCGCTGCGTTGCCCAGCAACAGGCTTCTGGCGGAGGGGCTCAACTCACACGGATCCCTGCTGCCTCACGCATTGCCCAAGCAGAAGCAGAGCCAAGCTTCTACTGCTGCCATGCAGGCTACAAGTAGTCTAGTACAGCCACATTTAATTCTTCTTCTGCCTTATCTTATCGACAACCTCGTCATTGTGACCGGGGTCTCCTGGCTTCTCCCAAGCTCAATGGCGTCACAACCCTATTAGGAATCCGTCAAAATCTATCCGACAGTATTGTCTCTATTTCAATCACTTTCAAGGCGGCCAATTCTTACTTGACTTCTAACAGAAAAGAGTGTTCTCTACTTAAATTAGGGAACATTATCAGAAGCGAAGTCTTGGATGAGACCATAGTTGCCTGCATCCTCGGTGATACGGTGGGGGCACTCGGCCGGAAAAACTCCCAGCGGTCAGTCGCTCCGGCGCAAGCGGATCTTCCATAATCGTAACAACAAATGGCACAAGCATACGCCTTATTGGCTCTGAGAATTGCATCTCGGAACAAATACCTAATTAAGTGGTCTTTCAACGGGATGCGTACGTTGGGGCCCCCTCTTGACGCAGCCATGGAGCTATTTCATGGCCAATTCTGGGACTCCATCCAAAGAATCCCAAGCAAGGAGCAACCCAAACTGTTGGCCGACATATCAATGCTTTTCCAACAAGGTTACATTCGAGAGTGTTTTAGATGCCAAATGGAAATACGCAATGCGGAAGAGGAGATAGCAGACCTTGCTTTCGAATTCTTCGGCGTGAAAATGGAAATCAAGGACGGCGTCAGATCAGCACCACCGAAGCCAAGCAAGGGTTCACCGCTTTCTACTGAGTAGTAGAGCTAGCCATTCACTTATGATAGTTATCTCTGAATCCATTTCTTTTGTCCCCTAAATGTCTGAAAAGCCTGAAAGCTGTTAAGCAGCAGCTAGTCAAGCCTGGTTATGTGTATAGCAATGATCGACTTGGATGAGATTTATAGGCGAAATAATCCTTGAATAACATCCAAGTTCAGTGGATATAGTTCTGACGGAATTACTGGCCTTTAAACTTTCTAATCCTCGTCATATCTCTCTGGAGCAAAGTTTATGCCAAGAGCTGCTTATAGATACTTTCGGCCATGAGCTATTTTTACCTACAGCTATTTTCGCTATACTCGGCCCCACTGTTCTCCGTTTACCGCCCCGGTTCCGAGAGACGGGGATCGCGCAGGGCTTGTAATGTGTCTTATTCGACTGATGCTGTCAAGTCACAACTCGGAGCACATAAAACACACCTCCTAACTATTACTCCCATTATCGTGCAAAACTCCAATAGATGACCCACATTAATACACGACCACATATACTAACGTAAAGTCCCACAAGGCAGCGTTCGGTTTCTGATCAATTGAAGGCGATTGTTGTAACTCTTATGTCCTGATACTAGTAGCATCTCAATCATGATATCAGGTGACTCAAGATGACTGCACAAAAAAAGCTATTAGAAACAAAACGGATTGACCTTTTGAATTGCCCACACCCAAACTGGTCTCTTCTTTACAGCGCTTCAACGAGCAGTCCTCTGTTTCTTGTTCTGCGTTTCCCACAGATCTTGCTTGTGGCTACGAATTTAAGCCGTTCAGTATGTGCATTTACTCAGATATACCAACTATCCTTTTTAAATAGAACTAACACGCCAAGCTGTAGATGAGGCTAATAGCGCAAATAATTATAGACACAAATTGATTCATTGATTCTCATCCGTATTCCCTTCAATCCTGTTTTAAAAGAGTTTAAAATAAAATAATAACGAATTAATCATGAATTAATCATGAATTAATCATGAATTGCACTTACTCTATCCTTGACGGATTTGCTCACTGGGACCTTGGCCCTCTCCGACCAGTTTAGATAACCATCTCGTTTATCGTTATTGCGCCATTTACTGTACAAAGTTAGCTGACTCGGACCAAAGGTACATGTGACCAAGTAACCTACTACCACCAATACTCATCGCCTGGTTGCTCCTCGTATAGTTCGTTCGAACGACCCTCCCTCAATTTGGCGACGTAGTCAGGATTGTATAGCAGTGGCCGTCCGATGACAACAGCATCCATGCGATTGTCGTGGATCCATTCATCTGCCTCTTCAGGCCGGAAGCCGGTATTGCCAAAGAGCAGGGTGCTTTTGAGGATTGGACGCAGGTACGCTATCGGATCCCAAGCCACACCGCGGGGATTTCCGTCGATAAAAACATCATACGCCTCCCACCAGCGCATCACCTGAACATAGGCAAGACCCAGAGTGTCGAGTTTAGCGCAGAAGGGCCCATACATCGCTTTCGCGGCCTCGGCCGAAGGATGACCGGCAGCATCCAGCTCTCCCATGTCGTTGTAGCCACCGCAAGGGGCGATCTTGATTCCGATGCGGCCGTATGAGAAATGTTTGTTCATCTGAGCCAAACACGCGAGTGAAAATTTCATACGATTCTCAAGTGAACCGCCCCATTCGTCCTCACGCTGATTGCTGTGGGACTCGAGGAACTGCATCGGGAGATATCCGTTGGCATTATGGAGTTCTATACCATCGAAACCTGCCTCCTTGGCCAGCCGTGCTGCGGTCTCATACAGTTGAATGATCTCTTGGGGATCCTCAATGGCTGTAGGAACGACGTAGCCTGGGCCCCCGGGAACGTTGCGGAATTTGCCTCCGCGCGCTGCAATGGCGGAGGGCCCGGGGATCGGCTGGCCTAATGTCCGCTGCACACGTGTGCCCGGATGCGCGACTCGGCCCACATGGTGAAGCTGACAGAAGATAAGACCGCCACGTTGGTGCACCGCGTCAGTTACTCTTTTCCAGCCCTCGACATGGCTCGGGCCGTAAATGCCCGGCATGAAAGTCCACTCAACACCTTGAGGACAGATCAATGCGGCCTCAGATATCTATGAGGGCCTCAGCGATTAGGTAGTCCTTAGAAAATCGCGGCTGTACCGTAGAAAGACGGAGTCGATACTTACAATAAGTCCCAGGTCTGCCCGCTCAGCATAGTATTCAAGATGAAGGTTCTCACGAGGGATACTATCACGATTCCGAGTAAGGGAGGCCATTATTACGCGGTTCTTGAGATGAAGATCCCCCATCTGTAAGGGGGAGAGTAGATGGCTGAGTTTCGAAGCCATTTCTTTGTTTGCTTCATCGATTGGCATGGGGTTTCGTGACGGCCTCAATGATGGACGCTGTTGCGGAAACAATTGTTGAATTAAAAAGGATATTCTGTCTTCCTTGGTAATCTAGAGGCTGAACTGAGCTGTATCAAGTGTTAATGAAAATTGTAGATTACCGAAGGGGGTGTGGCCCCAAGACTGTTCCTAGAGTCTCAATTATGGAGCGCCCGGCGTCGATGTGGAAACGGAAACCGACCGACTAAACTAGGTTAGGGCTCTCTGCTATTGGGTTTGAGATACGTCGGTTTCTGATATGGAGCTCGCCATCTCGGGATCTCCAAATAGAAAAGCATTTAGCGGCCGATGCACCTTTGATTTCTTGGGGGAGCGATAGCGATGTCTAGATAGTCTTTGTGATAATTTTGTCAATGGACGACAACATAAGTCAATTAATCAGCTCGTCTCTGTCCTCATTTGCTTACATGACCCAGCAACGCGCATCGATGTCCCGCCAAATGTTTCCGACTGTCGAGTACCAGACTCTTCGAGATTTCACAGGACTCCCGATAATCCGTGAGGCCTGCGCCCGTGGCCATGAGGGAGTCCGTGTGACACACCTGCCAGCCCTACCCATTGGCCCAGAACTGCGGAAGACTCAATCAGATGTAAATAATTATCCTGTACGAGATCAAACATCGAAAACTCAAGCTAACGGATTGGAATTGGAAGTGCCCAGCGTTCATCAAGGATGAGCTCTCGCAGCCTTTGGCGCCAATTGCTACGAGCGCCAGGAGCTTGATGCTAACTCTGCACGAGATCTCGCATGTCATTTTTAATAACATTAGTCATGCCCTCGAGTTGCCTTGGGAGAAATACCTTTCAGAGATGCATGAATTCGATTCCCAAGGAAATGATGAGCTCCGCATCGTTCATCATGGGCAGGATGTGCTGCTGAAATGGTCCACATTGGTAAGCCCCCTGTTGTTTCTGAAACTTGCCCAACTAGCTACTGGATATATTTGATCTTGACGGCGTATTCAAAACAGACTATTGTCATATCTCTCAGCGATCCTCAGGAAGCGACGATCAGTTTTGGAAAGGCGCTGTTTGTATTCAGTGAAGGCCTTACGGCGCAGCCCAGTTCGTCAATCTTGGAAGCTCGTTCGCTGCCGGCTGATTCCGAAAACAGTTGGATTGTCTACTATGTGAGGCCAAATAAGGATGTTTTCTACACACAGACAGCAGGAGCCCTAATGACACCACTCTCCGTCCAAGACTACGAGACAAGGAAGCGTGTGAGCCAGCTTTAGCGCAATCCGTTCAAACACGGTTGACGTCGCTCAAACATGGAAAGAGGACATGTGTATGTGGTTATGCTAACTGTGTTCTCTCTCTATTAGATATTCAATTATATAGAGAAGTTACGAAAAGTATATGCGATTCAACATAGGTTTACTGATTTCCGTTATATAAGGTCGGAGCTCCTAGACGCTTTTTTATTCACTTCTCATCGTCAGATCGGTCAACAAGCACGTAATTCACTTTGTCACAAAGTATTGACCGGAACATCAGGCAAATAGGGTCTATCGGCCTACCAATTTAATACGCTATCAACGAAGTGGGAGGTTGACTAGCGAGCAGAAAAAGCTTCATTAAACACGCAAGAACTAGTACATCATATCCCGCCATAAGTTACGCTAGAGGCTCAAATCTCATTCCTGCGCGCAGTGGCATTAAGTAGATGCTCTCGGGGTGAAATAAGCAGTACCCAAATATATGTATATTAAAACACTAGTGAACTACGGTACTAGCAATATGCATTTACGCGTCGCAAACATTTCATATGCTTCTTGAGTTTCGTCAAGTGGTCCTATGGCGCTCACACATTATTGATACCTTATCTTGTACCTTTGCCAGAAACTCCAGCCTATTCTTGTATATACCGCGGGCAGGGCGGCCCCAGGAGATTGTGATCTTGGCATACAGACTCGATCCGTGATGGATGAAGTCTTTGCTTTGTAATCAATGGGATCCCGAGATTCTCCAACAGTCACCAATGACATCATTCAATTACGGGATTCGAAGACCCCGTTATCTCAGTAGGACGCGCCATGGAGTATTAGGATTAATCCGCTTGAGATGAATGATTAATACCAAACCAGACTAAAGATTGCCCCGATATCCATCCTGTTTCCGCCTATCGAAAGGTTTGTCTCCAATTGCTAAGCTTTTTTGTCCTTTATTCATCGGTTCTCTTGGCCGCGAAATTGGGTCTATTGATCGCTATGCAAGCATGACAACCGCCCAAAAGATGAGGAAACGGAAGAATTTCTCGGAAGTAACATTATAGAGATTTAGCAAGATCCTGCTGTTCCTGACTAACAAAACGGTACTGGCCCCATACACCAGGCTAGTATTATGTGGCGCCGTCAACGCGCCGGAGACAAAACCTATTGGCAAGGGCTGATATTATAGCTATTCTAGGTGACATGCAATTTCTGACTTGTTCGACCGGGAGAAGCATGGTTAGAATGATGGACTCTGCGCGTGTTTCGTCAGAGCTAGCTAAGTCCCAACGTGACCGCCCTGCAGGCTCATCATGTGAAGATGACTTGAGAAAGCCAGGGACAGAAATTCATCTGGAAGGGCCCCATCGATCTGTCATACTTACACTGTTCTTGACGACTTCTCATGGGGTTGCAGCAACTCCGACTACAAGACGTAAATAAAAAAGCAACTACAAAAGGACTGGTGCTAAGGCAGCAGGAAACACAGCATATTCCAAACCACAGCCTTTGTGTTCGAGAAGCATCAATCAGCTAACCTGATTAAATTTACATCTTGAGTAAAACCGCGGAATATTCATACATTACGCCAGCTTGACCAAAGCACATCACCCGTATCGAACAATATATTGATGTGCGAAACAGCTCCAAGGAGACCGCGGCAACGTAGGCCGTAAAGCCGAGGTCCTTGCGTACGCCACAGCCAAAAAGCACTGTGGAGTTTGTAAGCGTGTGCTCGATCAGTAAAACCAAAATCGGCAGGTTTAGATGCTTGTGGCTGTAAATGCGCGGTTGGCACTACAATTCAGTGTAGCAAACGAAAGGTTAGCAACAGCTTCGATATGGCGCACGCTCACGACGGAGCTCCTGAAGAACGGTGAGCTCTACAGTACTGTCCCACAAAAAGAGTCGAGAACGGGGCGGCTTTATGGCGCCTCTGTTGGGGCATGCACACTCCAAGTTATACTGGCACACGGGGCTAAATACCTGCTCCCCCAGCTAAGCCTACCTGCAAAAGAAGTTAGATGCAGCACAGATTCTGCCATCACTCTATTGTGCCACCATGGAATAGGAAACTATGACACTTTGCCAGGACGGTCCTTACTTAACTGAGCATTCCTTGCTCTAACTCATTTAATGAATCCGGGGTTAGTGAGAGCCTAGCGGCATGTATCGTCACCCAAGCTGTTTACATCTTAGGCGCCTATCACATATGTTACCGGTAAAGGCCCCATGATATCAAGAAGCGATGGCGACGAGCAGAACAATCTTGATTTCCCGAACTCCTGACGTGCAAAAAAAATCTTGGAAACATTTCATAGCCGCTGTGAGCAAGCTCTATTTCGGCCTTTGGCTTTCGTAGACTGCTCAGTTAGGTTTGACTCTGGCGTTCTTCCAAAATCTGTCCGAGGTCAATAGGGAAGCCCGCGTCAGATTAGAAGAAGGTCCTGGTCGGGAGAAACGAATCATTGCAGTTAGCCCAGATTACTTTCCTTGCATTGACCTTCGAACTCCAAGGCTGGATCTAGCCAAGATATTGTTCGTGCATTCCTGGCAATGCCGCCGCTTGAAAATACCATGGACTCTTTGAGCCCATACCATACCATACCATCCCCTTGTACTAAGGACTGGGGGAGTTCACGCAAGATAAGACTAGACCGCATTTCAGATGCGACCAAGCTCCCGGCGTTCATTTCATAGACCAGGCTGTGTTATTTGTCTTGTAGTACAGTAATAGGAAATTCCAAATTTAGTACCGGCATTGCCTTTGGCCTGCCTAAGTCAAAGTTGAATTGAATCAATGGTCAATTCCCGGCCATCGACGCCATCGCTGCAGCCGCACCCCTGTTCTTTCTCCGAAACAAGATCCCGAAATCTCCAATAAGCACGCTAGCTGACACAAGTTTATATCCACTAAGAACTCGAGATTCTCCAATTGGCCTTTGTAGTTCACTGATAAGACCTTTCTATAGTGATGGCCCATTAGCTAAGAGCTCGAGTCAAAGTAAGATAGTTCGAGATATGCAAGCACTAGCCTTATGATTTCAAGTCGTTATCAAGACTATGGTCATGATATGATCGTTGATCCAAATTGCTATCGGTGGTAAACTGTGCTTGATTCGAACCTGACGCATCGAGTTTGCTCTCTAGCATTAGTCTTCGGGTTATATCTGTCTGCCCTCCTCTGACTAGATAGTCTTGTTCATCTCAATTGAAAAGTACATAGTATCGTGGTCCTTCCTATATCTTGAGACCTTCACATAGACACACATAAAAAACGGAAACTATGGCCATGCGTCGCATTAATCGTTACAACTTCGCCGTCGTGCTCTTCGTAGCACTTGGCTCCTATACTTATGGCTTCAACTCGTCAATTTTTGCCTCCGTTACGGGGCTGCCGTCCTTCTACACCTATTTCGGCTTGACCACAAGCGGTCCTCGTGCAGACTGGAGTACACAGATGCTTGGCGGTGAGTCCATTCGAGCGCCCACCATGAAGACCCGGTTCGCTGATGTGCTGCTCGTTATAAAGCGATGAATAGTGTATACTCTGCCGCGGGTTTCTTCGGCTGTTTCACCCTTGGCTGGCTCGCCGACAAGTTAGGACGACGACGATCTATACAAATTGTTTGCGTATGTTGCATTATCGCCACGATCATCACTACTGCCAGTGTCAACATCGGCATGTTCCTCTTCGGCCGCGGTCTTCAGGGATTCACCTCTGGCATGATCGATACCATTTGCCCGCTTTACCAATCTGAAGTTGCACCGCCCCACGCTCGTGGACGCATGGTCGGCCAGCACGCATTCCTCCTCGTTTGTGGTTATGTATGTTTACTTCCCCATCAGCCTCTGCCTCTCATTTTGTAGTCAATCAGTTCGCTGTGCGATCTCATATCCCTTTTTATTTTTCCCCAACAAAGGATGCTCTCTTCTACAATCGCTGCTAACATATTTGACTTGTAATAGGCTGGTGCCAGTTGGGTTGGCCTGGGCACCTACTTCGAGGAGAATTCCGCTGTCCAATGGCGTCTCTGCATGGCTTTCCAGGCGCTCGCCCCTATTGTGCTGCTGATTGGGAGCCCTTGGCTTCCCGAATCACCTCGTTACTTGATCTATAACGGCCAAGACGTCGAGGGCCTCGACGTGCTGAAAAAGCTTCACCATACTATCGAAGACGCCGAAGATTCGTTTGCGCGGCAGGAATTTATGCAGATCAAAGGACAAGTCGAGATCGACCGTCATTCTGAGCTGTCCTGGCTCGGGCTGTGGCGCACCGCTGCTACTAGAAAGCGACTATTATTTGGGTTTTTTGTCATCGCGGCAGCCCAAAGTAGTGGCGTCTTGGTTATCAACAACTACCAAATTATCCTCTATGAGGGCCTGGGGATCACGGGTTGGAAGGCTTTGTTGCTCCTCGGCGTGTATACCTCATGGGCTGCGTTTATGAATTGGGTAAACGCGTGGCTGCTAGACCGGGTCGGTCGTATAAAGCTTATGTGTTTTGGTATGACTATAGCAGCCATTATGATGGCATGTGAGGCCGCTATGGTGGCCCGATTCGCCGGCACTGATAACACTACTGGAAACGGTTTCGGTATCCTTTTTTTGTTTTTGTTCATCACTTTCTTTGCAGGTGGTATGGATGCTTGTAAGTCACTTCAACTATGACGCCTCGCGACTATTCCAAATAGTGCAGAAACGCTGACTTTCTTCGTTGGAGCTTGCTACGTTTACCTTTCCGAGATCTTTCCTACGTGGATGCGTGCTCAAGGTGTTTCGTTTTCCGTGGCCGGTTTATTCACCACGACATTGGTCTATACTGGGTCGGCATCTGCAGCTTTTGCGGCAATCGGCTGGAGGTACTATCTTGGTACGTTACTTGCACGCTGTATGAATACCCACATTGTGACCATTCAGCTAAATTTGGCCAAGTCTTCATCATCGTCCCAATTGCGTGCGTTGTCGTCATTTGGTTCTATTTCCCTGAAACCAACGGCCTCAGCCTCGAAGAGATTGGCAGACTGTTCGGTGATAGTGTGGCCCCCGATCTGAACGATATGCCTTCTGAGGGGGCCCAGATCATTGGACAGGATGCGAGGGTAGTTACGGTTGAGGAGGCATCAACGAAGTCTGAAAAGGGACGACAAGGCTTTTAGAATTTCAAGTGGTAATCTAATGCCTTTTGAAGAAACAGTTAGATGTAAGCCGAGGAAAACTTGCTCAATTTAATAAGGTTATCGTAGGCACTTGAAGCGTGAGGGCAAGAAACGGCTGCTTCTCACAACGCTAGATAACGTGCTCAATATCATCCAAAACAAAGGAGAATATTTCCGCACCGTTATCAGGCATCTTGATGGCCAACCCTCTTTTTCTTCTTTTTCTTCTTTGTTCCTGGAATTAGGTCCAGAGGCCACCATGTCTATCGTCCGAGAGGTCGCTCTTATAGGAAGTGAGCTCAAACTAGTCTATCGGAGAAGAGGCGACACTTTAATCATTAGCTAGTATACTAATCTAGGTGTAGACCTTAAATACGCGATGTATATATAATTCCTAGGATGCGATGGAGATTCACCCTGGTCTCTCGCCAGAGAATTAATGCCTTTTTGACTAATTTAATTTAATTACTTTCTATAGAATATCTGAGTGAAATAAAGAAAAAAAAACCCTAGTAAATATCTACAGCAGGAAAATAAAATTTTAGGATATTCAAGATAATTCTTAATGTAAATAGTACGTTACTAAACTCGAGGCTATAAAAGAGTATATAACGAGTTAAAAGTGGGTACGACACTAGCTTGCTGTTTCCGAGGAAACAAGAGAACTGAAATCTCAACTTGTCGACAAGTTGGGTTAAACACAACGCTACGATCGATGCTTTCGGTGCTTCTTTCAACTCGCCAGACCTAGGCATCATCAAATCGCGTATGAATGCTAGCGTATGGAGGGTGGAGGTGAAAGTAGGGAATTTGCTTAATGTTGGTAACTTTCTCGCGCAGTCGGCACCTATTTGGGCGAAATGTTGCCAGGGTGGCCGCATTATACCCCGTCGCTTTAGTCTCTGTAGCCGCAGACATACGGTCTGATCCTTCGAAAATATCGTGCTCAACTAGGTTAGGGTAGACCACTTTGCTAACCACTATCTCGGGAACGTTGTGGGGTCACAGCGAAGAAAGATCCCGATCGACCCCCACACTACTTTGGTGCGTAAGCTAGGTGTACTTGGGCGTTGATGAAACTCAAAGCACCAATGATTTGGGGGCGTTAAAGGACCCAACTCGTGTTTTTGTACAAAGGCTTGGCAATGTGATTCAGTAAGTGTCGTCCAGCTGAAAGCATAGTGGCTATGCCAGCCTTTGCTACAGTCGATCTCTGCTCATAAAAGTCGGTCTTTGAGCAACATCTGGCGCTGCTTTTGTTGTGTCCCTGGACGATCATGTTCACTGTGTTTTGCGAGATCTGTCCACATGGAACCTACTCCTCCATCCGCGGCCGAACAGAATCGACCAGTCCGGGTCGCTGTCGTTCAAGCTGAACCCGTCTACTTTGATCTTGACGGCGCTGTCAGCAAGACGATTAAGCTGATTGGCGAAGCTTCGACTAAAGGGGCGAAATTGATCGCCTTTCCTGAGGTCTGGATACCTGGCTATCCGTCATGGATCTGGTATGCTTGACTTGAAGGATAGATTATCTTGTCATTTACTGATCCTCAGGTGGCACTAGGGCACGCGGATGTGACATGGATCTCGTTCAGAAGTACATCAAGAACTCCCTATCTCGAGACTCGCCGCAATTGCAACGAGTTTGCGACGCTGCCGCCCTTCACAACATCGATGTCATACTTGGGTATTCTGAAAGAGACGGAGACTCGCTTTATTTGGCTCAAAGTTACATCGCTTCCGATGGGACTATCCAACGAAGTCGACGAAAGATCAAACCGACTCATATGGAACGGACTATTTTTGGTGATGGCAGTGGATCCTCTCTGTTGAACGTCATCGATCGTCCTGGAGTGGGTAAGGTTGGGATGCTTTGCTGCTGGGAGCACTCTCAGCCGTTGCTCAAGTACCACACGCATTCCCAAGGCGAGCAGATCCACGTCGCGTCTTGGCCGGCACAATTGTGTCATGAAGAAGGTAAAGGTCTATGGTCGACGGCAAATGAAGGTTAGTCTACCTGATTTCTCTAATATCGATCTCTTGCACAGTTCTTCTGTGAGCCACGACTGGGGACAAGGACTGACGATGCATTACATTCAGGCTCCCTTAATCTCTCAATTACATACGCTATAGAAGGAGGTTGCTTTGTACTCCATGCTTGCGCTATCCTCACGCAACATGGCGTTGACGTCATGCAAACGATCAATGGCGACCAGTACTACGCGCCAGGCGGTGGCACTTCATGTGTCATCCGACCGGATGGAAAAATCTTGACTGAGAGATTGCCGGACGATCAAGAGGGTCTCGTCATCGCGGATCTTGACATGGACGACATCCTCCGCTCCAAGGCCTATCTCGATACACAGGGTCACTATAGCCGGCCAGATTTGCTGTGGATGGGTTCCAATACTGAGGAAATGACAAGAGTCAGAGCTTGAGGGAACAGCAAAACCAGACATAGCAAGTGATCAAACTAGAATGGTTTTTGCGCCGAGGTCGGTATTTTCTTTATCCCGCTAAGAATATACAACACATCAGCTTTAATATAGTCTGTGGCCAACAAAACTAGGACGAGAAGCAGCTCACCAGAATCCACACACATATATGATAATATTGCCATACAGCCACGATAAATAAAAGGTGTTCGCATACAGAATGTACCTTATCTTTTCCCCATTAGTGCGTCACCCACATTGCGGACCAAGTCTACCATCGTTTGTCAGCCACGATCGGTGATTCGCTATAATATGGGGCTATAATTTTGTCAGGAACATACCGTGGACCTTGGCAATTGAACCATACGATGAGGCGAAGCTCTGAAGAATAACCAATGCTCTATCCAGGCCTCTCAAGCATTGCTCACCCAGGTCATTTTGGGAATGGCCAGAGGAGGTCTGTCCTGGCCGAGTCTGGCTGAAGTAGACCATCATGATAGTGTATGCACATTGGACACTGGAGCAGAAGAAATACGGTACTGTTGATAGACCTTTAAATCAGATGAATTCGATGAAAGTTGGAGAAGCAGTACATAACTAACCATTGACATGATTTCGTATTGCCTCCAAGTGCGTAATGATTTCCAAAGCACAATTGGTGCATGTTTCTAGTGATTGGGCTTCTGTGAAAGGGAAAAGAAACGATCGGAGATCGCGGGGACTCCCATTCAAACTTCCCAGTTTCAATGGCAGCGCTAACGAATAGTTGCTCGAGGCAGTGTCGACTTGTTCTTCTGGTATATGCTCGAAGACTTCGAGCAAGGCGCAGGAATTCATGAAGGCACAGTACCGATGAAGCTTGATCTTAGCGCTGGCTGAAATATTAGCACCTGTGACATGGTGGTTGTTCGGACCGAGAGATTCATTTGTGATAGATACCTTGCTAGCCGCACAGCTGTCACGTTATGCATTACGAGCTTGCTTTGTCTGTCAGCGTCGTCTTTCATGTCGCTCGCAATGAGCGCTGAGAAAACAATCTGATCTCGCGTTTGGGAGTCTATGATGGCGTTGAGCACCTCGGCACTCCCGCGAAATGCGGCCGTAGTCGCCTCCGGTTTATCGCCAGACCCTTTGACCAAGGCAACAAGAAACAGCGTTGCAGCAAGTAGCGTCTCCTCAGCACGTACATGCTGTTTCCAAACCTAAAACAACGATAAGTTTGTGATGTAACATCGTGACGGACAACAATTACCACCTGAGATAACCCATCGTCCGGATAAGGTGTTTTGATACTCGACCTATCTAACTGCTTTGGAGGCTTCACATTCATTGATTAGCGAGGGTAGCATATGCACTCTATGCCCCACTGCGGATGGCATGCTTTACTCACCTTGCAGTTGACAATGCAGGCGTTGCACAAGCAAAGGTACTAGAGTGGAGAGGAAGATCAGTCTTGGGATATAAAAACCACTACGATAACTCAACTTACAGACATCCACCAAACTCTTCTAATCGTTTCAGTTTGTGGCCCCTCCCCTTCGTACTGATGCAACGACATTTGCATACATGTATCGAGAGCTCTCTCTGCAAGATGAAGCATCTTAGGTAGGTTTCCACTATGGAGGTAAGCTTGCATGCTTAAAACACATAATGCCATGGGGATCTGGAGCTGGTTGGGCAAGTTAGGATGTAGCCACGAGTCAGGCTGATCTGGCTCTAGAAGCAGCGAATTGAGCTCAGCCCTGCTCGTGTATACCTCAATGCTCTCCGAAGCGCACTCTGCAAGGGATTGTGTGAATCGGAAACGCATTTCCTGACTGATCTCTTCAGACGTAGAGCCGCCATCTGTGTCGGGAAAGAGGACAAGAACCGACAGCAGTGCCAGAATAAGAGGTGACGATGGTTGGTAGTCCGCGAAGAATCCTTCATCAACAGGAAGACCAAACATGGGCTGATCTGAAACTGACGGGTGTTCCCGGTTGGACTTGGACAATAATGGCAGAATGGGAAAAGATGCATGAATGAGAGCATAGTAAGAATCGAGGCTACATGCTTTATCAGTGGAAACATTTTGGGCTATATGAAAGTTTATTCCTACACGTCGGCGTCGCGCTGATATCTCCGTAAAGCGTGGAAATTCCGATATACCATGCTAGGAGAGGCGTCATGATGATCGGGGAGGGGCGGTTGCGGATATGACGGCGTTGCAAACAGTGAAGAGAAGAACTCATCAAGACCGTCGCTCTGCGTCTCATCGAACGCGACCGATTCTAGGCCGTTGCCCAGATAGAGCGGTGGTAGGATAAGGTTAGGTGTTGAGCTAGACACAGGATGGCCATGAACGGTACTATTCGAGTCATGCTCCTTGGTTGCGCGGTCATCGGTGGCACTGCGAGCTGATACTCCGCGCCGGCTCTGAGAGTACGAGCATTGCAGGCCTCGTGCACCACACTGTAGGTGAAAATTATTGACAAGCTGATTTCCAGAGGGCAGTGAGTAGAACAAGGACTCACACGATGGCACGGCTGCGATCCACTACATCGAACTCGCGACCCTCTACTGTAGTATGGATTATGTCATCAGCTCTATCTCCCCGATCAAAAGGAGGGGCAGCCAAGGGTTGTGAAACGCGAGTGATAATTACCACGGCATACAAGCCAGCTTCACTGGCGGAGTAGCAAACTTCTTGCGAGTCGGTGGACCCGACCCTTGCCCTGGCAGAGGGCGAGACGACGAAGGCATTTGGGTTGGTATCAAGTTTGTTTGCGCTATGTTGTCGTGTCTTACGCGGTCGAAAGTGGTGCTTCAGAGGGACGGGTGGCTGTTGCAGCGGAGAAGCCAGTGCGATGTGAGTCAACAATGGATGTTGCGTGTTGGGGAAAAGCAACCACTTCCTGGAGGCAATTGGGACAATACAGCAAGCATCCAGATGGCTGGGGATCAGCCCGCTTGACTATCAATGCTTGAGACCTTGAAGTCGAAGACTTGAAAAGCCAGCCCCGCTAAAATAGGCGTCTTGGGGATGCTAAGATCCAGTGGCCTACCAGTAAGCTAACCTAACCTTGGGTTTGCAGTGGCACGGCACTCGTCTTGGGTTCTGGGCACCGTCGTGTACGCCTGTAGGGGCCTCGTCGTGTGCGGGAACCCAAATGCGACTCGGTATATTTCCTCCTTCAACAGCATCTTTCACTTCAGTGACTTACATTTTCATCCAAACAACTCGCGTCTGTCTGTCCGCACGGGTGCGCGACTTGTGGGGAAGACGGATACGGCTCACCCCAGACTGAATCGCTGAAGTCTGCACCTACTGTGCCCAGACCGATCCCTTGCGTGCGCAGTCGTTGTGCGGGAAGAAATCGGTAGCAATGCAGCGGTACCGTCAGGCCAACGCAAGAGTGCTAGGTTACTGTAACACTCATACCGGTATCTGATACCTTTCTCCGCCCCGGCTTCCGGACCTCTACCACATCCATTGTTGTTCGGCAATAACTCACGGCATGAACCAGGCGGTGCCGTCCACCGTCTCCAGTGAGTCTCACACAAGGAGTGTAACGGACGGCCAGGCCTCCCCGCCCTTCCCGTTGCCACCAGAATACTCCCAAATTTGTCAGTCTCCCCGTTAATTGCGTCTTTGACGTAAGACGCCGTTGATCGAGTCGCACAATCATCGTCGTTGATTTTAACACTCGCGACTTCAGATGATCAATTACGTGCTGGTGACAGCCACGATTCATTGCGCGACTTTCGCGATTTTCTCCAGCACACCCGTCTCGAAGATGAACTTCACGCTCAACCAGCCCAGGCTAGCAGCAGGTCGAGCCTCTCGCAACACGTCCGGACCACGGCACATGTTGCAGATCTACAGAATGATCAACGCTCAAAGTCGAGCTTCTTCGCGTCAGATGATCTGGATTGCCTCCGGGCTGTGTTTCCTGCCGTCAGGGTACTACCGAGACCTGTCATGAACAGATATTTCGAAGTAGCCACACGAGTTGTTCTTAGCCGATTCCAATTCTCTGTGATACCAGACAGCACCACGACTCCGGCCATCCTTCTGTCTCTGCTCTCTCTGGGCGCACAAGCTCTCTTCGAGGAAAGGACAGCCGTCTCTCTTCACGACGCCAGTGTCGCCGCGCTCTCGGGCGAGCTTCATCAATCTGAACGTTGGACTACGACCTCGATTCCGAATGATAGCGCGAGAGGGTATGATCACCTGCCCCATACTTTGTCATATTCTAGCAAGTCACAGTTTACTCTGGCGCGTTCTTGCACAATCGCTTCGTCCTCGCTAACCGTTGGAGATCACAGAAATCCATCTGATCTACTGCGCGCTCTACTGCTCGTTAATGAATTTATACAATTGCAACAAGGCGAGAATCTTGTGCAAGATACGAACGCGGTCCGAGCTCATACTTTATCACACTTGTCAAGGTCTACAATTATGCTCGGTAGGACCACCCAGACTTATGGTAGTACCATCTGCGATGTGGAAGCCACGAGTTGTGGTGCAGAACGCCAGATAAAAACATACGTGTTTTGCATGCTCTGTCTGCAAACGCTTCTCGTTGGCACTGAAGTGACTGTCGCGGTCGATAGCAGCCAAGTATTGCTCGCGCGTTGCGTCTCCAACTGTACATGGTCACGATTCAGTGATGACGCGGATGAAACACGCTGCCGTTGTCCCGAAGTACCAACTCTATATGAAGCGCTTCGGATTCTGGGAAACAGCACGACTTCTCCAAATGACCTGCCCTGGTTAAGAAACGCGACAAATATCTATATCATCGTCATTCACATATTATATTCCAGTCACATGCTAACACAACTGCGACAATCAATGGTGTTGGACCCACGAATCGTGCTGCAAGATACTACAAAACCGTTTATGTAAGATCTTGTGATCTTGGCAACCATATATAGCTAATTGTATCATAGAGCTGCTGTCAACCAATGCAGCCTAGCTCTTCAGGATCTTCGAGTCGTGTCAGACCGGGATTGTGTCAAGACGGCTTCTCTCAGTAACGTCGACGCTCTCGTGAGTCTAGTACGGCTGCGGCAGGTCTTTGATCTTGACATTCTGTCTATATTGCGTTTAAAAGATCCCCTACAGTCCGCTGAATTAGCCTTATCCTTTCCCGGACCACAGCGAAGTCTTCAGCTAATCCCTACCCTGGAGCGTTGCGCCACAATCATGGAGACACCTGCCAAAATGGGCATCATGCTCTATGCCCGGACTCAATTAAACCTTTGGTCCCTGGAACAGACACTGGCAACCTTTGAGTGCACTCTTTTTTTGTCCAAATGGTTGGAAATATTCTCCTTGTCTCTGGATGAAAGTCCTGCAACACGTGAGTTCCCGCAATGTTTGGTTTGGTTACCAAGAGCAGGTTGAGCGGCCACGTACTCAAGTTTTACATTATATGCTGACTTAGCCGTATATATAGCATTGGAGGCAAGGATCTATGAGCAGGTTTACAAACAAATTCAGCTTGTAAACTTGGATGTGGAAGATCTGACTGACGGCCGCCTCACAAAGGCATCCACGGCTTTGCTCTCGGCGACAGTTGTGCAGGTGTTGGAGCAGATGTTCGGCTACCATACCAACAAGCCGCTGACGCAAAAGCTATCACGGATACTCGATCGATACATTCTTCTCAAGAAAAGCAGAGGGATTTAGGATTCGCGAAAGTCGCTCATCATGTAGGTAGCACTCTCCAGCCTCTCATTTGTTGACGGAGTATGAGGAATTTCCCGTCAAGCGCCGTGGTCTGTGGCCCGTACAATAGCCAGGCCATGTGGTCGCTGCATCCCAAACTGTCAGAAAATAGAGGTACAAAAGGGAGCAATAGCAGGTAAGGTATTTGTTATCAAATCTGAGATCCGGAAGCGATATCCACCCATTCATTTGCATAGCAAGTCGCGAAAGCACATTTGTGACAGGCGTGATACATGGTCCCATGGGCAACATGATTTTGGCCTACAGACTAGGGCGACAATGCAGTCGCGCAAGAAATTTGCCACGCTTTGAGCTGACAAGGTAGACCAATAAGCAATAAGAACCTCGAAGAACTCACTGTCGTGATTCGTAAGCTAGGCCTTGGATTCACTTTGACTGCATCCATTCAAAGCCCATACGTTGCGGCGAAGATATTTCGGAGATATTGGCCTTGCTCCAAATCAACCTGGTTTGCCCGGCTAAACGTAAGTGAGCAGTAAGATCCAACTAACATAGCTGTACTACACATCCTAGAGCGATATAGCGCCATGGCGTTGGCTAGACTCAAGTTCGTTCCGGGATGGGTGAGAGATAGCCGTGCCAAGAATTTTCACAATCACCAGTTCTGAACGCTGCCTGCTTAATTTGTCACTCTTTGTGAACATTCTTATCATACGAGTCAATGGTAACGTGATTTGTTCAAGTATTTCATCTTTATTGCTACTATCACTAGAAATAAGGTGACTCCGTAAGCTCCGGCAAAATTGTCCCCAATACTGTATACATGTTCCCCAATACTTCAAATGGTTCAAGAGCTGGATGAGGCGCAAAGGTGAGAAAATCTCCTTGAATTTGCACCCTTAAGCGTCCTTGATATGAGCTCGGACTTCGATCTCTACTCTCATATCGTCAAAAGCCAATCTAGGGACCCCGAGGGCAGTCCATGCCGGCTGGTGGTTTGGACAGTATTGCTTCAAGCAGCGAACCATGGTCTCCATGGCTTCTTGATTGCAGGGCAGGTGGTGAGACCTCAAGAAAAAGACATCCTCCCATCCACGGCTTCCGGCGAGCTTCAAGGTACGATCTACATTCTCGAAAGCCTTCTCAATCTGGACGACAATGTTTGGATCGATCTTGTCGGTGTCGCGATCCCAGCCGCCTAATTTCAGATCAGCCGAGGCTACACACCTTGGGTGGAAGATGTCCAACATACCTTGACCCGCACATTCGATGATGTTTCCTACCCGAACAGCCTGGCTATACCACAAATCCTTCTTCACTCTTTCGCCGTAGCCTTCGTAGGATGTGTAAGTTAAGTGTGACATGGTGATATATGATGGGATGTCGAAGGTTAAGTAGATGGATTGAGTTTGATTATGAAGAAATCGATGTCAATGTCAACATGGGCTGTGTGTCACAAGATTAAATACAAAGAATTTCGGCATTAACGTGTGTTACAACTCCACATCACAGACTACCTTTAGTCATGACGAAGCACAGAACTGACAGGGAAGCTATATGGAATATGCTGTAATCAGTGGCTTTTCTAATGGGGCCTTGGACAGTTCGCCGAAACCTTCTAGTGACAACTTTCCGCCCGCGATTCCAGGCTTCATGCTCATCCCGTCGTCTGAGGCAGCTCGAGGGATCGTCCAGCCCCGAGTCGGCTCATCTACCGAATATCCTGCAATGTTAGGCTCGTCGTCGGGATTGGTGTGGACCCCCTGAGATAGTTTGTAGATCTGCTTCTTGTGGATCCCGAAAATGATCGGGATTCTGGTGGGGCACGTATTTGCCCACACTTTTAGTTTACTTTGGTATAAACACACTATTCTGGATAGAAACACAGCAGATGTCTCAAGTCTGACTGCACGAGACAACGACAACAAATATCGAGGGAAAATATGCGCATCGGGATCCCGGGTGTCCATAACCGGCCCACATACCTAGGGAAGATCTTGAGAATAAATGCATATAACTTGCCCAGACCATAGGCCACTTGTGAAGATGCATCCAACTTCCATTATTGATCGTATTTCATTCATCGATCCACAGTTCTTTCGATTGTAGGCGTGAAGATGTCACATGTTGCGGCTTCCATACCAGCGCCTCTAATAGGTCACCTGGCATCGCTTAATTTGCCTGCACCCTCAGCCCTTGGACCATCATTCTTCGAATTACCGGAAACACCACTTGCAAAGCGCGCGGAGAATTTCGTGCGGGAGTTCATACCATTATGGGCTGCTCATCATTCCTTCCGCACGTACGCGTTCGCGTTGTGCATTGCGAATTATGCTGGGTGGGACAGCGGCGAAAACGCGCAAGAACTAGGCTTCGATAAAGAGCTTATCTACTTCGCTTGCGTTTTGCATGAGATCGGGTTCAACCCAGACGCCCAGAAAAGCTCGTTATCGTTGGAGTTATGGGGCGCGATCAAAGCACGCGAATGGATTCTGGAACAAACGTCACAGGTGCTTGAGGAGTGTCGAGGCTTCCAGACTGCCGAGTCGATGGCCTACTGGGCTGACGAGGTCTGCGAGGCTATCGCGCGACACACCATTGAGTTTCGGGATTTCAGTTCCCGAGTCAGACTTACTGGTGCTCTAGTCACACTCGGAGCGGGTCAGGATCTTATGGGACTAAGCGCGCAATTCATACATTCCGACGATATTATAACGATTTGTGAGAAATGGCCTCGAATAGGTTACTGCGATGGATTAAAAGCTATTTCCAACATTGAGGTACGAAACAAACCAGCCTGCTTATTCGAAGATTGTGTGCCGACGTTCAACCCGGGAATGTACGGAGTGGTTTGTTTTGACGAACTGCAAGGTGTTCTTGATAACGGGACGGGGTAAATATAAACTATAAATTTTGCCCTCTACTCTTGTTATGGCTGAGTACAACCAACTGCGCCGCCACCTATAGGTGTATAAGTGTCCATTGTAGAGCTGTTGAGCTCAAGGTCAGCTTGCGTGAAGTCTACTCATCATACAGTTGCCAATGGTCAAGATGACTGCAGCTGCGACCACCCAATATGCACCGTCAATGCAAAAAACCATTGGCGCACACTCTGAGCCCTCAGATAGGAATTTTCCTGTTGAGGTAGGAAAACCCAAGTGAACACATTGCTCAAACAGTGATTATCAGCTTATGTACCTTGGCCAAGACGTGGTTACATAACCGTCAACCACATTAATCGTCAGATATGACTCTACTACAGTTCGCCGTAATTTTTTCCAGGTCTTTAGGTACTAGCTCTGTTTTAGTATGAGAATCTGAAGTCAACCTTGACCTACGTATCTATAGCTCGATAAAGATGATACACGACTACCCAGTATACCTCGACACCCGGGCTGAGGGGAGCTTCACCTTCACAGCATTCTCAGATTCTTAGTCATCGACTAGTCTAGACCCTTATAGTAGACCAAGATTTTCTGCGGTAGTAAGCTCTAATTTTCAGCCTGTCGGCTAAATCAATGAATTTTTTGCCTGGAAATTTTCGCCAGCCGTCAAGCTGCACAAGGAGACTTCTCTCATACTCGAACCGCTGCCGTATGATTTCGTTCTAGGAAATGCTTGCTTAAACATGTACGAGGTCTTCGACTTCAATGATAGGCAGCTGCCCTTGGCGCTAAAACCGGCATCAAAAGGTATGTTGTCTCATAATCGTATCGTGCGGCTGCACCGTGTGTCACATGTGGTTTAATTGAGTCAGAGTTGCAGAAGAGAAACTAAAGATAGAACGTGCGAAATGAGTTGCCAGAGCTCAACAAGAAGACGTTGCAGACGCAGATAGGACCAGAAGATAAGAAGAAAGAGGGAAGCAGCGACTGGAGATCAGTAAAGTCAAGTATTATAACAGTGAAGGGTGACCTTATTATACATCTCGAGGTCTGTGTTAGGGGGGGAAACCCGGATGACCACCAATACTACTGTATTTACTATCTGAAACGCGCCCTAATATATGCTATACAGTGCAAGCTAGCTAAGGACAGTCATATTCTAGTGGTTTTCTTGGTCTAGGAATGTACTGTAGACTTGCAGTAACGATGTAGATTCAGAGCAGCAAGGGTACTGGGAACGAAAATGGCATTACGGCGTCGCCAGTTGATTGTTGAGTGCAAAGCCTCACGCTTCTAGGTAGTACTATTGCACAATGAGATGGGCCTAGGGCAGATTATGAGATATGCTGCGAGAATGCCGATCGGGCGGGCACTAGGTACGTCTTCATGACAGTTAGACCTCGTGCAAATTAAAGTGCGAATGAAGTCAGTTTTGAGAAACACAGCGTTCACACAAGCTTATCAGGACGCCGCATGACGTTGGTCAGCACGGCCTCCACAATAAACCTCGGCTCGGCATATAGAAGCAAGCGCGCCTAATGAATACTAGCCGATTAGTTAGGGGTATCTGGACTATCATAAATATCTTGGGGAGACGAAGGAGCCGTTTTAAAGATGCTGGTTCATCTGTTTATATAAATATGAACTTATTTACAAGTGTATATATATTCTGTTTTATAAGTGTATAATGTGTTGTCGCATAACTGCGCGATCGCTATATACACCGTTATTGCCGGCTCTCAAAAGCTTGTATTTTAACTCTATGCCTGATAGACAATCTGTATATGCAAGATCTCAAACGCGTGTCGGATAGACATGCTGAATCATTTATAGGATTCTCAATCCCTGCTATTCGTTCCTCACTGACTCCATATCATCCCGCCGTATTGTTTATATCCCCGACTTTTTCATTCTCTTGATGTGGATACCTCCGCGCTCTAGTTTTGTGATATCGACAGAAACGAAATGAGTACCATCGTCTGTCCGACTTGTAAGGGGGAGATAGGAGGATTATGAAACGTATGGGTCCTGGATACGAACCTGCCAAGAGAGCAGAATGGACCCTGTCGGTTTCGCCCGAGAAGCAAAGCATCTCGGATACGAAGGCGCCAAGAGACCAAAATGGATCCACACATGTCTTCTAGAAGCACTGCCGAGTCGGTAACGACACTAGACGAACATGGTAGTATCGAGTGCGGACACTGAACCCCTGGCGGCTTGGCCGTGACTTGAGGCACGACGAATCGGACATTTTCCGTATTCCTTTTTCTTTAAACCCGCAGTGGCATTAATTTGGTCGCATCTTAGGTAATATACTATAGGTTAGCGACAGCAAGTGAAGCTTAAAGTAGTCCCTTAATTAAGTTTTAGCGATGCCGTACCAGGAGGAAGGGATGCATGAATCAGCATAGCCCGCGCGATGAGTTTATATAAAATACTGATTATTGTCAACTTATTACTGTCTTTTGCATCTTAGACCAGCTCTCATTCCTCAAGCTGTCATTCGCTACATCTTCTCTCGTCGCTCGTTTAGCATTTACTTTTTATCACAATGCTTCCTCGCTCGTTTCTCACCGTCTTTGCCCTCGCAGCAGAGGCTGCCGTCATTGCTATACCCCGTGCGGATACTGCATGCATCAACGCGTCCGTCCGCAAGGAGTGGCGTGAGCTGGATGATGCCGAGAAGGCCGAGTACCTCCGCGCTGCTGTGTGTGTGCGGGGGCTGCCCAAGGCTAAGTACGCCGACATCGAGGCCGTCACCACGCGCATGGACGACCTAGTCTATACCCACTTTACACTCAATACGGACATCCACTTCGTGGCCAACTTCCTTCCATGGCACCGCTGGTTCGTGCAACTGCACGAGGACCTGCTGCGCACCGAATGTGGCTTTACCGGTGTCCAGCCATACTGGGATTGGAGTATTGACGCTGACGCCGAGAACACACCCAACTCTCCCATCTTCGACTCTGTCACCGGCTTCGGCGGCGACGGCAAGCACACCGGAAGCGACGTGCCTGGCTTCCAGCGTTGCGTGGTCGATGGCCCCTTCGCCAACACGAATCTGACACTGGCCATGGGCTGGCCTAACATGAACGACCACGGCGATCGCCTGCACTGCTTCACTCGCGAGTTTAACGGTGGTCTGGGCAACGACGAGAATGGCGAACCCATCATCGGCGACATGCAGGCCGGGGCGTACAACTCCAAGGTCATGAACACCATCTACGGCTTCGACACCTATGCCCAAATGTCCTCAATGCTCGAGGGATTGCCGCATGCGCAGAGTTTGTTTTTTCCTCCCATTGTTTCTCACACAAGGTACTAACATGACTGAAGTTCACAGCATTATCTTCGGCGATATGGGTCCGGCCACGTCGCCTAATGAGCCCCTCTTTTTCCTTCACCATGCCAACGTTGACCGTGCCTGGGCCAAGGTACGCTTGATTCTCCTCTCACCTATTTACTAAATAAAATAAATGGGGTCAAACTAACGCCTATCACAGTGGCAAGGCCGTAACGCTACCCGCTTGGCTGATTACACGGGCTATAAAGACACCGACAAGACAGTCCCAGCCTCGATCACCGATGCAATGCCCGTGCTAGAGCTTGGGAATACCCTGCCAGTTGTCCAGGATTATATGGACACTCAAGCCGGCCCTCTTTGCTACACATACTCGTCCATGTGAACGCTGTCGTGGCGGTCTGAGCCGATAGCACGTTTACAAGCAGGGATGGCAAGCTTAAGCTCATAGCCAAGGCTGGTGCGGCCACGCTCGAAGACAGGCCCGGAGGCTCCCTGGTGTGGTAGCTAAAATACTGAAATTAGCTCTGTGCAGATAGTAAGTACAGCGCTGTTCAGTAGAGACTTATTAGCACTATAAATAATCCCCAGTTGGGGCCATACCGGTACTGAGTATGCCCGCGGCAGCTGCATTACATATAATGTCGTCTTATCTATATCTGGACTAGACAACAGAAACCACAAAATCGCAGGATACAGCGTTTGCATTTAATGGCAACGGGACGAGGCGCATCCGTTCACCTCGGTCTGTCGCACAGGTGCTTCGAAGAGAGCTAGCTGTACCGCATTCCCTTGCATAGCAAATCCCCATTGGTCACTACGGTCCATAGCCGCTTTCTGGTTAAAGACCGCCCAGAAATTGCGTGGTGGATTGTCTGCTATAACGAACTGCTTTATCTGGCCAGAGTGGAAGCGCCGGCCTTGACTAGAAACAGGACGACGACACGGGTGTCGGGGTCGCTAACAATCGAACATGCGACATAACATAAATAATTCAGATTTTGATTCGTGTCTAAGCTCTCGTCCATCGTTGGGATTCTACGTTTGTGAAACGTGCTATGCCTTTGCTATCGAGTACAAAATATGCCGTGGCTGCAATTGCAAAGGCATCTGGTGCAAAGACACACCGACAAGTTCATGGAACCACTCTAATTGTAGAATTGTCAAGTCCAATTTCCAAAAATTCGAACCAACACGGAAATTGTAATCACAAAATCTGGCGGACCCCATGTAACGTATATCAATTTTGGCTGAGATATCATCTATCAGCCATTTTACAACAAGTTGAAGCTTCTCCCTAAGAAGTATCACCATCTACCGTCTTCAAAAGTCAATCAATTGAAGAAAGATGACGTCTCGGCATGGAATAAAAGTTCTGGCGATTCGCAAATCGTCCTCGAATTCCCTTTATCAGTAACGCGCCAAGTTCACCGCGCTTTTACATCACCTCGGCCCTGAAAGATATGAGGTTGGAATATCTGACGCTAAGTCATTGTTGGGAGCTAGGAGACCAGTTCGTACTTACTACATCAAACCTCGAAGCGCTGGCTGCACTCCATGGGTTTCCCCTTGAAAACCTCCCCGAGACATCTCATGGCGCAATCATGATTTGCCGGTTGCTGAATGTGAGATACTTGTAGATCGATTACATCTGGTTATCCGAGCCGGCGACGGCGGCGCGGACTGGAAGCGTGAAGCCCCGAAAATAGTCAGGGTCTTTGGAATATCACTCTGTACCTTGGCCGCGCTGTCGTCGATAAGCGTGTGGTCAGGACTCTTTGCCATTCGTAATCTACTAAGAAGTGGGCTACTGTTATTTTGCAGCATGGCAAAAGGAGATAGCGTTTCATAACCCAACTAAGCTCATCACAAGGCAAGGATAGCGTCAATGCTAAGCCGCAATACCACCATTTCGATTCACGGGACTGGGTGGTTCAGCAGCGCATGCTCAATCCTTGCGCACTGGGCTTTCCCGCTGCAAATATCTCGTGGGAGTGCGATGACCTGCGGGCCGCTGACTGATACCCCAACGGTGTCAACCTGAAGACGTGCTTTTCGTCCACTAACCTCATGGTTAAAGTTTTATTCCGGCAGGCGGCGATGCCGCTCTTGAAGCCTTTATTCGACAGGCACCGTACATCTTTTTTGGCGGCGTAGTACGAGCCTGTGTAGGAATATAGTGGATTAGAACTTACCGTGGCTAACGACAAGCTCACGACCCTGTTCACGGTCGCGCAGTCAAGCTTCATTTTCTTCATCGCGTCACTAACTACATCTTACCCATATACCCCCAGAATAAATTTTCTCAACCTCCTCATTCTCGCTACGTTGGTCAGCGCAATATCCCTTGACGGCAAACATTACAAGGGTTGTGGCGGAAGTTAAGCTTAGGAGAGCAACGGAAACGACAATGGTAATGGCAACGCAGCCTCGAAGTCGACTGCGCGAGCTGTGAATACCGAAGGCAAGGCACTGATGGACCTTATTTCGAGGGCCTTTGCTGCAAAGAACTGGCCTTCATGGATGATTGATTCATTGTTATTTTGTTTACACTGCGGTCGAAGAGCATTGAAACTTTGAGGAATTACACACGATGCGTTAAGTTGAACTGGTTGACGGTATCTAATGGTAAGGGCGTGGAAGCCGTCTCTGGTATTCTAAAGCTCGGCATTCATGCGAGTTGCGTGGGAGTTTATCAGACTGACTGCCATCGTTATACTGGAAGTTGACTAGCGAGAGGCCATCCAGCGTTGACTGGAGTGTATATTTTTGATGTGTAGAAAAAGGGCTTCGGCATAAAGGGAGGCCAGAAGTGAATTTTTTGAGAGTTTCCTGAGGTCAATTTTGACAAATGACTGGTGCCTAGAACTAAATCTGTTTCGTCTTTCACAAAGCTTTCTGCGCTTTACTTCACATACTGCATTGCATTTTATTAAATATCGCTTCCAACTTGCGTTCTCCTTACTTATTTCTCCAAGACACTATTCCCTCATGTTCGCTAGGCCACCGATCTCTGATCGCCATGTCGTCGTGTTGCCTCTTGATTGATCGTGGGCCAAGACCAGAAGAATTCATACGCAATTGGATCCTTGCTGTCAAGGGTTGTCGCAGAGGCAGTAACTCAGCGTGAGACGCGGCATCCTGAAATGGACAAAAGTCGTAATGCCAGCTGTTTACCTCGAGCTTCGCTTCTCGCTATAGTCTATTGCTCAGGTCTGAGCTTATAGAAGTTCATGATCCGGTATTTGCTAGGCTTACTTCGTCTCAGGGGAGCAAGGAGGGTTTCTTGAGTAGGTAGTATGGCCCTTTTCGGGTTTATATAAACGATTTAGGGCATTTTGAGTCGTCATGCCTCCATGCTAAGCCACTTGAGTTGTAGCATCTGGGCTATTTATAGCAGCTCAGCTGTATCTGTTCCTTTAGATGGGCGCAAGAGGCGTCAAAATGGCTGATCCAAGGCATTTGATGCGCTAACATCATCAGTTGAGCCCAATCCCATCTCAGCTTCCTCATCTCGGAAGCGATAAGGTCTATACAGGACTGATGTTGCACAGGATCGCAGGCGCTGATGCCACAAATTATGAGCAGCCAGCTTCGTATCGCGAGACGGTCGAAAGATCTCGGAGCGTCTATCTTCACAGATTGGGCGGATAGTAAATCAAATAAAGTCGATACATAAACCGTGGGAGACCCAAGGAATGATCCACAGCGGCGCTTTATGCAGATGATCCAGAGGATCGCACCTAGTCGCAGGGCCTCGAAAATCGCATCTTGTGGCATGGTTCCTGTATGTGCGGAACAGTCCAGTAGGCGATACACTATGGGATTGGTTCGAAGCTCAATGTATACAACCTCTGTCCATAATGCATCTCCTTTGATCGCCGACTCGGCTTTAATGAGAGCGGCGACAGCGTTCAGGTCAGTAATGCAAGATGAAACATGTAGGGCATGGGCGTCCATGGTAGGTTCCGATTTCATCATATTGAATAGCGGCATTGGCAGAGTATGTGGATATGCAGCTGGGTGGACCGGGGGTATAAGATCTAACGGAGGTGGAAATCGTGGCCTCAGTCTATAGAGGAGGGATGCGGTAATGTCTATCCTGCGATTGAATCATTAGCACGTAAGGAATCCACGAGTCATCGTAGAAAACAGGTTATTTATTACCAGAATATCATCAGCCTGAGCTCATCGTGGCCTTGTAAATGGTGAATCCCTCCTCGAACATTAATTATCAACTCTAAGCCACGTAAGTGGACAAGTGCTTGGCTGAAATCATAAGATATGAACTACTGCAATGTCAGTATCAATAGTACTTTCGGCTCAATATAGAATAAAATAAAATAAAAAGCGTTCGTTCGCAGGAAAGTAGAAGATGTCTCACATTATAGCAAATGATTGCCAAAACCGCACGAATGACATTATTTGCTGCCTCCTGTCCCAAATTGGGGTTCGCGAGGTAACTTTCAATGCATGATATTGTAATCGAGGAGCGCTCTAGGGCCATTATCCTAAATTTTGCGGACAATGCCCGGGAAACGCCGCCCAGAATGTTGGGGCTGGCAAAAACATGCTGAAATTGATGAAGAAATCGGGATGATTGGAAAGCAAAAGGGAACCAAAAACCCTTAGTCGAGTAGTCTGTCAACAAAGTTGAGCGAGTTGAAGTACATTCAAGAGAGGAGACGCAGGGTTGGTTCGGCTTACTTGGGTTTGCAAGGTTGCTCCCGGCACGCAGCAACAGCATCATTCCGTATGCAGAGAACATGTCGTCTCCCCACTGACTCTCCAAGGTAAGCAAAGGGTGCTGGTCCCAGAAAGGTGGCACTAGAGACAGAAGGGTCTCATAGTAAGCGGATGGAGGTACAGATTGGTATGGCATTGCGGATACCAAGGCAATGTCCGAGTCGACAAGGTCCTGAGACTGCGGCTCCTGCGGCTGTTTCGCCCGCTTTATCTGTTTCGTGCGGTCCGGAAAATGGACAACGGCATCGAATTGCGGATTGCGCGGGGGTTTCCGCCGTGCCTTGCCGATTTCAGCCATTACATGACGATGGATCTTGGTCCTTGTAATTTTATCAAGCTGGTGAATATGAGTCGGACCGGTAGAGTGGACGAAGAGAAAGGGCCGCTGCCGTTTCGAAGCTTCTGTTGCCATGTTCATAGAATTTTTAGGGTCGTGAATGGGAGTGTTAATCAAGCGGCAACAATTGTCGGTCGATGTCATACATGAGCTACACCAATGCTCAGGCTCAGTCTTGGTGATGAGACTGGTGATGTTGATGGACTTACCGTCTTAACTAACATAACTAGGTTATGAGTGTGTGTGCCAACGTTACTACTAAGCCGCTTTACCTCATTAGTGACGTCGTGGAGAGGGGCATAACTCGAAGCTCCAATTGGCTGGAAAAGGGCCCCGCGAGGAATCCTGTTAACAGAGGCCGCATTTGCTTCCACCACCTTGGAGGCTGGGACCCACGAGCTCCCACACCTTTTCCTAATGAAGTAATAGGTCCCTGGCTACTTGCAGCGGATCTAACCAATAAAAGAGCATCATGTGTATAGCAAATCAAGGGTCTGCTTATATGATACCTAGCTTTATTGAGATGACACCCACCCCTGTGGCGTATGTGGCTCGACACCCGATATTGGGCCCCACTGCTAAATTATATCTAAACACAGTAATAAGCATTGGCTGTAGGACAGAGATATCATCCTTGGGGACAAGCCGTCTCTCCTTTGCCCCCTTAACCCACTAGTATTGAGGGGAAAGGAAGACCAAAGGGGAGTCTTGGTCTCGAGAAACCGGCTGCTATTACAGGCTCGAAGAGGAATATGTGTGGATTTAAGATAATCAGGGCACAAGAGAAGAGGGAAGCTACTGAGGAGGCCGGAACAGCCGCGCCGAGGACGTCAGCCCGAGTGTTGACCACAGCCGAGGATGTGGATGGTGATATTGACGAACTGGTACCTATGCCAGAGACACAGCAGTTCTTGTAGGCTACGTCCAACATCTTCGTGGGCGGCCGGGATGGCCCGGATGATGAAGCGGCCTTCGAACAGAGGGCATTTTCTACGATGGCCGGCATGCCATTTGAGCGTTTGAGGTTATGGATGAGGATTTAGATCAGGATGATGCAGATGCAGATGAACTAGTAAAATTTACAGATTGATCTCGTTGAGAGCTCCGTTTTGATATATGATACAATGTGTAGTCTTGGTGCGTTGCTAAGTTGTTGTGTTGTTATGTGGGTTAGCTGTGAGATGGCGATGCGTCTTTGTTTACATACAATTTAGTAGGGTGCCCGACACCGGCTGTCTTAGCGCTGCAGCTATAGCTGGTGAGTGTCGTCTTGTCATATAAGCAAACCCCATATCAATTTACCCCTGATGAAACTGAGAAGTGAAGGGAGGGTCTAGAAGCAGGTACTACATTGGTTCACTACTTTTTCACCCTTCTCTCTTCAAGCAGGCACCCCGTCAGAATCTAGACGCACTCGTCGAGTTGAGAATCACCTGAATCAATTCATTTCCCATCACAAAAGCATCTGGTATCTAAAGTCTCACTTGAGAAGTCATCTCATTTGAAGCGTCATCTCCAACTTAGTAAGTTAATGCACAATCATGGTGAGCCGATTGTAGGACCAGTCCAGCCCGTCCGCCTCAGCCAGTCTGCAAAAGTACTCGCTGCGACTCCTAATTCCTCCATAGACCGGTCGTCATCGGGGTCGAGAGCACCATAACAGATCTTCTCTTTAGGAGCCATGGCAACCCATTCCATCATTTGCTTTACGTCATCTCGAAAGGCCGGGCCAAGCATCCCAACTGTCATGTCCGTCCATACATCCAACGACAGCGGAGAATGAATTGCCGGCTGTCCAGTGATCGATGTAAACGTTGACGCCATCTCATCCATGCTTATCTTGGGACTTAAGACTGGATAATTCCTCCCCTTGGTCTTTTCTTTGCCCAGAGAAAAGACTCCTGAATAAAACGTCACTGATGCTCGGATGATGTGTAGGGATCTAAAACGCGCATGGGAGAGACGAAAATATACGGGGCTGACTTACTGGCGGCGAATCTTCCAACATCGTAACTCGAGTCAACCCATTCCGCAGTTTGAGAACCCGGGATGGGCGCACAAAAGCGAACGACGCCATCGGCTGTAGAACCATAGGACGTCAACGAATTAGCTTGACAAACCGGCAGCATCGATTACTGACATTGCCGCTGAGCGTATTGTGGCCATGCATGATTACTATAGAAGAATCCTATTTATATTTCATCAAGTCAGACTTCCGCGTCTCACCAAGTAAATTTGAAGATGGAGACTGCACCTGGAATGAGGCAGGTGACACTATCAAGCTGCTTTCTCGCATACTGCTCGGTCATAAACTTGTTGTTCATGTGATGTATTCGTGTATAACGGCCCGAAGTCACTTTGGCCATGTCAGGCAGGCTGCTAAACACAAAATGCTCCACAAAGCTGTATTTCGCAGCATCGACAATATTTCGGCCTGCCTCTAGCTCATGCGCTATCTCTTCTTCGTTCATGAGCACCTTACCGAGTATGATCTCGCTTACCACGGCGAACACTCCATAAGCCCCGCTAAAGTTCTTTCGTAGGTTTTCCGGATCATACGGATCACCGTAAACGATGCTGAGCCGTCCATCCGGAGTCTGTTGCTCAGCAAGAAGTTTCTGGGCTCTCGTAGAGACGGGATCCCGAGTGACAGCGCGAACCGACCATCGTTCCTTGGACGTGTCTTTCAACAGAGCCGTGACGACTCCGCTGCCCTGACTCCCGGTGGCCCCCAGGACAACGATGACTCTCGGCTCCATCTCTACTCATTTCGTGAAGACAAGAGTGCAAGAATGATAGTTCAATAGAATGAAGGCGTTATGGGTCGCACGAACTTCAAAGGCAGATTTAGATATGTTAAAGGGGAGACGATGGAGGAACGAGGCATAGAGAGGGAGAGAGCCAGAAAAGACACCGCTTATATACCTTCACCTTGAGCACCAAACTACGCTACGAGTGGTTGTACCTACCGATAACACCTATAGAAAAAGATGTGGGAGTAAATGGTACGCCTAGTATTTGTAATATGATCGAGGCTCAGACACGCTATGGAACGACTATGCTCATGAGTCGGAATCTCCACAAAAGACCATCATTCGGAGATCTTACCCAAAGAGGAGAAAGGTCTATCTAAAAAGGAATGATCTGCCGATTAGCCGCACATACAATCCCTCTGTTTTTGAGCTTCATATTGACTTGCACCACGCTATGCCTTCAGCCAGTAACTTCGAAACACGTCAATTAATGATTGCAGAAACTTCTATCCTTGGCTTTACAGAGGTACACAAGGATATTAAGCGAAGAAAATGCTTTGAAATCTCCTTTCACTGGCATGACGATGACAAATGTAAAGATGGAAAGGAAATGAGGACCAAGGCGGCCGAAAAGGAAGAGAGAAGAAAATATCGTGCCCATTACCACGGCGTCTATGCGCTTATAAACTGCTAAATTAATAATATTTCGCATTTCTAATATTGATTTGATCATTGTGACAGTGAACAGAGACAATTTTGTAAAGTTCTATTTGGATGTTTGGATAAAGAAAAATATAAATAGGGTCCACTGGTCTATTGTCACCTGTTTGCTTTCTTCAAAAGTTCTCCTCCATTCTCCAAGAACTATAAACTTTCACACTCTATCTTAACACTCTAATCTGTCATCATTTTGATTAATCTGCAAAATCTGCCAAAATGAGCATCAAGACCGATATTACTCTTTACACCGAGGGCACTCCTAACGGTCTTAAGATCTCGATTGCGCTTGAAGAGTTGGGCCTCGAGTACAAGGTATCATTTCGATCGTACCCTTAATCAGCATGTAAACTGTAGAAACTGACGCGTTCCTTACATGTAGGTTCGCTCGCTTGACTTCTCTAAGCTTGAACAGAAAGAACCATGGTTCCTCGAGATCAATCCTAACGGTCGTATTCCGGCTATAACTGACAAGGACGAGAATGGAAATGAACTCAAGGTTTTTGAGAGTGGTGCCATTCTTGAGTATCTTGTGGGCAGATACGACAAGGACCACAAAATTTCCTACTTATTTGGGTCCAAGGAACACTGGGAGACAACCAATTGGGTATGTATTTCTATCATATACCCCGAATGTCGACCTTATTTTTGCCTCTTTAACTTACAGGTATTAGCTTATGTGGCAGATGGGTGGCCTAGGACCTATGCAGGGCCAGGCAAACCATTTTGCGAGTATGCCTACTTTTGTTGCTTGATAGAGGAGTGTATGTGACTGACGAAGACTACGCTCAGGATTCGCCGATGCGGTCTATCCGTACGCTCTCAACCGCTACGTGAATGAGAGCCGTCGCCTTTATCGTATTCTCGATGCCCAGATTGCAAAGAATCCTTCTGGCTATATTGTCGGTGACCATGTGAGTATCGCCGACATTGCCTGCTGGCCTTGGGTCTGTGCCTGGAGTAAGTTATCTAGCCGCAATCTACTACGTTTCTTCGTTGCTGTTTCTAACTCTTCATGCCAGAGTACTCAGCAGTTCCTGATTTGGAAGAATTTCCTAACGTCCAGAAGTGGATGCATCGACTCCTTCAGCGGCCCGGCTTTGAGAGGGGCCGCAATGTCCCTGGACCCCACTACCACTTTGAATTGAACAAGCTTTCTGAGGAAGAGCTGAACGAGCTTTCCAGTGTTAGGGGTTCCTGGGTTCAGGTGGGTATGAAGCGGGATGCCGAGGCTTAAGTGTTGCAAAGGGGCAAGACTCCATTGGTAGCTTCTCGATTGAGGCCGACAGATTCCCTGAATGGGCGAGTCATGGGAAACAAAATTAAACAAAATAGCGACCCTACATATACGCTGCTAGACAATTTCAACAGCAAGACAAGAGTTACTCCGACCATCAGTGATATGTTTGCCTAGCACAAGTTTGATATGATGGCTGATAAGTTTCGTAGAGTAAGTGGTGGCTCTCAGGACTATCATTTCCAAGCCAGAGATCGACGGTAAGCCCGGATACTACAATGTGTTTGATCCGGTACCTCGGCCACACAACAACACTAAGGCGCTATTTCCTCAGACATCTTATAAAGTTGCGGGCTTAGACTATTGGCTTTCTTCTTACAACATAATGCCCAGCACGAAGTTTACTTCGAGTGTGAACTTTCAAGTTAGCAACGCTAATAGAGCTATAGCTAAGATTAAGCAAATTAAGACAGTATTTGCTATAAGCTAATTATATTTGTATATATAAACTTAACTTTATAACTTATAAAGTAATTATGATTCAATTATGCTTAACTTTAATATGAATAACTTATTTAACGACTGTAACATTCTAGCTCTTAACCTGACTATTCGACACTATGTAGGTCGTTTAAGTGGACCGTGCCGGGTATCTATCCTTTTCACGTGTCTCACGGTTGCGTATAGGAACGAAGACCAGCTTGCTGTATACCCTAGGTATTGTGAAAATGAGACAGTTTAGGAAAAGAAGAGCTTAATCGGGAGTTCGTAAAAATTCGTAGTCGCGAAGTGTAGCTTACGTATCGAGTTTAGCTTACTCTAACGCTCCACTCAATGAGCTTAGCCTTAGCCGTTACAACGTGGCAGTTGCTACACTAGAGTTTGGGGCTGGCTGAAAACAACTACACTAATCAAGGGCACTATCTAAAGCCTAGTTTTAATTCAGCTGCTGGATTACATCGTGCAAGATCCCCGCGCTAGAAATGGGACACTTCTCCCACCATTCAGTCAATTAGTGAATGAAGTGTCCCATTTTCAGGGCCGGGGTCCTGCGCTTTCGGCTAGGCTTATGGTCGGCTCTACTGCGTCGCTCGATCTGGCCATGCTTAGCAGTCCCAATTGGACCAAGTCTGCATGCAAGCGTTTTCTCCGGGGTTTTCTATCATGAAAATCTGATGTAACTAGATTTGACGCGCCGGCAAACTAACGGATTGCAGGATTCGTCCTAGACTTTGTTCCGCCGGTCGCATGAATGCGATTGGACTAACTTGATCTCTCCGCCGTGTAGTATCGAGCTGAACAATCATTAAGCTGACAAGAAGATCGGCGAGCCGTAAGCCAACGCTATCTTGTTCTAGAATCCAGTAGCCCGTCTGATGCGTCTAGAATTTTGGCATTGGCATAGCGACATGCTGTGTCCAACAGTTCATGAGAAAAAAAGTGTTGTCCAAACACTTGGTCACTCTGGGATATAAATACTTGAAATTCTCTGCCATCAGACAATATTATACCCAGCATCAATCATTGTCCACAGACGAGGTTACCTCTAGTCCCTGCCCATCATGACTTCGCTCCGTAACATCCTGTTCTCCCTGTACTCCCTTTCTTCCTTGGCCTATGCTGCGCCACTTCAGGAGGATCTGGAGGGACGAAACCTTAACAAGCTGCTATGTGCCCTCGAGAACCCCATCATATCAGTTCTTGGTGCCAAGACGTCAGCGACGGCTTTCTGCTCCTCCTATCTAAGCATTGCTACACAAACGTTCTCTGCTACTGCCACGACTTCAACGTATATATTTGCAACATTCACGACTAGAGCGACCACGCTAATCCTTTGATAGGTCCACGAGCACAACGACCACCGTCTTGACCGGAACACAGGTCATTACCGATCCTACTTCCACTTCCACTATAGTCTCGTACGTGCAAGAACAACATATAATTAGTTTGAACGAGCTAACTCTAGCCAACAGGAGCGTCACCACAACCGCCGTCGTTTTCACCACATCCGATGATACTGCCGCGCCCACGGCGTTGAAGCGTGACGTTAACTTTGGCAAGCCCAGCACGGTGAGCGTGCCAGCTCAGCTCACGAAATTTGCGGCGACGGTGCTATCTTCAGCGTGCTCTTGTCTGTCAATTCCCACGCCTTCCGTCACGAACACCCAGACGGTGACCAGCACGGTCTCACGAACCTCGACCACTTCTGTACGTTTATTGCAAAGGCTCTACTACTAAGAATTCATGCTCACAGATAGTCCCAGACATTTGCTGGAACTACTACGTACACCCCGGTGGCTTATACTACGACCACTACCACGGATACAGCAACAAGCACGTCGACCATTTTAAAGAGTAATGTCCTCTCGGTACGCTTATTCTGTTACTCTTGGTCCTGCCCAGCACTAATATATATGTTATAGACTATTGTAGCCATCGTTAACCAAGATAACTATCAGTCCTTCTGTTCTGATATTCTTGCCTACACAACACCCGTAACAACGGCCTATGAGACGACCACAGCCACTACTGCAGTTACGGCAAGCAAAACCACCACCGTTACCAGCTACGCTACCATCACCACTACCGTCGTCCAGGGAGCGGCAAAGCGCCAAGAGTCAGGTGCCACAGACACGACCTCGGCAGCCACGACGAACGCAACCCCGGTAGAGTTGGCGACATACCCTGCTGATTATGTCACGTCTGCTTGCAGCATGGCTGTCACTTCGCCCGCTACCTCGACCATCTCTAGCACCATCACCGTCACGACAACCCAAACGAGCGTCCAGCTGGCCACCGTGACTGCACAAGCCACGAGTGTCATCACAAAGACTTGCGCCAAGTACCCTGTTTCGAACAGTGGCTTCGAGACGGGCACCTTTAGCGGGTGGACCTACTACAACCCCATTGGTGGCGCCGGTGGCTCGTGGTCCATCGTCTCTGGTGGATACTCAAGTTCCTATGCCGCCCAGCTCACGATGCTGAACCCGGATACGTCCAAGTATGGAGGCTTTGCGGGCTATATCACACAGAACGTTGCCACGTGCGTCGGATTGTCCTACACGGTCTCCTTCAACTACGATTGCACCACTGTCAACAACGGTCTCGCTATCTATGCGTGGGGCGGAGGTGGCAACTCGGGCCAGTTCTCTTGCCCATCTGCCGGTAACTGGTATTCCACGTCGTGGACCTTCACCGCAACGAGTACCTCGACTGCGATTTACGTCGAAGGTGTGCAGAATGGAGTCGCACGGGGCACCATCTTGTTTGACAACATTGTCGTCACCCTGAACCAATAGTTGGAGGTCGTGTGGAACGGTTCAGTTTGTCGCCGGACCTCTATGATCTGGGAGATAATTCGGCGCTTCCCAGTTTTATCTAGGGCAGAGGGACGGGATGCCGAGTTTTCTAAGAGCTATGGTCGTATGTGCTTAGAACCGCTCAAACTAGTAAATATATTGTTAATATGCCATCCCGATCAGGTAGTTATAGTTAAGCACCAAGTCGAGATTTTACTTATAAATCTAATAAATATATAATCACGTTATATTTACGAATCGGAGTGCTATATAAGGTTATACGTTAGTTTTCTTATAGCATACCAAAGGAGGAAACTCTTGACCTCTTATTAAGGAACATAGAGAAGAACAAGGCTTACACTTTATCGCGCGACTATAAATGGGCGTGAAGAGCTAGGAAAGGCTGATGTTTATTAATCAACTAGTCAAGGCTTCCGAACGACACCGGGGATGTGGCCTGCAATGCCCCCGAAGCTAAGCTGAACATTATTTATACTGTATAATATAGCCTCCAGTGATTTCCCAGCTGATTCTTTGAGGTGATCTGGTACTAGCGGAGACGATGTAGGATGCCGAGGTCAAGTACTTTGGGAGCCATTGTGAGTTTTGATTAGCTGTATGAAATATTGCACAGCGATAAGCCGATAAATTGAAGAAAATAATTCTAATTTATCAAACCAAGTATGCTCCATGGTCCAAAATCAAAAGTAGTGTTATGTGTTGAATACTTGATATCATAGCAATTACGCATGACATAGTACTATAGAATTGCAAGTTCATGGTAGTGTGGCAACATGATTGAACCGAAGCTTCACCAGTTTGTTTCGGCACCGAAAAGGAAGTTGCAAAGAGGCTATACTCCTGACCTCTTTTGGCATTTGAGAGAGACTCGGACAAATACAGACATGGCTGAATCGGCCAGGTCGGCCTGTATGATATTCGGCCTATTACGAGGGACGGGCTGCCCGGCGGACTTGCCAAGCTTTCACACCTGAAGACATTCCCCTTTGTGTATACACACACCTCATCTTTGCATTTACGAGCATTGATCCAAATAACCACAAGGTCGTGCCTGCTGATTCAAGGGATATAGACTTGTGTTCGAGGATTATAACATTGAAGAAAAAAGACTCATAGTTAAAAGTCTTTATCGCTATTAGTGGCTAGGTGTTTAATGACCCCTGGCCCGACAGCTAACGTCTTCTCGTCTCTCGCCGTTATAAAGATGAGCCAGGCCAAGATCTTTACTTCGCTTATCTCTTTTATGTCGATATATAACTTTGATGGCGTTGATATCGACGGGGAGCACCTAGCCGCTGACGAATAGAGTGGCCAAGAAGAGAATTTTGCCAATTTCCCGCGGTTTATAAGCAATTTGAAGCGAGCTTTAACTTCTAGCATTAGTGATAGAGATGGAATTTCCCTTATACTATTAGTTTCCTACTAGTACTTGCGACATTTTGATATTATTAACCTAGAGCCGTCGGTGGATCTTTTCAATATCGTGTCATATGATTTCTATAGGCTCTAGGATAAAGATAACAAATGGATGGGACCGTTTCTCAACTCCCACACTAAATCGACCGAGATCACGGAATATCTGGACCTTTTATAGCGTAGCACCATTTTCGCCGAAAACGTATTTGACGATACATCTTTTTGCTGTAGAACATATTCTTAGCCTTGCTCGGCTAGCGTGTTGATCCGACTTGAGTTTGAGATGCTGATCTGACTTTGTCTTTCATGAGACTAACGGCACTAAAGTATTGGAAATTGATTTCGGTGCGATTCCTGCAATATATTCACAGCTCATTCATGTTGCCTGCATGATGATGGCAATCCTTCTGTCTCAACTGGCCTTTTCGGCGGACCAATCCTTTCATAATGTGCCAATATTCTACGATAGATTATGTCTGAGACTTCAAGCATACTAAATCTTAATTCTATACGTAGTACCTCTTTTAGTCGTTAGAAGAATATTGTACGTTACGAGGCTCTTAGTCGCAGGCTTTAACGCTTGGACATATCCATGCAAATACAAGTTTGAGCTTGGTCTATCGCGCTAGAGCTATTCATTCGTCTACACAGTCACCACCAGGTTAACTATAATTTCACCAAATACAACTACGAACTGCCTGATGTGGTAAGCATAGCCCTTCGCAAAACGAGGCTGTCGCGGACTGGCTTTGCCCAACCTTCTGTAGGCTAAGATTGTCAGTCTGATTAGCCATGGCTACGTCCAGCCGCATTTGATACTCCGTGATCGTCAGCAGAAACGCGGCGATCTGACGCTGAGACAAGACTCTTAATTACTCTGTATCCGGATCTTCTTGATCAGGATGCCACAGCCTTTTTTTCCAGAGCTGCAGCCGCTGTTTTCGTAAGTGTCGGCAGTGACTTCCCCACTACCAAAAGCCTAATGATGCGTGGGATAGCCACAGACAGCATGCTTGTGTAACAACCTGTGATAAGCCTCGCCAAAAAGCTATTCAGCCTTCATTTTCGCTCATCAGCCGATGCGATGGCGTCGCGCGGGGTTCATGACTCAGCAGCACCAGTTCAGCCTCACCGGACGACGTGGAGCATATGGTTTTGCAGGTGCGCAAAGTTGCGAAATACAATAGTTCTGCAATAAAGCGAGCGCAACTGAACTTATAATCCCTTCAAGTTGCATACGTCTGCGTTTCTGCCATTCGTCGTCACATGACAAAGTTCCACCACCCCTATCGACGATGCGTCTCCTTCAACTCCGAAATGGCGACCTGAGGCTTACTCCAGACCTTATCGATGATATTCCACCTTACACGATATTGTCCCATACTTGGGGACCCGAGGAAGTCATTTTCTAGACATGCTCAAGAAGAGGGGAGCAAACAAAATTGGTTACCAAAAGATTTTATTCTGCAGCCAGCAAGCTAAACGCGATGGCCTTGAATACATCTGGGTGGACACTTGTTGTATCGACAAGAGAAGCTCTGCCGAATTGACGGAGGCGATCAACTCGATGCTTCGCTTGTATCAAAATGGGGCCCACTGTTACGTTTATCTGTCAGATGTCTCGAAAAAGTCTGGCCAAGCTTTGCGGCGTTGGGATGCTCAATTTCGCCAAAGCAGATGGTTTTCACGAGGATGGACTCTGCAAGAGTGCTAAGTTTTGCATAAAACAGGCTGAAATCAGGACCTGTTGAGGCTGAAAGTGGGAGGTCTCGAACAGGTCGTTCCATGTACATGTAGAAGGCTTTAGCGCTTACGCACATATACATGGACACCACTGCCAATCAGGCTAAAGCCACTGACTCGTCCCGCTCACTGCAGCATAACAAGGCTATTGCAGACAGTTCTGCCGCCAGCCTTGTCTATCATCCCACAGAAGAGGGAGAGTTTGTAAAGGGCCGCTATGCAAGGATGACAAGTCTGTCTTGGTACAGTACACTACTCGGCTGATCATGACATGAGGTTGACTATCTGTAAAGTAAGCTAGAACTGGTTGTGGGGCCAAATACTGACTCCGATCTATGATCCGGAGTTATTAGACACAAATACGGACAGCATGGCGGCATACGCCGCCGATACCACTATCATCTCGTAGTTCGATACTCTCAGCACAGCAGCGACAAGAGCCGAAAAGACCACGATACAAACAGATATGACTGCGAGTTGCGACCCTCGAACCGATCCGGCTGACAGAATGGTCAACGGCACAACCAAAAACAGCCCAGTGACCATAGAAGTGAGGATGCGCCCTATTACATTAACGATAAGTACCGTATTCTGATGCGACGACTGTGAATGCGATCTGGACGACGATGACATGAAAGGTTCCGCAATAGTATACTTCTGAGACAACCTCCAGTAACGAAAAGCTCGCAGGCGTTTGTGCAACCAGCGCTGGAAAGGATCGGTACGAGTGCGCGCGTCGAGATCTGCCCGAACAAGCCGGGTCTCGTATATCTCGCGGAGGGTCAAGTCTGTTCGCGTGTTTGACAACTTCTCGTCGTCCAGAAGTGATACCGTCTCCATGGACATAATATGGCCGAAAGCGGTGAGTGCATCATCTACATGTCGCTTTGAGTATAAGCTATATGAACGAGGCTACTAGCCATTGCTCACCATATTGCTGTATCAGAGTGCGAAGCTTTCCTACTAGCTCGGTTGTAATAGTGTCCTCGATGGCAGGGACTTCGGAATCCCTTTTGCTCTCTTTCAGGCCAAGCCTATCACGTACCGATGGCTCATGCCCGAGACCGAGGCCAGACTGGTAAATGGCATGATCGATCTGGGCAATCTCCTCCTCGAGAAAGCGGAGGTTAAGCAGGTGTGTAGTTTTGAAGCGGCGGAACCCGTGCAAGGTAAGATTGTTGTCGTCGGTGATGCGGGGCCAGAATTGGCGGAACTGCTCCACAGTCGGGTGAGCCATTTTAGCTGATTGCGGAGGGTGCCTAAATTATTTGGACGGTTCTGCAAATGACTTTTGAACGATAATGGATTTGGATTCTGAAAGACTACGTTTCTAGCCCAACAATACAAATGCGAAGAGTCCATGGATATCTGTCAACCACAAATATGCCTAGTCTCAGCAAACCGGCGAGGCTCTATGTTCCCACACCCAACCGGAACGCCTTGCACTACAAATGAGGGGCTTCTAGCCATTCATCTTTCAGCAATGCAGCCGACTTCTAGGCACACGCAGGCGCATAGGGTCAGCGCCCGGGGCTGAGGACGACCTGATGTTTTCCAACACGCTCCGGATGCCTCGCGCAGTTGCCATTACAGGAGAGACCAATCTTCTCCTGGAGGGGATAGCAGAGTTTTTCCAAGTTCATTGATACCTCGTTCACCATTCTGAGTACAATTGGCAATCTGGCTACAGCCACGCTCACCAACATCCATTGCGAGTCTACTCACGTCACAATGCCCGAAGGCAACATAGCCGATAAGAGCCTTGTTTCCTCCTCTGATCGCAAGCCGCCCCGACCCTTCACTCACGATGACTACACCATCGCCATCATATGTCCTATGGGAGACGAGATGAGCCCCGTTCTTGCCTTGCTCCACGAGACGCACGAAAACCTAAGCACGAGTCGAGACCAAAATGCATACAAGCTCGGAGCGATTGGTCAACATAATATCGTCGTGGCTGGCATGCCGATAATTGGTAACAATGCTGCATCAATGGTTGTGACGCAACTATTGAACGATTTTCGTCGAATACGCTTCGGACTGCTTGTTGGGGTCGGTGGTGGGATTCCTGACGAAGACTACGACGATGAAGATCTCGTTGACATACGTTTAGGAGATGTCGTCGTTAGCGAATCTCGAGGGACGTTTGGTGGTGTGGTACAATTTGACCGTGGCAAGAGCACAACCGACGGCTTCATAAAAACAGGACATCAGAACAAGCCACCGCATGTGCTGGCTGCTAATGTCGAAACGCTCAAGGCCGTGCATAACCTTCACGGTAATAGCATATTACCATACTTCGATGAGATGATAAAGAACTATCCCGGCATGGAAGAGAAATACAGCTATCCAGGCCTAGGCCGTGACCGTCTCTTCGAAGCTAGCTATACACATCAAGGTGGGAAAACATGCAAGAAGTGCGATAGTGCCCAGACTGTCGAACGAAACCAGCGCAAATCCTCAGGTCCTCGAATTCATTACGGAACGATCGGTTCATCTAACAGAGTCGTAGAGGACACTAAGGAACGAGACGAGCTACGAGATATGGGAATCCTTTGTGTAGAAATGGAGGCGGCAGGTCTGATGGAAGCGTTTCCTTGCCTAGTCATCCGTGGCATCAGCGATTATGCAGACTCTCACAAGAACAAGAAATGGCAGCCATATGCTGCTGCCATGGCTGCTGCGTATATGAAAGAACTGTTGCTCCAAATGCCGACGGATGCAGTGCAGCGTACGCAGTCCATTGCGGATGCCCTTCAGGGTATGTCTGTAAAATTCGATCAGATGAGTCACGATATGAAAAGTATCAAGGGACAAAATCAAAGTACGTAGTCCCTTAGCTATCCGTAGCATTTGATTAATGAATGGGCAGGTGCAGAAGAAGCCAAGATTCTAGAGTGGCTCTCGTCAAAAGATACCAACTTCTCCACATTGCAAAATGAATCTCAACGAACTCATACTGCTGGCACTGGTCAGTGGCTGCTTGACGCTGAACAGTATCAAGATTGGCGTGACCGTGAACCCGGGTTGATGTGGCTCTGTGGCGCTGGTGGGTTAAACCTCCATCCCTTGCTTTCTTGAAGGGCATCGCTAACAGTGAGAAGCGGGTTGTGGCAAGACGATATTATGGTAACTCAAGTACGACTAGACTGGCCAGTACCGTTCGACTGATTATTTATAGCTCCACTGTCATATGCGATCTTCAAGCACATGCCACGAATCTAGCTTATTGGTATTTTCGATTCAACAGCGCCACTTCGCAGGATATTTCCAAGATGCTACGGTCGATCACGCGACAGCTTAGCTACCCTTCTCTGCCCTCAGGAGTTCGAGCGCTTTACGATCGGCACAGCCAACGTGGGAGTGAGCCATCATTAGCCGAGCTTACCACCATTCTCGACAACACGATTGCAACGTTCAAGGATGATGTTTATATCGTATTCGATGCCCTAGATGAATGTCCTCATAATGACAAAAACGGACAAAGAGACCATCTACTACGCTGCATCAAAGACCTTTTAGAAACCAATCCGAACTTACATCTGCTTGTCACGAGCCGGCCAGAGTCAGATATCAGGAAAGCTCTTGTTCGACTTGCTAGCTGCCTTTTAGACATTGAAGAACTGGTCAAGAACGATGTCGAAAGATATGTGAAGCACTCACTCGACGGACCTCGCTTAGCAAGTTGGGCTGAAGACGTCAAAGATAAGATTAGACAAAAACTTCTAGAATACGAAGAAAGGTAAGTGATTTTACATTTGACGCTTGGGATACACGCCTAATTCGACAGCAGGCGTTTTCGATGGGCAGATTTGCAGCTCAAGCGTTTTGCTCAATGTGCTACACTTAAGAAGCTAGAAGCAGCTATGGCCAGTATCCCCAAAGATCTGGAAACCTCATACAGTCAAGCTTTCGAGGCGATCGATCAGAACGATATAAGGGATGTGGCAACAATAATGAAATGGCTTACTGTGTCAATAGAACCACTTGATACTAATCAGATTGCAGCGGTCGTTGGTTTTCGAAGTTCCGATTATGTGCTCGATATTTGCTCCACCCTTCTTGTAACAGTGATCGATGAAGACACGACGCAAATCATCAAATTGGCACACTTCTCGGTGAAAGAGTTTTTGATTGTCAAGCTTCACGAGAACAGCACGCATTGGTTTCACTTCTCCTCCGAGCTTGCAAACAACGCGGTTGCAGTGGCAGCTCTCCAAGCCTTGCTCAACACCAAAGATGAATCTCAACCAATTGTCCGCTATGCTGCGAGGAATTGGCCGCAGCATGCTACGTTGGGATTGAAGACGAGTGACCATATCGAACTCGAAAGCCAGATCAGTTTGTTGTTCAGCGTTGATTACACGGACCGACTTTGTAGTTGGCTGGAAATACACGATCCCGATGGCGATCTTAAGAAATACTTTCCAGGAAAGGCGCAAGGGTTGTACTACGCGTCGTTACTTGGTTTTAACGTGGCTGCCAAGATGCTACTCGAAGCCAAGGCTGATGTCACTGCTCAGGGCGGCTATTACGGCAACGCATTACAGGTTGCTTCATATAGAGGACACAAAGAGGTTGTGCAGATACTGCTCGAAGCCAAGGCTAATGTCAATGCTCAGGGCGGCAAATATGGCAACGCATTACAGGCTGCTTCATTAGAAGGGCACAAAGAGGTTGTGCAGATACTGCTCGAAGCCAAGGCTGATGTCAATGCTCAGGGCGGCCATCACGGCAACGCATTACAGGCTGCTTCATTAGAAGGGCATAAAGAGGTTGTACAAATACTGCTCGAAGCCAAGGCTAATGTCAATGCTCAGGGCGGCGATTACGGCAACGCATTGCAGGCTGCTTTATATAGAGGACACAAAGAGGTTGTGCAGATACTACTCGAAGCCAAGGCTAATGTCAATGCTCAGGGCGGCAAATATGGCAACGCATTACAGGCTGCTTCATTAGAAGGGCACAAAGAGGTTGTGCAGATACTGCTCGAAGCCAAGGCTAATGTCAATGCTCAGGGCGGCAAATATGGCAACGCATTACAGGCTGCTTTATATAGAGGACACAAAGAGGTTGTGCAGATACTGCTCGAAGCCAAGGCTAATGTCAATGCTCAGGGCGGCAAATATGGCAACGCATTACAGGCTGCTTCATTAGAAGGGCACAAAGAGGTTGTACAAATACTGCTCGAAGCCAAGGCTAATGTCAATGCTTAGGGCGGCAAATACGGCAACGCATTACAGGCTGCTTTATATAGAGGACATAAAGAGATTGTGCAGATACTGCTCGAAGCCAAGGCTAATGTCAATGCTCAAGGCGGCGAATATGGCAACGCATTACAGGCTGCTTCATTAGAAGGGCATAAAGAGGTTGTGCAAATACTGCTCGAAGCCAAGGCTGATATCAATGCTCAGGGCGGCTATTATAACAACGCATTGCAGGCTGCTTCATTAAAAGGGCATAAAGAGGTTGTACAAATACTACTCGAAGCCAAGGCTGATGTCAATGCTCAGGGCGGCCATTACGGCAACGCATTACAGGCTGCTTCGTATGGAGGGCACAAAGAGGTTGTATAGATACTGCTCGAAGCCAAGGCTAATGTTAATGCTCAGGGCGGCAATTACGGCAACGCATTACAGGCTGCTTCATATAGAGGACACAAAGAGGTTGTGCAAATACTGCTCGAAGCCAAGGCTGATGTTAATGCTCAGGGCAGCTATTACGGCAACGCATTACAGGCTGCTTCATTAGAAGGGCATAAAGAGGTTGTGCAAATACTACTCGAAGCCAAGGCTAATGTCAATGCTCAGGGCGGCCATTACGGCAACGCATTACAGGCTGCTTCATTAGAAGGGCACAAAGAGATTGTGCAAATACTGCTCGAAGCCAAGGCTAATGTCAATGCTTAGGGCGGCGATTACGGCAACGCATTATAGGCTGCTTCATTAAAAGGGCATAAAGAGATTGTGCAGATACTGCTCGAAGCCAAGGCTAATGTTAATGCTCAGGGCGGCCATTACGGCAACGCATTACAGGCTGCTTCATATAGAGGACACAAAGAGGTTGTACAGATACTACTCGAAGCCAAGGCTAATGTCAATGCTTAGGGCGGCAATTACGGCAACGCATTACAGGTTGCTTTATATAGAGGACACAAGGGGGTTGTGCAAATACTACTCGAAGCCAAGGCTGATGTTAATGCTCAGGGCGGCCATCACGGTAACGCATTACAGGCTGCTTTATTAGAAGGGCATAAAGAGGTTGTACAAATACTACTCGAAGCCAAGGCTAATGTCAATGCTCAGGGCGGCCATTACGGCAACGCATTACAGGCTACTTCATTAGAAGGGCACAAAGAGATTGTGCAAATACTACTCGAAGCCAAGGCTGATGTTAATGCTCAGGGCGGCGATTACGGCAACGCATTACAGGCTGCTTCGTTTAGAGGATATAAAGAGGTTGTGCGGATACTACTCGAAGCCAAGGCTAATGTCAATGCGCAAGGCAGCCTTCTTAGTAACGCATTATAAGCTGCTTCGTTAAGAGGGCATAAAGAGGTTGTACAGATACTACTCGAAGCCAAGGCTAATGTCAATGCTCAGGGCGGCAAATATGGCAACGCATTACAGGCTGCTTCGTTAAGAGGGCACAAAGAGGTTGTGCAGATACTGCTCGAAGCCAAGGCTAATGTCAATGCTCAGGGCGGCAAATATGGCAACGCATTACAGGCTGCTTCGTCGGAAGGGCATAAAGAGGTTGTGCAGATACTGCTCGAAGCCAAGGCTAATGTCAATGCTCAGGGCGGCGAATATAGCAACGCATTACAGGCTGCTTCGTCGGAAGGACACAAAGAGGTTGTCAAGCTTCTTCTTTGGAAAGGTGCTGAGATAAATATCCGTACTAAGGACGGGTATACGCCGCTTAATGCTGCTGCTTCTGCCGGATATGCCGAAATAGTCAGCTTGCTCCTCGAGAAAGGTGGCAACTCATCGATTCCAGACCATTGCTAATTCACGCCACTTAACAATGCTTCGTATAATGGACACGCGGAAGTGGTACATCTACTTATTGAAAATGGTGCCGACCTGGCAATCGCAGAAAACAATGGATGGACTCCTCTTATTACCGCTTCCATTAAAGGGCACGTTGCAGTAGTCAAAGCACTGATCGCCGTGGCAACATGTGAGATCAACGCTTGTGACGAGCATGGGCTCACCGCTATAGCATGGGCTGCTAAAAAGGGCCATGTCGAGGTTGTTGACCTGCTGCTTGAGAGAGGTACACACGCTTTGGTTCCAGATGCACTTGGGGCTACATGTATCAACTTGGCAGCAAAAGAGGGACATCTTGATGTGGTAAAGAGACTACTTGATCACGGCTGTCGATGGGATGTGTCTGATGCTTGTGGATCAGACGCTCTTCAGCTGGCTACTCTTGGTGGACATTCTCACATAGAGGCACATCTACTCACACTTGGTGCTCGAATCCCAGACGATGTGTTTGGGCTTGCCATTCTGTTCGAGGGGTAACATCACGTCGACTGTCGGTATCATCCAGGACCTGCTAGATAAAATGGGCGGTAGAGGCAGAAGCTTATACTCGTTCACGAGCAAAATTATTGACGCGGCTTGTTGATTTTCAGTGGAGCATCTTAGCACTTCACATATAAATGCTATAGAAACAAGTGTGGTTGAAAGCAGATAGTCTAATGCAATCGATTATTTGTTCCCCACTAGAAAGACAAAATTCAAATCGATTATCCGATTATCGTCGGCTAAGATTACTGTGAAGACGCGGCTCTCCATGCGTAGATTGTCATTCAGTACTAGCGACTCACTACTCAGGGTATCGACAATATCTCACGCCACCTCGACTCACAGCGGATCTTGATGGAGATGGAAAAGCAGATCCAACGTAAGTATCTCTTGAGCGTTCCTTTGCTCTAAGCTCAAAGTGATAGGTGAAATGAAGAAAGAGCTAGACGACTGGCTCTGCGCGTCGTCTACGCACGCTACATACAGCGTTTCCGTTCAGAAGAAACTACCCAACACCTGTGAATGGATCATGGATTGTGGTGATCAGATCCTGGATATCCCAGGTGATATCGCAAAGGCCAGACACTTTCGATTAGGCGTGCGCAAACCTCGAGATACACAAAGAACAAAACGCATCGTCGAGTGAAGTGATGGAACTGTTCAAGGGTATCGTTGAAAATGTTCCAAACGGCACCTTTGTCGTGGATGGGTTGGATGAGTGCTCCACCAAAGGAAGTTGGTCTACGACACATAGTAACACTCTTGCCTCATTCCTTCAAAAGACCATACATACGATTTCCGGCACCAGCTTACGACTCCTAATAGTCAGCCGTGAGGATCAGGACATTCGGAGCGGTTTGTTCGAAGCCAGTGCAAACGGCGTAGGAATTAAACTGCTAGGGTACAAGATATCACCGAGTGATGTGAAACCAGATGCGACCAAGCTTTCTCACGACATCGTGAATTAGAAGTTAGACAACCAAAGCACAACATTGAGATCGGAAATCGCGCAAAGAATGGGTGACCGCTGCGATTCCATGTTTTTACGGATTCGACTGCTGAAAAATGACATACGTGGCGGTTAGAACCAGAAGCAGCTGGAACGGATTGTGGACCAAACCCCTCAAGAGATCAGTAAACTCTACGATCGGAATTGGGAAAGAATCATAAGACGAGGGAATGATAGGGCCTGAGCATCATCGATTCTGAGATGGGCAGCTTTCGGTCTCCGCCCCATCACGATTCTTCGGGTTTGTTGGTTTGTTTGAGACCGGACTACGTGGTCAGTCGATTTTGATTACACTGTTTGACAAGCAACGAGTAGTGGATGGGAAACAATATTGGTCAATCAGCAACGTTATTAAATTGCTTGATGATGACATAAGACGCTCCAGTATTGGTCAAGGCCTGTGTAACATGTAGCGAATTTCTTTACTAACAGCTAAATAAGATTGGTCGTGATTATATTGCTTGAATTTCCAGTTAACTGTACCTCTTAATCAGCCAGTAGTCAAGGCATCACACCATTTTTAGCTAAGATTGTCGTGAAGACGCGGCTCTCCCAGCTGGCACACTGCAGACCAAATGCTGAACCTTCTGCACAATTTCCACTCACGGGCGCCCGGATCGAATAAAAATGGTGAAATGCACCCCATACTCCGCAAGGGAAAATGCGTGGTTGCTTAGCAGATGCGACACCCCTCCCCTACTAATTCCATATCGCAATCACCCGCAATCCTTCCTACGCCAAGCCTTTCATACTCATTAGCATCCGGAGACACAAGCTTTACGAACAACGCAAAATATCGAAGACCAGTGGCGTGATCCCCCAGCTTTGCGACAATAACCATCTTTGGTATAGCCGAAACATCAACCTCTCTGTCGAAACTGATCCATCCTTTCTTCGATTTATTAGTATCGAACAATTGTGCGTCTTCATCGCCGTTTCCTGTCTCAATCGTTATACGTAAGTCTTTAAACTTCCATATAGAGACCGTTAGAGCTTTTTCGTCAAACTCGATTTGATTTGTGAACAAATCCAAATTACCCCACTTATACTTAGCGTGTATAAACCGAACAGCTCCCTCGTAAGCCATCCAAGACCACGATGGCACTGAGCGATCATATTTGATCCTTTCTATTACCTGCTTATCTGATCGTTGCCAGAGAAGCGTCCGTTGTAGATACGATCCAACGATTCCATAATGTATTCGACACGGCAATGCTTTCGCAATACGGTCCATTAGCCCGGCAACTGCGACAGGCCTATCAGAAGGCTTTGTCAATTTACGGCAAGAGTAGTCTTCGATTAAAGCTTCAATAAAATCGATAGTACGACCAAAACCAGTTTGCCGGAGTCGGTCTGGGAATTGGGGGTCAAGCTGGAAGTATTTCTTGCTTCCTGGTAAACTATAACACATTATGATCAGTGATTTGGCGTTGATCGGATTTGATCGGGAGTGCTCACCTTTGTAACCAGATTTTATCTCCTGCATAGACACCCTCACCGCATTCACCATACACTTGGTTTTTGCTGAAGTGTATCGTGCGCGATGAGAGAAGCCTCTCCTGCATGACCCAAGCTCGTGTGTTCAATGGAGCCTGACTTGTATCATTTACGTCTTTATCGAAATCAGCTAGATTTGTCGTTATATAAACGGAATCGCCGCTGTTGTTTCGAACATAAAGACCTTTGTTCATCTCTCTTCCGCCAAGAAAGCCAGAACGAGAGTTTGGAGCCACGGTTGCTGCTATTGTGCAATAGGCAGATGCAAAGATATCCTCCATTCGTTTCGACTCTTTTTCCCAATCATGGTCACTGTCTTGGATGATACATAGCGAATCGATCCATAGATATTGTATACCGAGCTGGCGTACGACCTCGATAGCATCCATAAAGGTTTGTGGAAGTTCGCTGAGCTTGAATCCAACTGATCGGTCTGCCAGTTCCCCTTGGAACGTATGTCGAAGATTCTGTAAACCAACCTCTCGTATCACTTCGAAAGCCTCTCGAAGCTTGTTGCGAATGTCTCCATATCTAAGGTCCCTAATATGGGGCCGAAGATGTCCTCGCTTTGTACGCCACAAAGGTGATTTATCCTCATCCAATTGGCCCCAGCAATGAGACAGAGCAATAAACTTATCGCCTTTAATCTTAGCTCTGTGGTCAAGGCGTAAATCGTCTGGGTTACTAGATGGATTGACATTTAAAAGTCGTGTAGGTAATGATCGCTTGCCGCGACCATGGCAAGAATGGGTTTGGTCACAATTTTGGAGCCATGCTCTCAACTGGGCGAAAATATATATATCTGGACTGATTGAAGAATGGTCCGGTTCTGATCGCGGATTAGTGTTATTGACTAAGTAATATTAGCATCGACCCGTGATAGGCGGATAAGGGGTATTACGAGGATATAATCGAAGTATAGGCGAGTGTATAGATGATGTAGTCGAATTTAGGATAATAGTCGATCCCTCGCGGTTGACGGATAGGTTGGGCGATCTTCCTGAAAGTTGCTCAAGAATCAAGTTACAAAGAGGGCACTCTTTTATAAAGCGTTTGAAAGGTTCAATTGTACCTAGAGAAGCTAGATGCGTACAGTTGTCGCATATAGGCGTAAGAGAAGACTGGCAATAATCCAAAGAAGGGCTAACGCCAGTCATAGAGGGAATCCATCGGTTACGCTATAAAGGAGTTAAAGTGTCGAGAATGGTCTGGGATATATAACAGTAGCGTAACATCTACTTACTAGCTGGTAGCGTTAGTCCCTCCAATTAGTTTATATCACATTAAATAAGAGGGATTAACGCAAACTTACATCCTATTCCCACCGAAATGTCCCTCCGGTCAGTCCAAGTCATTCCAAGCGCAAAAGAGAGATATGGTCGTATTCACTTACCTCCTATTCCCACCGAACAGTCCCTCCGGTCAGTCCAAGTCATTCCAAGCGCAAAAGAGAGATATGGTCGTATTCACTTACGTACTATTCCCACCGAAATGTCCCTCCGGTCAGTCCAAGTCATTCCAAGCGCAAAAGAGAGATATGGTCGTATTCACTTACCCGCTATTCCCACCGAACAGTCCCTCCGGTCAGTCCAAGTCATTCCAAGCGCAAAAGAGAGATATGGTCGTATTCACTTACCCGCTATTCCCACCGAACAGTCCCTCCGGTCAGTCCAAGTCATTCCAAGCGCAAAAGAGAGACATGGTCGTATTCACTTACCTCCTATTCCCACCGAACAGTCCCTCCGGTCAGTCCAAGTCATTCCAAGCGCAAAAGAGAGACATAGTCGTATTCACTTACCCACTATTCCCACCGAACAGTCCCTCCGGTCAGTCCAAGTCATTCCAAGCGCAAAAGAGAGATATGGTCGTATTCACTTACGTACTATTCCCACCGAACAGTCCCTCCGGTCAGTCCAAGTCATTCCAAGCGCAAAAGAGAGACATGGTCGTATTCACTTACCTCCTATTCCCACCGAACAGTCCCTCCGGTCAGTCCAAGTCATTCCAAGCGCAAAAGAGAGACATAGTCGTATTCACTTACGTACTATTCCCACCGAACAGTCCCTCCGGTCAGTCCAAGTCATTCCAAGCGCAAAAGAGAGATATGGTCGTATTCACTTACGTACTATTCCCACCGAAATGTCCCTCCGGTCAGTCCAAGTCATTCCAAGCGCAAAAGAGAGATATGGTCGTATTCACTTACGTACTATTCCCACCGAAATGTCCCTCCGGTCAGTCCAAGTCATTCCAAGCGCAAAAGAGAGATATAGTCGTATTTACTTACAAGCTATTCCCACCGAACAGTCCCTCCGGTCAGTCCAAGTCATTCCAAGCGCAAAAGAGAGACATAGTCGTATTCACTTACGTCCTATTCCCACCGAACAGTCCCTCCGGTAAGTCCAAGTCATTTCAATAACACATATCGTCACACTAACCTCCTAATTACAAGATTAAGTGACTATTCCTAAAGTAAGCTCGCTTTTACATACGCTCTATATAGGGCTCTATTAGTAAATAATCCCTATAAACTTTCGCGTTACGTTCCTTACCTTAAATAAATCGCCTGTTAATGTTCGAGATTGAGGATTTAGCGATCCTATAAAGGTCGCCATTCTCACTTTCAGCTACTTATTAGCGTTTGAAAACGAAAAGTTAGGCAAGATGAAGTGAGCGATCTTAGCCAAAATGCTAAATTACCATGAGCGGGGCTGACCTAATTAAAGCTAGTCCTTATTTAGAACACCATGCCCGGCCATCTGTAACCGTTTACTCCGTTTTCACTACGTCAAAGGTTTTTATTACAGACCTCTAAATAGTCGTGTAAGCTAGCTAAAGGCATTTCCATCCGCCATCAATTCGAAACGGTGTGGTAGGGTGTATGCCTTCGCTGGAAGTTCTGCCTTCGTTTATGCATCAACCTGCATATAAGAACCGGAAGTGACTGCATCCGAGGTCTATTACCAGTTATAATGGCCAGTTTGAGCGGGGTATTTCTCGCGTGTCCAATGTTAATTGGTGGTGGTTGGGCATGCCGTCAAGCGCCTTTTAGAATTACGGTGATTCAGACCGTACATTGTTGTGTTATGTGAGCATTGCCGTTTTTGGCTGGTTCAGAGGCTCCCACTTCCGGCCTTCATCCATCCCATATTCAGGCTCTCCAGAACCAACGCGTCCAAACTTATACAAGAGCTCCTTGCACCCGCCTTTGTCAAGGTCCCTTTTTTTTTTTTTTTTTTTTTTTGGTAGAAGGCGGTTTTCTGGGGGACAAGACGTCTTTGGAGAACGTGATCCATACCATAACTAACATCAAGTTTCCCGCACTTCAGGGCGATCCAATTGATTACTTTCCTGTGCTCGAACGAATGCACTGGTCCAGTGGCCGCCAGACCACGAAGGCTGAGGACGCAGTATATTGCCTACTTGGCATATTCAACGTTAACATTCCACTAATCTATGGAGAGGGCAAGACAAACGCAATGAATCGACTGCTGAAAGCGATCGAAGAGCGCACAGGTGTCCCATACGAAATCCAAGTGCGTCCTCCACAACGGGGATATGACAGAAGCGTCGAAAGCTTTGAACTCAAGAGGCCAACCGGGACTAGTCCTGTGGCTACTCCCATGGGAGATTCTGCTTTGCTCTCCTACCCCCAATACCAGGTTGAAGGAGATGATCAGCAAGAACGACACGGTTTTAGCCAAGCCCGCAGCTTACAAGACGGTTGCATAGTTGAGCTAGGCCTAGAAATAGAACCAGAAAGAAGCGGAGGGAGTCCAGTTGGACATTCGACGACGTACAACCGTGACAATGATGAGTCCGAAGAAGTTCTTCCTCTATCGAGAGTGTTCAAAAAGGTTCTTTACTGCCATCAGTGTGGATGCGGCACGACATTCGCCGGTCTTACTGATGGCGCTGGTAAATGTTCCCGTTGTGGCAGTTCAAGATGAGGCATTTGCGAAGAAATCGACTAGATGGTACGCGGTGTGCGTAATGAAGAGCCCGGCACCTTACATGTCTTTTCGGAACACATCTATATGCCAAGAGTACAAATCCTGGCCGATCATAATGACAGAGGTCGGCCGCATTTAAACGCTTGTGTGAAACTTTCATGAGCCCCACCAATGGGCATATTTGAAGTGCACGCTTCAACGTCTGGCCATCCTGTGCGTTCTACGATATGGTGGAGCATGAGCGTTACTAGATGACACCCCTCCATTTAAGAAGTATTAGTATAAGACGACCATAGCGACATTCAATGGGTGCATTCGTTTGAACTTGGTTGCAACTGTTGTGGTCGACCAGACAACATTGTGCAAATGACATCAATCCCTTAGATGTAATTCATTGATTTGGCATAGTCTGTAACTTGGTGCAATGAACAGAGTTACCCTACCGGCACAATGAAGGAGACAGCATATTCAAACGTTGAAGCAATACGCTTCCAGCTGGTACAATCGTCAGTCGTTTGCTTTAGAGTTGAAGCTCGGCTAAGAGGCTAGGTTATACTGGTGAATTTGCAGGAAAACATGATCTGCTATGCAACCACGAGTGCGTGCCTGGCTTCTTACTGCTTGAAATTTCAGTTCCTATGAGACGTAGAGGGCTAGCATCGATGTTGAAGAAAAGCTTTGCTTAAATGCATAGGAAAGGATATCCGTATCTGCTAGTTGTAGTAAAAAGGCTCTAAACTGCTGAATCCTACGTGGAAAATGACGCCGGGAATGGCGTCCAATTATGTATGGACTGATTGCCATCAGGGCGTTCCGACAGAACGAGTATTACTAGTGCTAATGGTTTGTAACATATAAACGGTTATATGTCGGTAAACATTGTCTTAACTAAATTCCTATATAAAGTGCCAAACGCTTAAAATTATGACATATAGAGTTTCTATACGAACCATCGTTTTCAAAATCGGGTGACACTTTTGAGTGTTGCTCGCTCGGAAGGCCGATCCTGATGCCAAAATTCGATATAAGACGGAGTGCGTCAAAAAGAATGAGAGACCGTGTGGCATTCTTTGCCGTCATGTATCCAAACCGCAATTATAGTTAGACGTTACTTTGACAGCTATCCTCATTCGTAGTCAAATATATGCTAGTACGAGCCCATGATTCTGTTCGTCAATCACAGGGCAGACATAACTGCTAGGGTGGCCTACAAAGAACCTAGCCTAATCTGCCAAGACGCCGAGCATCTGAGACAGCCATGGGCCTGTTCAGACGACTTCTTTGAGCATGTCGTGACCAATGAGGATGGGGCGCTTCGCCTGATGGTACAAGACAATTTTCTTAGCCAAAAACAATACGATATGGTGAAAGCCGCGCAACCGATCAAGACCACTTGGCAGATGATCCAATCGGTTCTTTTTAGTGGCTAACAGCTTGGAAGTATAGCGGCGGTGTGAAATTTAATATAGTATCATGGATATCCCTTTGAATAATACCGTACTTCACAACAACGCCGAGACCGATCCTACTGCCGCCCGTTCTGGGCCATGCTGTGCGAGTCGCATCCGCAGAGCCGGAGGCCAACGGTAGGACTTAATGGGTTGTAGATCCCAGAGGGGCATCCATCAGTAGCAAAACATATCCCACCAGTCGCCGAGCTGATGCCAGAGACGACCGAGTTGTTAATACGAGTGACAACAAGCAGCTCTGCGCTGGTGCCTGCCAAAACCTGGTCCGCGGTCGTGGTTGAGACCCGCGATAGAATTCACGGAACTCGGCTCCCGTACAACATATACAGCGTGGCCCACGGCAAGTCCGATGGGCACTGGTTGATAGAGAAGTAGCGCCGGTGCTCCAGTCTGGAAGGCAATGAGGACGAGAACAGCGCCCAGTGTCACCAGCTCCTTGGGAATCACAGTACTGCACATCCGCAAATCGAATGGCTCGGTGCTCGCCCTTCATAAAGATTTCGTTCTTGGTTACTCCAATAGTGATACCTTGGGTCAGATCTTGGTAAAATGAGGGTTTAAAGTTCAGAAAGGTTGGTGGTCATTACGAACTTCATCCGAGCAGCACTTCACTGTTGACAAACCTGGTTTTGATCTGCTCACCATATTTTTGGCAAATAAGCAGTTAAACTCTCACCGTGGTTCACTACCATCGGCCAACCCACGTATTTCTCGGTCATGATAAAGACTAGTAGACGTGCGCTGAAACCCAGATATCCCCAAGGATGACAGACATGCAAGCTCGTAACCGCTTGTATTGAATATCTTCAAAGGATGAGAAATGGGATAGAGTGCGCGCAGCTAAGAAACGCCTGGCTTGTCCTGAGGTAACATAACGTATTGATCAATACCTGACAAAGAACACAGGACGCGGAAGGGCCAGAAAAGCGAAAATCGCCCCTGGCCACCTGTGGTATTCATACATATCGAACTTGCTACGCGGCCGCTATGACGCCATGTTGGCCCACCTACGGTCGGGACTCGGACTGTTGCGTAAGTTAGGGGCCGAGGATGCCGGGCATCCGGCGAGAAGGCGACGCTCGCGAGACGAGACAAAGACACCGATGAGCCGTCGGGGTTCGGCATTCGCCCGGCTTGAATTACAATCTGCTCACTTCGACCCAGGCGCAGCACATTGCCACTGCCCGATCTCTCGCGCAGAACATGAACTCCCTGCCAACTACATCCAGCCGTAAATTCGAAAACCTGCTCCAAGCCAAAACATGGTGCATTGTAGGATCCAGTCTGCAGTTCGTGTCTGAATGTGGGGCTGGAATGATGGTTCCATAAGGCTTGCCGACAACGAAGAGCGAGCGTGTGACGAGTTCCGTCACTGAGTTCAAGGACCGTGGTGACCCTCGCAAAGCTATGGTTCGGGGCAGGCCGGTACTGGCTCATTCTCCCATCGACTGCCGAGCTCAACCACAAACTGGGGCATACTACCGGCGCTCTATCTGACCGCCACCATGTGTCGCGATGCCCCGTCGCGGAAGAGCACTCGCGCTCATGTGTGAATGACGGGTACCGTCAGGACTTCTGGGATACCTGATCGCTGTCGACGATCGCACGCGAGGCGATCCGTCTTGAAGAGGCTTGTTTGTTGGACGTGCAGCGCTCTGGGGTATCTGACAGCCACGAATCGGCTCGCCAATCTACATGTCATGTTGGGGGAAAATCAGGACCAAAGGACTTATCATGTGGCCAAGGACAGTCTCCCGGCGGAACGCGGAGCCTGTTGATGAATCAGTGATAACATCACCATAACAATTTCGTCAGCTCTTCGAGTATACAGGATTAGGTCGAACTTAATTCAATCATAGCGAGTGGTACAGATGACTGCCTGACTTGTTGCATGCATAACAGCACATCAATACTAGACACCTGACCTTATTACTCTGAGTGCGTGATAAACTTGGAGCAAAATGCACCGAGTTTGTAGGGTAGTCCAAGGACGTACGATGAATCGGAAGAACTATCGCTCAAACTCTGGGATGAATATCATTCGATGGACGTTGTAAGGATTCGCACCTGCGGAGTAATACTTGAGTTTGCGCCAAGTCCTTGGCTGGTTCGCGCCCGCTCGAGCGGATCGGCGGCATTTGATACTGTGTAGAATATACCTCCGGGAATAGCAGGACCTAGACGTCCGTGTCACACTCGCGCTCCCGCATGTGTGATTATATATGTGTATATAACAGACTCTTACGTTTCACAATCGTATACTACTTGTCTCTGCACGTGTTTCGAAACGCGGTCAGCCGCACCATTCACAAACAAACATGGAGAAAACGGGCACACATTTGGAGGGGCATTGCCAAGATGAGTCCTAATGCGCCCATTGACGATCGCGTCAAACCTTGCAACGGTCCGGAGCCCGGGAAATTGGTCCGGAGTAACCATAATAGGCATACCGACATGCGCGAGAGTGGAATGGTTGACCTTTGGACTTTTGGTTAGATCTGCAGTCCGTCGGTCTAGCAAGGTAGCTGCAGGCTTCGCGAAGACGTGGCCCCTGGACGGATTCGAAGGTAAATTGAGACGATCTTGGCCAGAATGTTTTAATTTTCGTGACATGTTTCAGTGCGATTTGTTACGGGGAATTAGTCCAGCGTGGCCAGCGAGTGTTTCTGCAGCCTACACCACTTGCATTTGCGCTTTATGAAGGTAGAGGGAACATTTGCCATGAAAGTATGTGGCCGCATTGGAATATACTCCGCGCGCATTGAGAATACTGAGCTGACTGCTTGCGGCACCTCAAATTGTGATCGCTACGCAACCGCCATCGTAAAAATATCACGCGGAAAAATTCTGCACACAGATGCAGCATCGGGCTGACATGTTTGAAATAGAAAAAGGGGTTGGGTAGCAGCGAAGGCACGCGAAAGGCGGTCGAGCAAGCACAGAGGGAAAAAAGGTGGGATAGAACGTTCGCGCCAGCAAATGTCACGATGTTCGGACCCATAGCTGGCGTTCTCGTGATTGAAAAATTGCATGATTCCTAGGCCGTGCTGATAAGGAGGACGTGGGATGTGACGGATTATGGGGCCCGCGACTAGCAGGGCAGCACACAATTGCACAGCCATAATGATCCGCGATCGGAATCCGAACGCCAAACGAGCTGATCGTGACTGGAAAGGGGGTTTGAGGATTCGTGTTGCACGCGCCTACCTGCATGCTGAGGGTTTTCACCTTGGGGCGTCTCTGCGATTAACGTTGTGAGAGGGACTTTTGAGGTGGTGTCGCCTCAATACTTGTAGCCATAGCCCTAGATTATGGACCTGAAGAGCTCAAAGCTTACCTGGGACTGATGCAATAGTTTTGAGATCGACATGAGATAGTCAAGCAGATTGGGCAACTTGTGGCAAGATGGACCGCGTTGACCATATCCGTCAAGGTAACCAGGGTTGATTGGATGGGGTCTGGGGATAGTGACAGTCAAAGTGGATGCCCATGCGGTTTAGTTGTCACTATAACATTATAAATCAATAGCAAAATGTTTGACATTTACGGGCCTTGCGGTGCCATGGCCGGAGGTTGTCCCCGGGTTTGAACCACGCTTCTCCAGGCCCATTGTAAATGAATATCACCATGACATCTGGAGGTGCCGCATATCCATTATCTGGAGTTTGATGTGCGGAGAGCCCAAGGGCTTATTATCGGGCCCGGAGGCGAATAGTGTTCGACCGGGCGAGGTATGATGTCGAGAGGACGTTTGTGAGGTTTGTGTCTGTCCGAAAATTGGGCCGGCCCCAGAAAATAATGTCATAGGGCTTGGTTGATCACTTGTGTGGCAGAGTTGTGGCCTTGGCTCGCCTTGGTTGACTTGCGTGGGACTGATTCAAAGGGCAGCGATCGATTGCGACGCTGACTGGTGTCAACAACAACGGTTGACGACAAGTCTGAGAGAAATACCCCACAATGGGCAAGAGGTCGAGGGGATTGGCCAATAATGGGGAATAATGGGAAGCTCATGGTGTTGGATACCCATAATTATGGCTGATTTGTGGAAACTTGGGATCGGCCATCGGCAGGGAAAGCGTCCACCAATATGATGTCAAGCTCCGTGGTAGTGTTAGAATCTCGACAATAGATGCCTGCAGAATTGATACGGCTCCGTACATGGTAGAAGGTGCCAGTACTCCCGGCGCGTTGCAATCGACACGATCCCCCCCCCCCCCACACATGAGCACCAGCGGATAGCCATGGAAGCTCTATTTTCTAATGCAGCATATTGACAGATCCAGCTAATGTAAGACTACTTATGTAGTTGGGTATTGGCCAACCCGTTGTTTTTCGAGTAATACTATTTTTATATATATATATATATATAATTACCATGTTATGTACAGCAGGATTGGCTCGGGTAGAATAGAATAAGGTATGGGGACTTGACAGCACCCCGCCGGACGGAAGTACTGGAAGGAATTAAGGGAAAAAAAGAAGAAGGAAAAAAAAATAGTGTCGCATCTCCCATGTGCACGTTCGTGGTGGCTAAAAAAACCCACCCCGCCGTTCTTTTCTTTCTCCAGAGCTCCATGCCCCACCTTCACCACTAATTCGGGCTCCTGGCCCCGCAGAATAGAACGCAATCTGTGGGTTCTCCAGTCTGTGGCACGCATGACCAGCTGCATTTTCATCTCTCTGTGCTTGGCCTAGAACCGCCCTTGCAGCTGGACTATCACCAGCTAGGTCGAAACTCCATTGCGACACACTCTGACCGGGACCTTGCTGCTCGATTCTGGGCACTCAACCTCCAAGCGCACCCAAGCACCCAAGCCCTTCGCCAATCCTGATCCTGATCCTGAACTTTGTGTGTGACCGTTTGCAAAGTGTACAGTGTACAGGGTACCTCCCCCCCATGCCATACGTAACAACTCCTCGGCTGAATTCACTGCGACCACACATTTATGGGCCAGTATGCCATCCTCACATTCCCATCTCTCCTCCCTCCTCTTCTCCTTCTCCTTCTTCATTCGAAACATCGCTAGTTGCACCATCCCTATAAACGCTATACCCGTTGCCATACCACCACAGCCACACCTCTTGATTACCACCGTTGCTAGTACCAGACACTATCATCACCACCATACCCGCAACAGATCTAGACCAGGTTCAACCCCCACGATAATATCACACTCTCCTGTGGCGGCCCACTCTTCGGCTTCAAATTTCCGTCCAGCCCTCCGCTCCCCAGCTCTTCTGCCATATAGCTAGGGCTACGCCTCCTCTCTGCCTCCAGGGTTCACTACTTCCTACCACACATCATTCTCCAGTCCGACTCTCAGACACAGACACATAGACAGAAGTAGCAGATCTTCTCCGCAGCCGAGGAGACACATCACCACCAGTATAACCACAACCTGTATAAAACCCCCTATGACACAAGACTATTTCCATCAGCGTAAGCGTGCGCGCCACAACGGCTATATGTCTCCCTCCGATATTCCTGGCACCAACGGTGCCGAACACAAAACCCCCGACGCTGCAAGACCCCAAACGCCAAACCCCGACCCCTATGAGTGGTTTGTCGGTGCTATCGACCAGGGCACAACTTCTACACGTTTCATCATCTTCAGCAGTCAGGCCGACATCATCGCAAGCCATCAGATCGAGTTTGAGAACTTGTATCCAGAGTCAGGGTGAGTTCGTGCAGCCATGTCCGCTCTCTATGTTCGGAAGAAAATCAACTGACAAACCTCCTTCAGATGGCACGAACATGATCCTTACGAGCTTGTCAAGACTGTTGAGGACTGTATTGAGGAGGCCACAAAACAATTTACCCAGCAGGGCTACGAGGCATCCCAGATAAAAGCCATTGGGCTTACAAACCAGCGAGAGACCATCCTCGTCTGGGACAAGCGGACAGGAGAGACTCTTTGCAATGCTGTCGTCTGGCCTGACACACGAACCAAGGACCTTGTCCGGGGCCTCAAGTGCAAGAAGGGCGCCGAGAAGATTCTCGAGCTTACCGGTCTTCCCCTCAGCACATATCCGTCGGCTGTGAAGCTGATGTGGCTCCTCGAACACAACGAGGAGGTCAGAAAAGTGTACGACGAAGGCGAGTTGGCATTCGGCACAGTAGACTCGTGGCTGGTCTACAGACTGAATGGAGGTGCCAAGAACAACGTCCACGTCACCGACAGTACCAACGCTAGCCGAACCATGTTCATGAACATTCGGTCGCGAAAGTACGACGAAGAGCTTTTGAACTTCTTCGATATTGATACTTCAAAGGTTACTCTGCCCGAGATCGTGCCGTCTTCGTGCCCCAAAATGTACGGCAAGGTCGATTCCGGCGCTCTCGCAGGCGTCAAGATCTGCGGTGTTTTGGGAGACCAGTCTTCTGCTCTTGTCGGCCAGTGCTGTTTCGAGCCGGGCCAAGCCAAAAACACGTACGGTACAGGATGTTTCTTGCTGTACAACGTCGGCCATGAGCCTGTCATCTCGAAATACGGTCTTCTGTCCACCGTTGCTTACGACTTTGGCGACAATGGAAAGCCTGTCTACGCCCTTGAAGGTAGCGTTGCTGTCGGTGGCTCTGGTGTCAAGTTCCTCATGCACAACCTTGGTTTCGAGCGCGACTCGAAGAGAGTGAGCGAGCTTGCCGAGAGTGTCGAGAACAACGGCGGTGTAGTCTTCGTCACTGCCTTCAGTGGTCTCTTCGCTCCTTACTGGATCGATGATGCCAAAGGTACTCTTTTCGGAATTACCCAGCACACCAAGAAGGGTCATATCGCTCGTGCCACTCTCGAGGCAACGTGCTTCCAGACCCGCGCCATTCTCGACGCTATGGAGAAGGATTCCGGTCACAGACTCGACAAGCTCGCCGTCGATGGTGGCATGTCCAATAGCGACCTGACCATGCAAACACAAGCCGATCTGTCTGGCATTCGCGTGGAGCGACCTGCCATGCGTGAGACCACGGCCCTCGGTGCTGCCATCGCTGCAGCCATTGCCCACCGGGAATGCACATGGAAGGACGTGAAGCAGGTCCAGGAGATCATGAAGTCCAAGCAGGGCCGCCGCGAGTTCATTCCTGAGATGGAGAAGAGGAAGGTCGCCAAGATGTACGGCAAGTGGGAACGAGCCGTCGAAATGAGCAGAGGATGGGTCGTTGATGAGAGCGAAGATGAAGACGAATTTTAAACCGCATCTAGTGTGCCAATTTCAACACGGGACCACTTATCAGGGAAACTCTTGTCACCGACAGGGGACCTGCTTCACGAGAGATGACGAGCGTCAATTTGCATGGTTTGGCGTTGAGGAAAAGGGGAATCAATACAACAACGGTGCAGCAACATATGCCGCCATTGATACATATATATAATATGGGTGTAGAATAAGATGGGGGTGCTTAGATTCTCTGTCGATACCTTTTGAGCACGTATATATTAGCACCTAATTAATAGGAAAGAAAGAAATACATAACAACCAATACTTGTATCTTGAATCGTGATTTTGTTTCGTTGTTGGACTGGCTAATAGTACCCAAATTATTCTTTCAATGCGCTCAGAACTCCTCCCCCCCCCGTTCTTGTTGATATTCCATTATATTCATTTCGAGTTTCTGCTAGATAAGGGTGTGCCAACTACTGTGTATAGACAAATCTCAATATCTCCATCCCACCTGTGTTCCCAAGACGACAGAAAAAGGAAAGAAAAAGAAGAAAAAAAGGGTGAACCTGTCCGTATACCGGCCACTCCCTACATAGTAAAAACAAGTATCAATATGCATGGTATAATTACTCAACGTGGGAACTACCTTCTCTTACGCGATTTGAAAAGCAGTACCAATCAGCCTTCGGACAGGTTTGGGGCAACTCTTATAATTAATTGGTAATGTCAGACGGGCTTGGAGTGCTCTAATCCCCGTTGCCTATTCCCTTTCCTTGATGAACTGCTGTTCCCAAGACAACACACGAACCCCCCCTCCCCCTTCTGTCTCTCTCTCTCTCTCTCTCTCTCTCTCTCTCTCTCTCTCTCTCTCTCTCTCTGTCTGAACCAAACCAAACCGTCGTGACTTGAATCGAAGCGATTATTCGTGGATGCATACATACGTGTAAACAACCTACCTCCACTTGGTGTTTGGTGATAAAGGACTCGTAGAATAGTATAAATAGGCAGCCCCCGCCCCTCCCCGGGACCGAAATATTATGCCCGAAAGACGGTTGGACAAACCCTGCTCTTCTCAATATAAATACGCGGAGACGCCCCTTGATGAGGATGTGGGGGGGAGTGGGTGGTGTGGCATCACTCGGCGATGAGATGAGATGAGATGAGATGACAAACGTATGATTATGCTCGTGGGCGAAGCTTGTGTCAAGCCCGTGTGCCAAGTGCACAAAGGTTGCATTGTGAAACATGTTTTCCGTAGAAGGCAGCGAGCGGGAATAGTCGGGAGTTTGGGTGAAGAGTATATGCAGGTTTCAAGCCGTGCAACTTTGTGGTATTGGATTGCTTCTTGTACCGCATGTAACTCTCAAGTAACATCAATGTAACACTACCAGGTGCACCGCAGATCATATTCAAGACTGGTCTCGACTCGTCACAGAATCGCTAAAGCACCGGGGATATTGCTCAAAAGCTGGTTTCTATTCAGGGACCCTCGCCCACCTATTGGAACAAAAGGGTGGCCCCCGGACCAGAGCCACCTACTGGAACTCTACCGATCCAGCGTGTGGGCCAAAGGTCAACTACCTGCTAACCTTAGATGACTACCGAGGAAGACAGTTTTATTCTTTGTCTAAGCACATGCAGCCTCACCAACACCTCGCTCAACAACCGTGACTTCCATGCCATGCCAACCAATGCCAATCATTATTCGCTCCTGCCACGCGCACATACCCTTCCATTTTGTTTTGTTTCTGCGAACAGCCGCAATCATAGTCGGGGAAATAAAATAGAAAGTCGAGGGGAGAAGATTTTGTTCGTCCAGTCGGAACGCGTTAGGGGAATTTGTGATTATGAAGTCGTACAGGGGAAACCAGATTGCCAGAATATACAACGAAAAGAGGCCGAAAATGACATGCACCAAATTACATGATGATGGCGGGAACATCAACGTTGGTCTTGATGCTCTTGTGAGGCAGGACGCTGCCGCCGTTGACGTAGATCTCGTCGCCGATGGTGACGTCGTCGCCGAGAACTGTGACATTCTCCAGACGAGCCCACTTGCCGACGGTGCTGTTCCAGCCGACAATGGTGCTCTTGACCCAGGCATGGTCCTTGACCTTTGAGTTGGGCAGCAGCGTGCATCTCTGCAGACGAACGCCGTCGCCGATGATGCAGTTGGGACCGATGACCACGTTGGGGCCGATGCGGCAGTTCTTGCCAATCTTGGCACTGGGGTCGACCAGGACGTTGCCGCCGTAGACGAAGGGCTCCGAGTTGGAGGTCAGGAGCTTGGGGGACTTCTTGGCCAAGGAAGACAGGTACAAACAAGTGCCTGTGAGGTAGTCCTTGGGCTGGCCAACGTCCATCCAGAAGCCGTCTAGGTCGAAGGAGTGCAACAGGCCGTCCTTGACAACAGCGGGGAAGGTCTCTTGTTCGATCGACGTGGGTCGGTTCTTCTCGATACGGTTCAAGATGGAGGTGTTGAGGATGTAGAGGCCAGCGTTGATGCGGTTGCCAACAAACTCGACGGGCTTCTCGACGAAGCGGTCGATTCGCGAGGGGTGGTTAGGCTTGTGGACAATGACACCGTACTTGGAAGGCTCCTCAACCTTGGTGACGACAATGGTACCCTCGTCGCCGTGGGCCTTGTGGAAGTCGGCAAGGGCCTGGAAGGGGTACTCGCATGTGACATCGGCGTTGAGCACGAAGAAAGGGGAGTCATCCTTGGCGAGAATGTGCTCAGCAAGCTTGAGGGGGCCGGCAGTGCCCAGGGGCTCGCTCTCGACGGAGAAGACAATGTTGACGTTGTATTGCTGGGAGAACTGCAGAAAAGACCCAGACAATAAGCAAATGATCGGGAAAGTGAACCCAAGTTGGCAGATGATGCCAGATTTCCACTTACCTCCTTAAGACGGTTCTCCATGACCTCGGGCCGGTAGTTGACAGCGAGGACGATATCAGTGACGCCGACGGCAGCCAGAGCGGCAATCTGGTGCTCGATCATGGGCTTGTTGGCGAACTCGACAAGAGGCTTGGGGAGAGTGAGGGTCTGGCGGTTATCGCAGGTTAGCATACCAAAGTCACCGTTTTTGGCAGGCGCAAAGCAAACATACGAGAGGGCGAAGGCGAGTGCCAAAGCCACCGACGAGAATGAGGGCTGCTCAGAAGATCATGGTTAGCAACAGAGCTTCGTTCTCATGGTCGGTTCAGGAGGCGGGATGAGAGGCAGGATGTGAGGCTGGAATAGGGGAGCACTGCAAGGCGCAATGCAGCCAAACTTACCCTTCATCTTGGGAGTTGTGTAGAGCCTGTCTTTGTGCAGAAAATAACAACAGTTGGTTCAGCGAGTGTAAGAACAAGAAATGTAAACAGAAGTAGAAATATACGCAGTCAACGAAGTCTGCGCAGTGATGAACTTGGAAGGTTGTGATGGGAAGGAGAATCGCAAGTTGGTGAGCTGGTGTGTTGTTCTTTTTGGCGAATAGCAGCCAGCATCAATTCAATGTGATTAATTAATGAATGGGCTGCAATGCGGAGAAATAACTTCAAGGGGGTTATCTCAAACGGGTTTGGCGCAGGTCTCTTTCCGACTTCGCGTCAAGTGACTTTTTTTAATTTTTTAATTAGCTGGTTAGCAACCCGTAAGCTCAGAGCTCGAAGCAGCTATTAGCGGGACAGCTACACCAGGGCAGCCTTCTGACTGGACCTGCCAGGGGTCTGTCTACTACTACTGTAATCTTGCGACGAGAAAAATAAATAAATAAAAATGTATATTCTAGAGGCTTTTTTTTTTGTACTGATTTCATCCTCAATTAAAAGAAGCAACCAACAAGGGCAACTGCTCCTTATGTCGTGACTTTTTGTTTTATCTTCTTTTTAGTACTTGACATCTTACAATCGTTGATCAAAAGCCCCAGAGCCCCTCCCGAAAAAGACACCTATCTGTCTTTTCAATCACTTGACGACTTTCCAGGTTTCAAGTTTCGCAATCCCAGGAACCACTGAACACGAGATATCCATGGACAAGCAACAGTAACACAGGTTGAACAGGACACCTTGCTGTCGCTTGCCTCCGAGAAATTACCTTTGTCCATGGGCGAGTGCCCTATTAGGCCCCTCTAGACAACCCCACAGCCTGGGATGGCGTTCCCGTGTCCATGCGGCCCTGCTAGGGCCTTGCTAGGCCCAACGCCATCCGATCTGCAACGACCCCCGTAAATCATGGCTCGCAAGCTCGTTGGACAATTGCTGCCTCTCATTGGCGAATCGCCCTTCAGCTGGCCTTCGTGATCTCCAATTTCCTTCGTTTCCCCCCATACGAAATTAGTTGTAAAATGTCCACTAACAAACCTTGCCCCTTTTTCCTTTTCCATGTAGCAGGCCTTTTCTTCTTCTTTCCCTCCAACATGGAGCTACAACGATTTATTTGTCAACTCGAGTAGACAACATCATATCAGTGCCTCGAGGCACAGGGCACTGGTTGCCTGGGTTCAGTCAATTGACACAATTCAGTGTCGGAATAAAAGGAAGACGGTGACGCGAGGCTACACTTGCAACCCGTCAATTTACGTGTCACACGGTGGTCCTTTGATGTCTCGAACGTGGGGGCTTCATTTGACCTTCCGAAACACACCTTGGAATTCTGATGAGGCCTCAACATCCCGTCGCATCGCAAAGTTTGACATATATCCGCCAAAGTGTCTGTCACTCAAACCCCTTCGTATCATGCAATAATTTGACTTCGGTTTCATCCTGGTGGTTGCTGACCGGAACAAACTCAAAACATGAAGACGTTGCGCAACGAGTTGTCGGCGACGCGCAACAACACTGCCCGCCCCTCGGTTTTGTTTTATTTTATTTTATTTTATTTTATGGACGCCAGCATGAAATCGCCACTGCCCTCATCCAAGCGCCTGCCGTCTCCGCACATCATAGCCACTTGCCATTCGAAATCTTGCAAGACCTCCCATTTTTTTACTTTGCGAACGATGTTGAATGATCTGTTTTCCATGACTTGATCGTATCTCCAAAACGCTATATTTGATATGCCACTTTGTCCCTTGTGTCCGCACAATTGCGTCAAGGTTTTTTATTTTTATTTTATTTGGAGAAACCATGGAATACTGGGTGATCCCATCGGTGTATGGCTTACTATGAACCTTGAAAGTACAACCTCACGTGCCAAGCCCATCGGTTTTTTGAACGTTAAAAGGTCGTGCTTCAACCGTAAATCACGACCTGCTGACATGTACAACCATTGCCTGAGGCATTGCAAGCGAGCTTCTCAACGTTATCTCCCGGCACCAGAAGAAAGGACAGATGTGCTGTCTTATAGCCAGTCCTACTGACAGTTTTTTCACTTTGACTCAACACTGCATGGATAAACAATTGTGGAAAAAAGAATTTAAGAAATACATAAGAAATAAGACTAAAAATAAAGAAAAAGAACCGATCACCGAGGGCCTAAACATTGTATCCCATATGCTTGATCTCGGATGATCTACCAAAGATAACAAGTATCAGAGATTATCGTGCAGGTACCCGGCGAGCACTCCTACCCTATCGAGATTGGGGGGCCTCGGGCCATGGGTTCGCTCACCGACGACTGACAGGTGTTCACCGAGGGCGAAAAGCATGTAACACCCCGACGGCAAGGATCCGAATTACACATAGAGAGGGAGCGCGTGTGTGTGTGTGATATCCACGAAGGGAACTAAGCTAAAGCCACGGAGTAAAAGTAGAGTATAGTATACATTGGTGGGGGTGAGTTTTTGGGACAAGTCGATTTGAGAAGTGAAGGCACACTTCTTCCTTCTCCTTGCGCTCTCTTGGTCCTCGCTTACTAGTCACAGCCAGCGTGACGCCGTGACCGATGGCTGGTCCATGTTCCTCCTCGGCGCTTACACACCTGTGACGAGAGAGATTCGATCTGCACCGCCCCTCCCCAGGTGTAGGAATACATACATAGATGCAAGACAAAATCGCGGGGGGACAGGGAACGTAGCCCGCGGGGGACGAAGTATCATGCATCCGGGAACTACGTATTGCCCATCTCGTCCGTTTGATTGGACCACGACGATTCTCAACCCTTGCCTGGCGTGGCCAGAACATCACGGCGGGCGGTAGTGGGGTAATTTCGAGGCTGCTGCTCGCTTCATTGTTTACATACATACATGGATACATACTTATAGACTGTCTACATAGGTAATAATGTAATCTTTCCACTTTCGTAAGCGCGTCCTTGCACAGGGTACATATCATGCCTCACCGCTGGGCGCATAAACCTTGGGGGTTTTCAGTGGACGTCCGCAGGTCTTGTCTTTTTATCATATCCACGTCTCGTACCTAGCGGCGTTAAAGCGCTTGGGGAGTTTAAGTCGGGATATCTGTCCCGGCAGGATTGCATGCGACGATGGTCACGATAGTGACTAGCGAGTAGTCTTCTAGATGGGGGAGCGGTGCTGCGATGTTCGTTGTGATTTCGTGGAGTCACGATCACTTCGTTGGTCAAAGTGATGGAATGTAACCGGGCGATACTGACCAGTGCCGGGGGACGTTTGCCACGTCCCGCACAAATTACTGCAACCGCATCTTGAGGTTTTCAATTGCATAGTTGTGATTCAACCAGATATATTGGAGGTGGTGTCGGTAACTGGTCACATAATGCAGGGACGATCGGAGTCAGTGTGTATCGAGTACTGAGTTCCTAGACAATGGACGAAATCCGTCATAATCGTCATGTGATTCTTTCATTTGACTCGTGCGAGAGATGTAAAAGTATATAGGAAGTAGCATCTTTCGTGAGTTTCGTTCTTTGAGTTTCGTTATCATCCCGTTGTCCGCTTTTCCGAGAGCAGGCTGAAAGAAAGGAGATCCATAGTTCCAGAAAATTTCTCGTTCGCTCCTCCAAAAGATTTTATCAAGACTCCCAGAATGTGTGCTCTGACACGTAACAGAATAGAATGATGCCCGAAAGTATCCTAGCCCACAAGATAATCCACAGCAATGACCATCCTGCTATGCCATCGTATCTCGTCATCGTCGTCGTAAGAAAAGAATTGTTCCTTTGAACCAACGGTCTAGTAAAAGAGCTCCTTGAAAAGTTTCCCTCAGTGGGAGTGATTGGAAGAGCTCATTCCAATCATTTAAAAAAGAATTGGCATGAAGAAGGATTCTCATATGGAATCCCCTCGTGGTCCCCCGTGGCTTACCATGCAAATGCCGAATGATGGTTCCGTCTAGCTTCCGAGGCGAAAGATACCAAAAACACCCTGCTCATCGTCATGGGGAACGCCGCCCTCCTAATGAGCCGCCAGGTATGTGCCATTTCGTGTTGTACCGATTGGTGAGCAACACGTGCCCAACGTCCATGTGCATGTTTGGAGAAATCAAATAGAGTCCGACCCTGACAGAGTTGCCCCCGTTGAAGTCCGTGTGGAATAGGAAGAAAAGCATCCGACCTGGTTCTGTGATCCCATTTGGCCAGGGAGGAAAAAGAAAATATGGAGGTTTGAAGTCTTTTGTTAGGAGAATGGATAAAGGAGCTTGCACCAAAAGTCAGAATGATGTGAGACCAGCCAATGTCGTATCGTTAGAAATTGTTTCGTATCGTTTCATTCGTCAATTGTTCGTTAAAAGGTCGTTCATAAAGTCGTCGATTTATGCAAATTTTGTGTTCTCTTCTTCCACTTTTTAGTAAAGCAAAGAATGCTCGCTCTCAAGAGGAACCGGGGGGTATTCCGCGGAGTAAAAATGCCAATTGGAGGTGGGGGATCAGCTGTGAAGCTTTCGTCACTTTTATATCGTTTCAAAGATCTGCGCCTTCTTGTGTTATCCATCGTGTTTATCCATTGGTTGAAGCAGTCCAGGATACGGATGCCGCCGCCTTGCACTTAGAAGCCCTTCCCATTGGAGAGGCTCCTCACTCGAAGGAAGCCGTCGAGCTGCTGCTCGAGTGGTGTCCGCTCCGCCCATGGCTTCCGTGGCTCCTGTGACCGGACGAGCTGTGGGAGCTGTGGCGAGACTTCTTGGAGTGAGAGTGCTTGCCAGTGTCGCTGGCCGGGAGACCCTGCACAATTCCATTCCGGGCGAGCATTCCACCATTGACGGAGAAGTTCCTGCACACCATGAAGGCCCTCATGGCTGCATTCTCCTGAGCTAGGCCATCCGATTCGTATGCAAGATCTGTCTGGTATTCGCGTCCGTTGACGAGAACCAGGCACGTGTACCCATTGGAATCACGGAAGCACTCGTACGTAGGGTCGCACCACCCTCTTCGTCTGCAGAGACCTATGAAAGTTTTCCGTTAGCAGCTGATCTAGGCAAAAACCTGTACCTGAACCAATTTCCAGGGCTGCATCCCCCAGCGGTGCAAGCTCGATGACGTGAAAGCAGATCCACGGACATATGCATTAGAGCCCAACCACAAAGATCCCCGATCTAGCGATCTAGGAAAAAGAAGGCAATACGCCAGGAACGTGGGGCTCCCAAAAAATAAATAAAGGCCATGGCATCTCCATCAGCCGCAGGAACGCAATGGTAGTCTGCACGTCTAATTCACGATGCAGGGATTGACACATGTCAGACGAACTGCTGTCGTTGTGGGGCCCCACATTATCATATCACCAGATTTTTTTTTCCAAAGGGCAATTCAAAAGTATAGAATCCTTGCTAAGGGTAGACAAGCTGACTTACTCTCCAAGTATTGCATGTAGAAACCGGCCATAATGTCGGCTATACCCAATGGCTATCCAATGGCTTGGAATGCGGTCAATTGGTAAGAAGATCCAAGGAAGGGCAATCCCCCGGGACGTTGACAAGGGCAATAAACAGTCCAGCCAGCAACGGGTAGAAATCCGGAGGCGCCTTGGAAGTATGCAATGAAGCCCAACCGTGGGGAAAGGTGAAAGAAAGCAAGCAGTGAGATTCAATATCGGTCAGGCAGCGCTGAGACGGTGAATATGCCCTGTACTACAACACACGAAGGTGTGATGATGTGTTTGACGAAGAAGGAGGTCCGGCTACGTATTCAAGGTTGTGGTGCGGGAAGTCTGGTCCATCGACGGCGAGACATGTGTGCTTTATTGCAGAAAAATGTGTTATTCGTGCGGGGCAGGGATATCTAAAGACGGAAACAAAGAAGAGAAGACCGAAATGACAACGGGAAAGGGTACCAACGAGTTCGCCAGACGCACGTTGAGATGCGGCTCTCTCAGAGTGCGACCCCATCTTGATGTGTTGGCAAGTCTCGCTGCCAGTTGATAGAAACCATAGGGGACTAGGCAACTCCACCGAAACACATGGGGTATGCAACTCTCAGAGACGATCATCTTTCGATAAAAAGCTCGAAATATGCTTTTGGCAGAATGCGGTACTGCGTCTCCGTTTCTGTGTTTACCTTCCCCTGTCCGACCGGAGACAACGGGGCCCTGCTTGGGCAAGAGAGGGAAAAAGCTGCAGTACGTACAAAAAGAAGCATAGTCAAGTGGCGAACTATGGGACACTGGGGAACCAGTTCTGCGGCCAATCTGCACTATCAATGGGACCGATGACGATTTGGAGAAAAGGAAGGGCAAAACGCGAGGAGAAAGACGCTCCCTGAGGTGTTCAATCGACCGGGCCACCAGTCATGTCGCCAGCTTCAACCTTCTCTAGAAGGGCCGGGAAGGATGTGCCTGGTTCCATGGCTAGGGTCCCAGAGACGAGAGAAAGCGAATCGTCCGCAAGAGATGCCTTCGCCAGCCGCTAATGCACTAGCAATTAAAAACCGAAGGGGTAGACATTCTTGTACTGGAAACGTTGAATTCGGACGGCGAGAATAGGGAAGAGACCAGAAGAAGAAAAGACTATACTTCCCCACGTACATGCATCACCCACCTGTCACTACTACCAGCATGCCTGTCTGGTAGACGCACGGTGCTGTATGTACGTCGTACTTGGTATGTATCAACCCATGTTACCTTGGCAAATCCCAGGACTGTGACTGGGGACAGCATTGAAGAGGCAGAGAATTAGATGGCTGGTGCAGAAGGGTGCCTGTCGGCGTCACGATGGAGATTGGTCTTGATGTCGAGCTCCGGACCTCAGCGAATATGCTGACGAGCAAATATTACTGGACAAGAGACGAAGAATTCCCGTAGTGGGCCGAGATTGACGAGCGATTCGATTCGCACAACGGCCGAAAATAGCAGCCTGGGAGACTGAGAGACTGGGAGGAGCGGAGCCACTGGACAAATCAAATTGAGGCCGGCCGATGACGGTCGACTACAAATCGGCTAAGGCATGGAATTGGAGTACATGGTAGAGGGGAAATAGATAATTAAAGACGGCGCTTGCAAAAAGACGGCCATATTGAATTTTTTATTTTTCTTACTGGATGAATGGATACCAACGGCAAAAGTCCCAGTCACTGGCTTAGAGCCGGGACGATGCACGAAGTGCGGTGAACAAGAATGAGATGCATGAACACTGACTGGCCTTCCTTGGCGACCCGATCCCTAGTCGACCTCATTCTAGGTCTTTAGGTCTTTTAGGTCTACCAGGGACCCTGCAAGGGCGGGCAGCAGCCATTCAGAGCCTAGAGCTGTACGGCCGCTCTGAATGGAGGAGATCTGGCAAGGCAACTAGGCGAAGACAAACCAGACGCTTAACACCTCATGCAATGATGAGTTGGCATTGCCGCTTGATATTAAATCGAGACTGGCTGCTATGGTCCTGACTCTGTCAGAAGAGTATTAGGTACGAGTCAAACACGACCACAATCCACCTGACAGCTAGTACTAGTACCACAGATAGCGCGACATCAATAAGAAACAATAATAACAATAATAATACACGCTCAGTTTTGCATATGGGAAGTTCAGAATTGTTGACGACTGATATAGCATGCATTTGCTCGATGGAAGGACGAGCGGTCGTGATGCCAGTTACACTTACCTTACAGGAGGAGTGCGGAGGAGTAGCTGGGTACTTGGTCGTGATTGAGGTGGCGCAAGGGCGGCGATTACAGATCCGAGAGAGAGCAACTGATCGCCTAACCTAGCACGGCAGATGAATACCGGCTTGATTGATAGCACGTCAGTCGTGATATGAGTACTGTATTTGCAAACAGAACCCCGAAGCGGAAGTATTCGAGGCTGATCGCGTCGACGACGCCTACGACTAATACAGCGGACTTGTGGTTAAGAACGGCCGAAATAGAATTATTCTGGAATTGTCTAACGCGCGCTAGGGGGATCAGACGTTTTGCAGTTCGCGACACAGAAGTGTCCGTTGCAAACGGATTGGAGAGAACATCGCCCCTCCCCCTAGTGAAAGAAATGACTCTAGCTAATGTATGCCATAAAAGGCTTCTGAGTGGTGCTTTAGTAGATTAGAAGATGTGAAGCAGTAGGTCGACATAAGCTTAGATTGACCAATCCCGAGCTTCAATGGCTCTGTCATTGTCCAACGATATCCCTGATATATACCGAGATTGAAACATGAGATGGATCGACCTTTATTAGTCCCGTACAAATCGCGACCTTATTAGTCCCGTACAGTTCGTCGGGAAACCTTCTTCGCCCCAGGAAACTTCTCAGCCGGATCTGACGGGAGGGATGATCAAGCCCTCTCGTGGAGGACGGCATTGGCTGATGAGCGCTAGTTTGCTGCTGATGATGAGATATGCAGCAGAAATCGCCCCCACAAGGAGCAACGATGCGATGTCGTGCATTATGAACATCTAGCAGGCTCCGCGCACAACACACATACCACGTTGACGGCATCTCAGCGCAACAACGGCGTACCAAGTAAAAGCCGTATGAGCGGCCTGTCACGTTTCCAGCGATTCTGTGAGTTGATGTCACTCGGTCCAGTCGAAACCAATCGAGTCTATTGGAATTGACTTTACCTTACCCCGCCCCCTCCTTTATCGAAGTCCCATGCTGATGGTGATTATTAGCTGGCGACCTCATCCAGGGATCAGCTATCGAGTGGTAGGAGACCGACAATCGAGCTAGTTCTTGTTAAGCTCTAGGGGCAGCGATGCCAAGTCGGACATTCTTATTGTTTGTCAACAGCAGCTACTGCTGCGTTCATCTCAAAGAGACTATCATCTTGTCCACAGCATCAGCAGGATCCCACAGCACTGCATCTTGGCAAGCAGATGCGATTTGAACAGATGATGTTATGTCGCCGTGTTTACATCAGATCCGCTGAACCTGTCACCAGCGTCTCAAGGCTACAGTAGAGGAAGCTGATGATCCTCCCAAGAGAACGGACTGCCACGTCAAGAGATTTGGCCCCAGCATGATCCGGGAGGGGGGATTTGTGGGGACAATCATGAAAGTATGCATATGGTCCACCTTTGTCAAGCAGAAAGTTGAGATTGTCTGTGTAAAGTACATAATATGTACGTTCTGCAGTAAGAACTCTCATGAGGATGAATTGGAACGGTTGTCATATATCAACTCGGCAAGGTTGCATAGGGGTTGCCGAACTACCAGAGAGGGATTCGGTTTAGATTGCTCGCCGCATGTCTTAGATCTGAGGCTGTTTCTTTCCCCCAAGACATTAGAGGTAGCATTGCCACCAGGGATCTTGGCTGGCAGTTTCTGACAGAGCTTCTGGGAGAATACCCTTTGAGCTGTAGTGAGCAACGTCACCTGGGGATTCGAGTTTGCTGCAGAAAGTTTGGATTGAAGGTGTCACAGACCTGCCGCATGCGGTGGAGGTGGGCAGATTGGCGAATGCATGGAATCCCCGTGAGTCTGGGTTCAGTGTTCCACTGCAATCGGGCGAACTGCTTGAGCCAGCCTGCTTTCTATCTTCTGTAGGACTGCATGGCTTGCAATGTCTCAGTCATAACTCTTTGTGCGCATGATGCTGTAGTAGACTTCCAAAGAGGTTAGCTATGAGTAACCGTCTCTCCGTTTACTGGGATCCATCCGACCTATTGTTGGCCCGGCTCCACGATGCGTTGTCTAATGTGCAACTGGGTCCGCCAGGACCCTGATGTATTGAAAATGCCACATGCAGCTGAGTTTCGGCATGCCCATCTTGGAGGGGGAGCCGGGCCTTCCCGTCTTCGTACCAATCCTAGGGGCTATGCATATTGGTATTTGAATGACGGACCGGCAGTGACAAGATAGGGGTACCATGAAGATCACCAGCACTCATCACTCTTAATCAAAAGTTTATCCAGCAATGCATGTTTACATTTCATAAATGCGCTCTGCGAAAAAAGTGAAACGTCAGGGAACAGGTTGTTATGGTTCAAGTTGTAGGCATTGTCGCCCGTGGTCTGGGGCCACCTCTCCTAATGTGCCATGATTGTTGACTGGACAATGTGCTCGCAAAGCAGGCCACCGGTCTAAAGCTAGAAATTGATCCGCGCATAGTCCGGCGATGAAGCAGTTCCTTTATTGATCCTTCTCGTATTGGTTCGCTCCGAGTCGGAGGCGGTCACTTCTTATGCGGCCCATTAAGCGGGTCAAAATCCTGGCTTCGATAAGAAGTATTCCATCATCTGCTCTCGGCTCCTTTGAGGAATTGCATAAACGGGATCAGTAGGTTCAATCAGGTCTTCTACGTCAAAGACTTGATCGCCTGGATGGGGTAATACGGACCACGCTACGTTTGCCACCTGCTCAACTTGTGGTGTGGCCGAGCTGACAATGTGCTGCGCAGAAGAGAGGCCACTAAGTACGTAGCATGTATGGTATGCATCGGAACGTCTTTTTGACACGATTCAGCGCGAATTTCAGACGAGAGACATCAGGGGCAACTTACCGTCCTGGCTTGTCTCGCATACCTCCTCTAGGAGAATGGTCTTGGCCACAGCCCATGATATAGCGAATAAGGCCTTCACGGTCATAGAAACTGCGAGCAGAGTCTGCTCCATCGGTGCGTTTTGGGCCATCTGTAAGGCTGGCTTCCAAGAGGGGCCAGCAAGCTCCTACCCAGTGACTGTAGCAGCCGTCGACAAGCTTGTTCGTGCGACCAGAGAAACCACCCTCTGGGGCATATTGGCGAGCCGAAAGCCACGAAATAAGCCGTGGTGCATCGAGAGCTCTAGGAGACAATTCGGGTTAGAGATACAAATCAGTATGTTGTCATGCCCTGAGTGGACGGAAAGAAAGATGATGCATACCTTGGGATGATGCGATGTGGTGCATCAAGGATGGAAAGACAGCCTAAAGCGCAGAACGCATATGCACCATGCGCTTCGGCGTCCGGTTTCCCGGAAATACCACCTTCGTAGGTTTGGCCTAGAGGATTTCAGCGATGGCAATCAAAGGGGCCAGTGTACTACCTACATCTGCGCACGTAGCTTTCCAGGCCAGTCAGAAGGTCTTCTATCCCGGCAGCTCTTGCCGGAGAATCTGATGACAAACCGAGCGGAATATTCAGTAACGAAATAACGACAGCCGCGCAGTACGCTCCTCTACTTGTGGTTCAGATATGAGTCACATTACATGGAGACTTGATGCACTTACCGGACGTCAACTTCGCCTCCAAGCGACATCGAGAACCCTCCGTCGGGCTGCTTCAAAGAGGAAAGCCACTTCCACATTGATCTTCTATCAATGACTTCATAGGCGTCTTCTCCACCAACTATAGCTAGAGCCAAGACCGTTGCGTACGTAGTCGCGAGATGTGACGTTTGGCCGAACCCGCCAGCAAATCCTCCACTGTCGTTTTGCAGATGCTGAGCCGTGGCAATGAGTCCTTCGCGCAGGTCCGAGACGTCTTCTCCTACTAGCGACATGCCGTTTAGAGCCCAGTACAGGGACCATGGTCGGCTGGCATCAGCCATTACAAATGGTGCCGGAAGTTGTCCCAAGGTGTGGCGTAAAAAGTTGATGATCCTTTTGCGATTAAGGCGTGGCACGCCATGTATGTTGAATTCGATACTGTCATCTTGTGCCTTTAGCAGAGGCAAACATGCATCCATGGTACTTTCCTGCGCGGTTGAAGTGACGGTGATGAGATCGTCCAAGATAGGAGGCTCTCTGGTGTAAAGGGGATCAATGTGCAATCTCGTGACTGGCTTGCCAGCCGTCTGCGATATGACTTCTTCATCGGCCATCCTGTTGGTGTCCGTCGATCTTGATGTTTGTGCAACTACTGCTGTTCTTGGATATTTTCTGATGAATATCGCTCGCTGGCGCGCGTGAGCGAGACTCTTGACGGTCGGTGGCATGGGTGATGGGGTCAGTCTATGATGTGGTTGGACCGCCGCATCCCCTCCTCTGCTAGAAAATACTTTACAAACGGGACAGCTCCACCAGCGAAGCGAGAATCGTGATGCGTTGTTTCTGAAGAAGCTCGGAATCCAAAATGCCAATCCCGACAACTAATCCAACATTGAAAGCGCGATCGCTTGAGCTACAACGTTTGCAATGGATTACAGAATGATGTTGTTGTCACAAGCTCGTGGTACCCAAATAGCCGGCTATTTCCCGGCCCTAGCAAGCAGGCTTTTGATAACCAGCTTCATGACAATACAATGATTTCAGTCAAGCAATTCGAAGATTACAACTCCCCTTTTGTTCTGGGCACGGCATATTAGTGGGCGATTTTCTTTATTCCAGTTGATCATGTCATCTTTTCAAAACTGCTGGTTTACTATTGGTAATGTTGCAAAAGCCCCAAATTCTTGCTAAAATCTGCCTCACCTCCACAAAAGACAACGACAGGGCGTGCATTCAGCACCATCACCATTATAACGTGGGGATTCAATCGCGACTGCGGCGTCCGTGATTTTGGATATTGGTCGTGATCAATCCGTTAGCGTTCGTTCAGTTATATCGCTTCCATGGCAAAGAGTCCCTTCGCAATTTTGACACTATTCCCAGTGTCACATTACCACAAACCAATCCATGGATTCATTGTGAAATAGACGCCATGGCTACAACCGATGTAGGACGATCCCCAGGGCGGTATCACATAGAGGCCCTAAGAGATAACATTCCAAGGCTTGAGCATAGTGTCAGGTATGCCATCAGTATGCATAGCGCCAGGTACTGTTCAAGAAATCCAACCTACAACTGCTTGAGACGGGCAGCATGTACTCGCCTTCCCTGGATAAGTGTAGGCTGGATTATGCCGACGGCCTGGGCATATAAACGGGCTTGACTGAAGCTGCCGCCATGCAAAGCCTTGCGGTATCAACAATATGCACAAACGGAAGATACTCCAACCACTCCAGTGTTTCGTCAATGCGGGCGGGAGCGAGGTCGAGAGCGCAATACATCAAAGGAAAACATGTGCTCTACACAGCACGCCCATCGTTCCCTCCTGTGTGCGCATCAAAGTAAAATTTGCCGAGAGAACAGGGCCGGAGAAAGATGAAGAGTGCATCTCGCTTCCCGTACGATCGCGAAAGTCTAGACAGCAGGCTTGCAGTGGTGATATTGTTTGTGGCTATTACCTTTAATGACCTTTGAGGGCTGCCCAATCGCAACAGGTGTGCTCAAACTTCCCGCTGCAGCTGCTTGGCACCATCGACAATTCCTCCCACGCGCACGTAAAGCAGAACTTCAGTTTAATCACCTCTACAACACATATCCCGGCGTTCGAATCGGTTGCGCGGCAGCTAAAACTCGGTTGATTGCAGTCTTAGCCATAACAGAGGCTCACATCACTCAGAATACCAGCATGGCGGTGAGCCAAGGGAAGGAAGCCGCCGAATTACCCAACGAGGAGCGCCTCGCATCAGAAGCTCTTCCAGAATTGCTTTTTCCCTCAATAAACTCACCGGCAGAGGTGGGCAAAGTTCTAGTTCCAACGTATATGCAGTTGACCGTTTAACATTCCAGCCTCATGCAACCGGCGTGTCATTTCATGCATTCTGCCGAACCAAGGTCCTGTAACAACTTGCTTCTTCCGAAATGGTGATAAACCACGCGGCAGGATGTGACCCTGCAAGATTCGATCGGCAGGTGTTTCTTTGCTGTTGCTTTTCGACGACAAGGTCACCACGTGAAGCCTAGGGCCTCTCTCCCTGGAGTTGTTCCAAAATTCAAAGGCTCGTCGCAACGCATATGCGCTCTTTGCGAGACAAATTCCCAACACTTCAGGACGAAATGTCGATAGTCGATAGCTTCAGGGGCTACCAGAGCCAGCCCGACACCACCATGTGAAGACCAATCGACCCGACACGCAAGGGTCAAGCTTGATTCTTTTGTTCCAGCCTGCAGTGAGTTGGACGGCACTTCATTGCGATCGTGCGATAGTGTGTGGGAGAGCATCAGTCACACGATCTCGACACGATCGTGCCTGATCTTGGGCGCCGACCCCCCCTCCAGAATCCGCACCACCCGGCTTCTGAAGTCGCTTGAAGCGCTTGCGATGAGCAACACGCATCCATGTCGTCATTCCTTAATCATCCTAATAACAAGAAAAGCCGGCGACACCAACCGATTCACAGTACGCATGAATGTTCTTGCAGCAAGTATGGAGCAATGGCTTTGGCTTGGCCGTTCAGGCTTGGCTTCGTCTGAGCTACTGTATGTAGAATCATAGTATAGCCGAAGTTCGTTCTACAGTAATGTGCCTTGCAGCCAGAATTCCCACAATGCCCACTTATACGACAAAATGTCGCCGGCTTTGAATATGTGGGAACGATGCGCTGGGACTAGACCATAGCTTGCATACTCGAAGTCCGAATTGCCCGGCCAGACCCGGCAATATACAAAATAATTCGCCTTGCTGTCTTGCCATTTCTGCAAAAGCCGCCGATCAGGGTCGCGGGGCTTTCGCGGCCTATGCGGCGAACCCCGTCAGACGAGACGTGCGTGTGAAACGGAGTAGAAACACGTCTACATGTACATAGAGTGGGTTCAATCACACAGCTTTGCAAGAGTGGTGACAAACTCTAGACTTTTCCCTTGCAGACTGACAGCAAATTAAACAGGATCCCAGAGACCACGTAATGTGGTCGAATTAGCTTTCGAAAAAAGGAAAGACAGAGAGTCAGAAATAGCAACTGTTTGCATGCTGTTCACGTGGCTGGAAACAGGTTAAACCAATCTACTAGCCATAGGATATGGAAATAACCTTTCAAGGCGTTACGGGAAGTAAAAGACACAGCTGCCAGATTACGGACAGTGCGTCGCCCAACCGCTTCCCAACCACATTTCTCGAACTATTTCCCTGCAAAAGGACGTGCTTCCCGTTGACAGCTCTTTGCACTGTCCCATTCTCTGCTTCCTTGATTCCGCACCTCTCTATCTTGCCCATGTCCCGCTTCGCCCTTCCGTTTGAGGTCTAGACCGTCAAAACCTGTCGAAGCTGCTTGTCCCCCGTGTGCAGTCAGTCAAACGAAAGCCTCCGAGTGCTTCAACCAGCCGAGGTCTCGAACGGTGTTACTACTCCGTTCGCCATTGCGCAGTCAGCCACTCGGTGCCGGAGGATTATTCATTTTCCAAGTACTTTTGGACTACTCCGACCTACATAGTCAAATTGACACTTGTACGCTGGGATCAAGGTTGACTGCTATCTGAGCTTGATCGATTGATCGACGGTCATACAACGCTTAGAGTACTAACTTCTAAGCGCGGGGCTCACTTCTAAGATGTGGATTGGGCAGTATAAGAGACCAGCTTCATGCGAGGTAGTACCAGTAGAAAAGCGCAAATGAGGACTGGGGGAAACGTTTTGCGAACGAAAACGTGTCGCGGTTTGTTACCAGGAAGATGACAAGGTGGCGTCATATATCAATATCAATTCATCAAGATCAGTAATATTGTTGTTGTTGCGCTCTTACCGCGTACTAACACCGAAGTGAAAGCGGAAGGATTCCTCGCATGAGAGCGTTGCCTGGGTTATGAGGAACAGCTATGCGAGTTAGCACGATAGTCTACATAAGGGCCAAGGTCGAAATAGATAGACTCAAGGTAGCCCCATATAGTGTCCGATGGGACTCGGCGGCGCGAGTAATGGAGCCGCAAAGACCTTTCGTAGCTCCTGGCAGCAAAATCAACCGGCACTTGAAGTGAGGCTCTTTTGGACCAGCGTTAGGGACACAGGAACTTGTCTCATATGAAAAAAGGGTTGCTGAGGCTTGGGGGCGAATATGTATGTTTCTTGTGTATCCGCGTCGCATTTGCTTGCAAAAGGTGAGGCAGTGGAGGTTGATCAGGAAGAATGACTGGCTCCTCGTAGATTCTGTCGTTGCAATCATGGAGCTTGTCGTGCATACTGGATCAAAGCGTGCCGTTGAATGGTACGTTGTGCTGTACAGTAAGAGTTTAGCGATTGATACTAGCATGGTACTTGTGTTGGTGGCTCTTCGAAGCTCCGGACTGACTGAATGCCGAAGCTGCACCGACCTGACTAACCTCGGACATGGCACGATAACGATACACTATGGACTGTGGTGCATCCTGGCATCATATCATACAGTCAAGAATATAGATCAAACGGACGGCGTGCAAAGCCCCATCGGTTCGCGTCTCAACTGATCATGTTGGCGATGCCATGTGGATAAGTTGTATGGATTGCAGTGCCTGGCCCATCTCCTGGTCGAGTTCTAGTTTGAAGGCATGCAGCAAGGAGACGGGACTTATCGTATCGGGGGAATGAGGAGCTGGTGCTAGCTGGTACAAGCTGGTGTTGGAGGCTGACTGCCAATGTATCCAGCGCCGTGCATCGTGGTGGAGCCCGGAAGACTGCGCCAAGCGGAGGATACAGATCTACCTGTAGTTAATCACTAGATTCTGGGTCTTGTGAGTTCGGTTGGGTTTAGTGGCAGCGGACTGAGCATTATCGTGAGACACAATTGCTCAAATGGTAGACGCTGGAGTGAGACTCCACGAGCACGGCAACTGCCATGACGGCAGATTGTCTTATCGTGATCCGTACCTTTGGTAGAGCTCGGCCGCGACGGGTATTGTCAGGAAGGCTGGAGACGAGAGCGTGAACGGGTTTGGAGGAGCAGCAGAGGCTCAAACAAATGCCAACCAGCAGATGGCCGCATGGTAGAGCAGATTGAGCAGAGTAGACGAAGCGTTAAGTCAGAACAATGCCACGGGATTGAAGTGAAGCTTCTAAAGCCCCCCTGCACTACGGTACTCAGTATGTGCAAAGTACGAGTGAGCTGGGATTGTGCTGGGAGAACCCTGAATTTCAAGGGAGGAATCGTGAATAGTGGAGAGCTTTCCGTGAGAAACCCCGCCAAAGCAGCAGCAGCAGCAGCAGCGAAGGTTTGCAGGGGGGGGGGGATGGTTGTGAATGCTGGAATGGAATTGCATACTCCGTCCATGCATAGTAGAGCATCAACTACCTGTGTTTCTCAAGCCAGTCTAGGCTGGCCTGGTATGTCGTTGAGATAGTTACGCGGCCGTCGAGTTTGTGCACGCGAGTAAGGAGCAAGTAAGTCAGTAACCTATGTAAGCGCGTGAAAGTAGGAGAGAATAAGGGAGTGAGTGGTAGCGAGTGCAATGTATCCCGACAGTGTCAATGCTGGGTTCCGCGGCGGGCTGTCACTGTAGCATACTGGGGATATCCACTATTTGTGGTGAGTCCCGGGGCTCTATTGGCCCTCGTCAGGCCATTCCCCCATGCACGTGTCCCACACGCCGCTGCAAGCCCACAGCGGCTATCCGCTGCCATTGGCCGCCGTCCAGCCCCGTCCCGTCGCAGCCAACGCTCGTCTTCACCGCCATTCTTCACCCACAGTCTCACCCACTTCCATGGCCGTGTCCCCTCGATATCCTCGATCTGGCTCGAGACTTACACCAGATCCTACCCTTTCTCCCCCATCACCTCCCCAGCACGCACCCCTGGGAACCTTCACCGTTCGCCGTTGAAAGAGCGGTGTCGACGACGAGTCCGTACAATACCATCACCATCCGCGAGACGAGTCGACAGATCTTTCTGTCCTTTTGCTCACAATGAATGTCGAATTTGACCAGCACGCGGGGGACGGGCTGTTGGACTTGACCACATTCGACCACCTTAACCGAAACCGATACCAATCCTATCCTCTGGTAATGGCTCCAACGCGAGGACCGCCGCCTGGAGCATGGCCTATGCCCGTCGACATCGCGACTGCTTGCCCGCCCCAGCACCAACACCAGCAGCAGCTCCAGCAGCACCAGCTCCAGCAGCACTCCACTGCTGTCTCCTCGCCCAGCGGCTCTCAGCACTCACATGCGCATACGCACTCGCACACGCATTCGCAGTCCCATTCGCATTCGCCCTCGCCTACCCAGCAGAGTGCCAGTCCGCTACAGCAATCTCCAACATTTCCATCCGTAGCGCATGTTCACTCGCCCGCTCTGCTAACCGATTGGACTCTGCTTCAGCACCAGCAGCAGTTCCCAGCGGGCCAGGATATCTCGCATTTTATCCAGGAGCAGCCATTGATACCCTTCCATCCCTTCCAGGCCAGCTTCCAGGCCAATGCACTTGGATACCTGCCAGCTACGACCCAGGGCCCCATGGATCCTATGGCCGCCCAGGCTTTTAGCACCATGTCTCCCATCGATGACCAGCAGGCCCTGCAGCAAAATTGGGAAGGTATGGGGATGGCAAACTGGCAAGATTTCGGCACTTCATTGCAGTTCCCCGCCGATGGCCTGCCCCGTTACGGAAGCATGGGCAGCCAATCTCCCACGGGGACCTACTTGGAGGTGCTTTCTCTGGGCTCTAGCGACCATGGCTGGAATCAGGTCGACATGTACCAGAACTACGACCAGTATCAGCAGGTTCAGGCTCAGGCACATGCACATGCACAGAATGCCGCCATCTTCAACCCGAGCCAGACACTCCACCTAAGAACGAGTTCCGACGCTTCCCACTCCGATGGTAGCCAAGCTCTCGACCTCAGTAGTAGCTTCGAGGAGGTTCCTCCCTTCAACTACTCGCCATTCTCGCCCGGCTCAGATCACAGTTACTCGGATCCCACGGCCCACAGGAATTGCTTCCACGGCGACCATCAACACAGCCACGAGGAAGTCAGCTCGTCTACTGCTGTTGCGCCAATGCCCATCAAGTCTACAGCTTCGTCGCCTTCGTCGAGTAGAAGCACCGGGTCGGGTTCTGGAGTCGTCTCTCCCACACAACCCACTGTCAGGAGAAATTCGGGCCCAAGAAAGAGCCCGATTGCCAAGTCTACCGCCAAGAACACCATCAGGAGAACATCAAATGGCAAGAAGGACGGTACTGTTGAGAAGAAGGTTGGCCGAAGAAAGGGACCTTTGCTTCCCGAGCAGCGTAAGCAGGCCAGCGAAATCCGCAAGCTACGTGCTTGTTTGCGCTGCAAGTTCCTCAAGAAGACCTGCGACACTGGCGAGCCTTGCAACGGTTGCCAGCCTTCCCACGCCCGTCTCTGGCAGGTTCCTTGCACCCGTATCGATATCAAGGATATTGGCTACTTCATGAAGGACTGGAAGGCCGACTATGAGCGCCACCTTGTCCGCGGGGTTTCCGTCTACAATGTGAAGGGCTTTGAGAAGACGGAGACTCTCATGTGGATTACTCACGGCTATGGCTTCTGCCTGCCCGTCATGGTTCGCCAAGTTTTCGTCGCAGACGAGAGCTGCTTCGGGGTTGACTGGGTTGAGTCATACCAACCTGACCAAGAGCCTATCGAGTTCGAGATCAAGACCGAGAAGCTTGACGTTGGCGAGAAGGGTATCAGCATGGAGGCATTGGCCGAGTATCTCGACAAGCACATTGATGGCGCATTTGAGTCCTTTGTTGATGACCACTTTGAGGGTACCCCATTCATCACTGAGATCCTCAAGACGGCTCACCGTTTCTATGTCAAGGAGAAGCTTCCGGTCATTCGCAAGGCGCTTAAGCTCGTCTTGGCTTACAACCTTACCATGCACATTACACTAATTGAGCAACAAGGCTCTGAGCACATGTTGGATGGTCAAATCGATGACGAGGACTCTAAGTACTACGGAAAGTACGTCGCTCCCGTTCTGATCAACTTCCAGATCAAATGTGCTATGGCCGAGATGTGGCGTGAGCTGCAAAAGGAGATTCTTGAAGAGCTGTCTCAGCTCTACTCTAGTGTCTACAGTGGCGATCGTCTCAAGAACTGGCCCACAATCTTCATGTTGGCCTGCGTCCTTCTTGCCGTCTGGGAGGAGATGCAATTCGACTGCCACTACAGAGTTCCTGACCCTATTGCCGTCGAGAAGTTCTGCAGCGATATGGAGACCACTCCTGTCGGCGTCATCACTGGTCTCTTCCACGCCATCTCGCAAAAGCTGCCCGCCCTTACCGACTGGGATAGCCAGCGTCACGGCCAACTCCTCAACAACAATGTCGCCGTGTGCGAGGCCATGACTGAAGTTCGACAACACGTTCTCAAGCATGGTAAGTCTTTACCATCAACTACCGCGATAATGCAAGTACTGACGTTGTGATTAGAATCTTACCTGCGAACGCGTAACGCTTCCAAGTTTGACAGGTACGATTTCGACTCATTATCGAACAAGTTCCTGTCAAAGTTGGTCATCAAGGCCAACTAGAGTGTTATGATAGTTGTCAGGTTCTGCCTGTTGCAGCGAGCAATCTCTTGGAGTATTGTTCCTGTACCTGATCGGGACAGTTTCCTTTTGTTCAATTTGTTTTGAGACATTTAGCGATGGCGTTATTTTGAGGATCTGATTTTTACATCATGACCTACTTCCTGCTCTTCTTTCCTGATACTTTACCTTCTCACCCTCTCTCACGGCTGGTCACCGCCAACACTCCAAAAAAAGAAACTCACGCATGCGACTACGACAATCACGTACGCCTTAACGTCATGTTTACGACCTTTATTTATGAGACATTCAACGAAGTGTATGACTTGGAATTGTTTGATTTAGGGCATTGCGAGCGCATTAAAAGCGACTTGGTCCTGCTCATTTGGCTTTTGAAATTTTTATTGCATGTCTTTGCCCGTGCCTGATGGCCGAGCCAGGGCATTCATGTTTTATGATAGTATGGTTTTACGGAATGAGCAAATACCGTACAACACAACATACATGACGAACACGATCGTACAGAGCATCGATGATTATGCATTGTTATTGGCGTTGACTACAGCAGCGCTCACGCTGAGCTTACATAGCTGATGGAATATGAGAAAGGAAAACTCATGGCTTAGAACATGCCACGAATGCGACCCAGATACCCCCATGTGGACGGTGGATAGGCAGAGCTGATGTGGTGCTCTCGTTGTTAATACTGTTGTGTAGGACAAAGCAGGTTACAGGCGAGCAGTAATACGAAAATATGTTCCATCAAATCAGCAGACACCTTTGTGACCATGATGCTGCAATCGTATACCCCCCCTCAGAATTTTGTGATACTGTGATCGACATCGACAATGGTATCATGAATACTGCGGTGCCCGTATGTGAGATTAGCCAGGAGTGACAGTGTTACAATATATGCAATGTCAGCCACCATGTTCAAGCGCCCATTGCATGCAAGTGTACTTGCTGTGGAACGGGTCGTCCCCTCTCTGTTTTCTGACACTACTGGCTACATGGCGGGATTTCCCCTTTCTGTGCAGTGAGACGAACTGTCGGTTGCCGGCAGGCAGAACGCAAAGAACCAAATGTGGAAGTCACTAATTTTTTGACCATTTACATGAGGGAGTGGGGAAATGAGAACTAAGCTGCTGTATCCAGCCCGCGTCACTTGTAACTTTACCTCCCCAACAGGATTAGGTACGTCTCGCGGCCGAGTTACGGTAGCATACAAGCGACAGTTGTTTCAAGTCGCTCTGGTTGTAACGAAGCTGGGATAGCATGGCATATTTTCGACTGGATACGGGGCTCAAGTTTACTAGGCTTATGTGAAAGAAGAAGGGAAAAAAAGTAAAATTCAATAATAATAACAACAATAATAATAAAAAGCCTGCCAATAGTTGTATCACAGTCTTCAGTCGCGTTAGAAACGGACCGGGCGGCTTACACGCTTGCAATCCGTCACGTATCACCTCTCTCTCTCTCTCTCTCTCTCCCTCCTTACCAGCGAGCTCTCACGGTACGGAGTCCATCTTTCCGCACACAGTTCATTAGAATCTCACGTTTCGCCCACTCACTTTCTTACTTTCTTTCTTTCGTTCCCTTGACCTCTTGCCCGCTCTATCTCGGATGATGTGATAATAACCACATCACCCGAAAACGCCCAGCACAGTCGCCCAGCGGCTGACGTGAAAGAGCGCGCTCGCGTCTCCGTTGCCCCTACCATATCATTGTACCTGCGCACACCGTGGACGAAGCTGATGAGTCGATGGAGGAGGCGTAGAAGGCCGAAGAGGTCGCAGAGGCCGATCGTGTAGGTCCATACTCTGTAACCGTGGTTGTAGTTGTTGGGGTTTAGTATGGATGGCGCACAAGCAGGAGGAGGAGGAGGAGGAGGAGGAGGGTACACTTGGCTCGACTGCCTACAGTGCCGCGGGCTCCAAGACTCAGAAGAGCAGGAGAGTGGCCAAGTCGGGGCGCAGGACACCACCATAGTGGATCGTGTGTACGACTGTCTTGTGCGTGTATTTGTCCTCAACGTTAGGTCGGCCTGATCTGCGCCGGTGAGCTCACGGAGAGAAGCGGGAAGCCCGCTGATGTGTTGCACAATCCGCAGCGCAGCTCATTGCTTAAAAAAAGGGTTCGCGCGTATGAGCACTAGGACGCAAGGTTTTGGCATGGCCGATATCCAGCCTCGTGAGGTTGTAACTATACCAGCAAACCCCCTCGCCTATCTTGCCCTTATCTTGCGGGAATACTGACACGGGGCATACACCGCTATAGGTATATCACCAATGCCGAGCAGCGACAGGGGAAAAGCGGACCAGGAGGTTACTTTGAGTTGCTACAATCTCTGCTTATTGTCTTCACATGCCATAGAACATTCGCATCAAAATGTCAATCTTCGTCAACAGTGTGATATAACAGTTGTTGGGCAAGCCAAAGGCGCTAGCACGCCTACGATGCAGGTCGGTTTGAGCTCAGGGCCGTCTGCCACCGGTGAAGCATTCGCAAAGCTTCTTGAATAGGGAAGTTGGAATCTTCACTGCAATTCCAACATTCCAGGACGAAGCAATAAACGATTTGCATCCGTACTTGCATATATCATATCAAATTATGTCAAAAGCCGCCTAAAATGATAAATCATATATGGCTACTTGACTTGTCTGATAATCAGTTGTGGGCCCGAACGACTTCAATTTCGTTTTTAGAGGAGCTGCTATTGATGATTATGAGAAGCGTGCGGTCGTTTCTCAATTGCATTGAATTAACACTTCACCTTGAGTGTGGCTATGTCGAACCAAGAGAGCCGAACCGCTTCAATAACCCTTGGTTGTTTAAGGACGTATAAAATCTGAGTTCCATCCCCCATTTGCGTTCCGGGTCTTCACGATGCGCTGGAACGACGGACAAACCGAGCCTCTTACAGTCGTAATCTTCCGTGGCTGGCAACCCCGAATGTACTCTTCTTGCAAGGATGCGAGCTTGACCGCCAGTAGCTATGACGTCGCTAAAAAAAGGCATTATTGATTGAGTTGTCCGCAAGGGTCCCCGCATGTACTGATGCTTGTGATGAAGCGTATCGAAAACAACTCATCCTCAGATCGAGATATTGTATTTCAGAGACATATCAAACTTTGTTAGGGAGGTTCAAGATCAGCAGATCAATGGCTCTAAATAAAGTTGCTCGGTTCCTGCCGGGTTCTGGGACGGGTTGAGTGCCTGAGGGGCGTGGATGGCAGATTCGCCACTGGCGTCTCCGGACGCGACAAACTGTGTTGTTGCCAGGTACGGCGTGCCACAGGCTTGGGAGTTACATAATTCGCTGTATTGCGTGCTCGAGTCAGGTAATATCACGACCGAAGATTGTGATCAATACCGGTCCTTGGCATTTGGTGCGGGATTTGAAGTTTGTTGGATTTTGTTGCAGCCACAAGATCGAACGCTCTCTGTTTCGCATGAGATCTTCCAAGGGTGGGTTGTTCTATTGCCTCTTGCCCAAAAGATACCGCTTTAGACACTGCTCAAATCTTATGACAGATCTATCAGAATATTTGAACATACCTCAACGGCCAGAGCCATAGAAGAATGCTTAAGCTTTGCTACACAAAGCCCTTGCTCAGAATTTACATACGGAGTACATACGTCGCTGTCATTGTTGAGATGAGACCCTAGACATTGACCGACTCTGCTACCCCAGGTTCCTTATCAGTGATTGCACCACATGACGTGAGGCCACACCCCACTTCCCTGCTCTAGTTGGCAGCTTAGACAACAGACAACAGCTCATGCGATAACCAGCCCGCACTTACAAAGAACCATATTGATACATCAAAACTTGATCATGGTCAGATCTACTCATCGTCGTTCTCAGCGATAAGCGTAAGACCAAAAAGACGTTTCAGTTCGGCGACTTGACTACGGTCTTCTGACTAATTGGTATGTATGATTTTTCTCGGCGAACCTGCTGGCCTCATGTAGCATTGCCTTGCCATTTCCAGCTCTCTCTTTCCCCAGCGGCTAGGAAGATGAGTGGGGGCAATAGTCGATTCCTAGCGGGCTTCCTCTGCGGTGCTATGGAATATGTAGCCTCCAAAGTCATTGGTTTCGGGAGGGGTTTCAAACGAAAGGCCAGTGGTTATGCATAACATGGGGACAAGATGGGATATCACAGTACAGTAAGTAGGAAGACGAGTCAATGCTGGAGTTGATGTGAATGAGTTAAGTTAGGGAGTCATATGCCCAGTCATTCACCGGAGTGGCGGGACCCACTTGCTCAGGCACTCCGTCCGGGTGTGGGTGTGGTGATGCGGTGATTCACTACTTGTAAATGTTTCGACCATAATCCTCATTATCAGCACAGCACTGCATAGCAAAGCCCATAGTTTTGATGTTCTTGTTTTCACTGTTGAGATCTGCAAGTTTCGTTACCCCCCCCCTAGAGAGGTTCTTTCTATTCTGTTCCAGATCGCAAATTTGAGGTTGCTGAGCAATCAGCTGGAATCGCCGTAAGTCGCAAGTCGAGACAGTCAGCCCCATTATTTTCATTGCATGCACTATCGTTATTGGCTAGACGCACTGCCCCGCCTCCTTCCGTCAACTTCCATTCACTTGTCCACTGCGCCTTCCAAGGTTAACTGACTTGTTGGTTACCTTGTTTGCCTCAGCTCATCAGGTCAATGCTTTGGCGTTGGGTGTGCCTCCCTCAGACCTACTTAAGCATCTCTTTCACCGCGTCATTCCATCAGACCCTTTTTTCCCTCGTACAATACTCTTCTCACCAACACTTCCATCAAATTGTTTGGTGTCCCAATCTAATCATCGCACCAACTCTCAGACATTTCGACTATATCTTTCTACATCGTACACCACATCAATCGTCACCATGCAGATCTTCGTCAAGACCTTAACCGGCAAGACTATCACCCTCGAGGTGGAGTCCTCCGACACCATCGACAACGTCAAGTCCAAGATTCAGGACAAGGAGGGCATTCCTCCGGACCAGCAGCGCCTCATTTTCGCTGGCAAGCAGCTTGAGGATGGCCGTACTCTCTCCGACTACAACATCCAGAAGGAGTCAACTCTCCACCTCGTCCTCCGCCTCCGCGGTGGTATGCAAATCTGTAAGCTTTTCATCCTCTTCGCCACTTGACAGGTGTTCCCGCTAACATTATCTGCAGTCGTCAAGACCCTGACCGGCAAGACCATCACCCTCGAGGTGGAGTCGAGCGATACCATCGACAACGTCAAGTCCAAGATTCAGGACAAGGAGGGTATTCCTCCGGACCAGCAGCGATTGATTTTCGCTGGTAAGCAGCTCGAAGATGGCCGAACCTTGTCCGACTACAACATTCAGAAGGAGTCCACCCTTCACCTTGTCCTCCGTCTGCGTGGAGGTATGCAGATCTTCGTCAAGACCCTCACTGGAAAAACCATCACGTTGGAAGTTGAGTCCTCGGACACGATCGACAACGTGAAGAGCAAGATCCAAGATAAGGAGGGTATTCCTCCGGACCAACAGCGATTGATTTTCGCTGGTAAGCAACTCGAGGACGGCCGCACCCTCTCCGATTACAACATTCAGAAGGAGTCCACCCTTCACCTAGTCCTCCGTCTGCGTGGAGGTATGCAGATCTTCGTCAAGACCCTCACCGGAAAAACCATCACGTTGGAAGTCGAGTCCTCGGACACGATCGACAATGTGAAGAGCAAGATCCAAGATAAGGAGGGTATTCCTCCGGATCAGCAACGTCTAATTTTCGCCGGCAAGCAACTCGAGGACGGCCGCACCCTCTCCGATTACAACATCCAGAAGGAGTCTACTCTGCACTTAGTCCTGCGCCTTCGTGGAGGTATGCAAATCTTTGTCAAGACTCTGACAGGAAAGACCATCACCCTGGAGGTTGAGTCGTCGGACACGATTGACAACGTCAAGAGCAAAATCCAGGATAAGGAGGGCATCCCCCCGGACCAGCAACGTCTTATCTTTGCTGGTAAGCAATTGGAGGATGGTCGTACTTTGAGCGACTACAACATCCAGAAGGAGTCGACTCTGCACTTGGTGCTACGTCTCCGTGGTGGCCAGTAAATGTTGACCACTGGCGCATTTGAGCATACCCTCATGATAACGGCGTTTCTGATTTTGGGGCCTTGGGAAAAGGCGATACATTGCGTTGATCGTTGAACCTAGCGTGTATACCGGTATGGTATTCAACGATATCCTATTAGCCACCAGTTATAATGGTGCACCCAATGAATGAAATAATATTCGTCATGTGACATTTGTTACCATCTTGCACTGTGATCCGCGTTCGGTGTGTATGTGTGTATAATTTATCCACCTTGTCTTCAGCTCGTTCGTCTTGAACATTAGCTGCCGACTAAGGTCAGTTGGCACGGCGGTCGGCTGTTTGTCGCGCCCGATGGATGATCTACCAACTAAGTTACTACGGATTGCCCCCCACCTATAAATTATTTGTCAAACTTTCCATTTTCAAGGCTGTGAGATCTGCTTCTCGCCGAAATCTCCAGAAACATGCAGTCCTCCGTAGGAAGCATCTACTTCACTTCAGAAGTCGAATTACTGCTACCTCCCTGATGCGAACTCTATCTTACGTCTGCTCCACAACCGATTGCAAACGCCGTCCCCGTCCCGTTGATGCTCGCCCAAATGATATGGAGCAACTTGAGAGATGCCTTCGTATTTCTACCATCTCAAATTTGAGCTTTACCCTACGCCTACACCAGATCCATCCACAGGAAATACTACAGAAAGATCTTCCCGAACAAACAATCCAGGAACCAGGGCTGACAACATCTGGTTCCCGTCTAAAAACGCCAGCGTCTTCGACCGACTCCCTGTCCACCGCCGCACGAGCAACTTGGCCCTAAGCTGTAGCAGGAAACCGACAAGCAGCCCCATTGCAAGCACCGATAGTCAGTTACAGCAGGGCGTCATTGACTGCGGCACACCTCGACCGGCGAACGCTGAAGCCGACAGGAACTTTGTCTTGCTGCGTGAGCGACAGCACCGCCAACGAACTCTGAGCATTCCACCTCCCAAGTCTGACGCTGCTATCAAACCCGAGGTAGCTACAAAGGACTGGCGGTTCGACCAACTGCGGATCGAGAGCCTGGATATTGGTACGCCAAGAGAAGGAAACTACAAAGCCATGGCAGGCGCGGGCGCATCCAACTCGACTACCTCTGCCGCCGCCGTTGGGCCTTCTATGAGCGATGCCGGCATAGCTACAAAGGCAAGATATGTGCCGTTTAAGACGACGAACACGGAGCTCGGCTGGGGTATCGTTCATCTTTACAAGGAGGCTGATGAGACGCCGGGGCTGGACATAGCAGGGCATCATGATGAACCCCAAAACAGTCAAGAGCAGCTTAGAGAGGTGGACTGTACGACACTTTGCATACCAGCTGTACCCAGCTATCTTTCAGCAAGTGATTTTCTAGGCTTTATCGGAGACAAGTGGAGAGATGAGATCAGCCACTACAGAATGGTCATGACTGGTCGCATGAACAGATATCTGGTACTGCTGAAGTTCCGGGAGAGCAAGCGAGCCCAACAGTTCAGACACGAGTTCGATGGCAAGGTCTTCAACCACATCGAGCCAGAAACTTGCAACGTGGCTTGCATCAAGTCTATCACATTCGAGACCCCAACTCGGCCCCAGGACAGCTTCCCAGATCTCAGCCATGACCCCTTCACACCGTCGACGACTTCATCTGGCCTTAAACCATTACCTCCTCCGACGCCGAATCTCACTGAGCTGCCGACTTGTCCCGTCTGCCTCGAGCGAATGGACGATACTACGGGCCTTTTGACTATACCTTGCCAACATGTATTCCACTGTTCATGTTTGCAGAAATGGAAAGGATCAGGATGTCCCGTATGCCGACACACAAATCCGTCATTGGCCATGTCAATTGCTGCAAGTGGTTCGGGTCATGGCCCGTCATCATCGTCGCACGACTCTTCAGATCCGTTCTCTACACCGTTTGGCTCTCACGTGTCCAACCTCTGCTCGGTATGTGATTCGCCCGACGACCTATGGATATGTCTTATCTGTGGCAACGTGGGGTGCGGTCGGTACAAGGGAGGGCATGCGAAAGAGCACTGGAAAGACACAGCGCACACCTTTGCCCTCGAACTGGACACTCAGTACGTATGGGACTACATGGATGATGCATGGGTGCATCGGCTTATTAGGACCAAGGGAGATGGCAAAGTCGTAGAACTTCCGGGTCACCGTCAGGATAGCCCCCACCGACGCAGCGAGGATGACGATGTCGTTCCCAAGGCCAAGCTAGAAAGCATCGGCGTTGAGTACACACATCTGCTGGCCAGCCAGCTGGACAGCCAGCGCGTTTACTTTGAGGCGAAGCTGTCCGAGGCAGCAGACAAAGCCATGAAAGCGTCGGCCGCAGCAGAAAAGGCCACCTCTCAAGCCACTCAGGTGCTCGAGGAGCTGCGTGCCATGAGGGAGGAGCATAGGGTTTCTAAGGACACCGTGCCCGCTCTCGAAAAAGATCTGACCCGCGAGCGCGTACGTGCCACAAAATCAACCGACCTGGCGCGAAACTTGGGCAAAAACCTGCAAGAAGAAAAGAAGGTCAGCGAGGGTCTGATGAAGCGGATCGAGCACGTCAACAAGGAGCTCGAGACACTACGCGATCAGATGAAGAGGCTAGAGCTCGAGAATGCAGACCTCAAGGACCAGAATCATGATCTGACCATGTTCATCAGCGGGCAGGAGAAGCTGAAGGAGATGGAGGCCGAGGGTCAGATTGATCAGGAGGATCTACAGGAAGGGAGTGCTGTTGTACCCGAGAAGAAGGGTAGGCGGAACAAAGGGAAGGGCAGGGCTTGAGAGAGATGTCGGCTCTGGGCGAATGCGGGAGCTTTGATTGTCATATGACATAGGAACATTTATTAATAATCAGTTCCACCGTCTTGTCTCCATTAAAAGTCAAGAAAGTCGCAAAATCATGTCGTTTCGACACAGAAGTATGGCTGTTAACTGGTATATCAGAAAGGTGGGTGTCCGTGGATCCGTGGCTATGTGTACAGGTCCAGTTAAATGCCATGGGCAGGCCGCCATGCACTGCAACCATGGTGACCCCCCTACCGTAACGTATTACAGGATAAATGAAGTCGCGAGCGTCAGATACTTACAATTTTCGGAAGTCATAGAGCGTGGTCAACACTTCCCATGGTCGGACCCTTCTTTCCTCTTGAACGACTCTCCTGGCATGATGAATACTTCCTGCGTGATATGTAATTGGTGGTGGCACAAGGCTGCATATGAAGTCACATATTTCGAGCCACTCTATCGGCTTCGTCTAGTGGTCACACTGGTAAAGAACACTGGAGGGTAAGGCTGCCTCATAGACGACCCATCCACGCCCGAACCATTCCGAGATGTGAGTACAGCCAGCACCCCAAACTCCTTGATAGAATCCTCCAATCTGCCTTCCGCCGCTAGAGTGTTGCGACCGGCAAACACTTGTTCAGGCATGAGATCGGATTCTGGCTGCGGTGTGTCCCTCTTATTTGCATATTCTGCCATGACAAAGGCTATTTCCGTATTTCTCGTCTTCGCGACCGAGCCACACAACTGTTTGATGTGACCCTTTGTATATTTCACCCATGATCCGGGCTTGACTGGACCGCTCACGCAGATCCTCTTGATTAATGTATATGCGATCGATCCAGAATATCCTCGGAGGAACGTTGGTGGTAGGACCGTATCGTAGACGCCGGATGACGTCGTGCAAGGTGGAGCCCAAGAGCAACACATGAGTGTTCGTGGTCATACAGTAGGGACGGACGAGGCCTTGCAATACAATAATTGCGGCGGCTCCTGCGGGCCCTAAACATGTGAGAGATGCTCATATGTGGGGTTATCGTACCAATTTGCCGTGAAGATGGTGACATCGCAGAGGCGCGTCGAGTGCGTCCGACCACAGCTTCACCCAGCGGTTGTAGACATACACGTTTTTGGAGTTCGCAATAACATAAATTGTAGTAATTGAAGTGCTACACTCCGTGGTGAGAGCAATGCCAGGAAACTGGCAAACCAGCAACATATCTAGAGATAACTATGACATATACGCACGATAGTTTGACAATTGAAACTCTATGCAGCAAAGCTGTGCAGTGTGCATGCGAGTGGTGATGCAACCCGGCTGCAGCGCTGCAGCAATGCAAGTAGTTGTCGGGCGCCTCGTTACACAAGATATGTATATTTGCCGCATTGGATCATTTTGTGAGCATCATTCATCAAGAGCTAGACATCGTAAACATAAAATCCCATGTATCTCTCGTCATTATACCATGACTACGTATGGTTAATCCACCAGTTCCACATAAGAAGTAGCCAGTGTAATATGTAAAAAATATATGCATTATATAATATCGAAAGCTCCTGGTATAATCGTGGCGAAACACAGGATTGCCCTAAACTCAATATCTCGCCTCTTGCTCACAACAATCAAGGATGGGGCTTGTACCCAACGTGCTGGCCGAGATCATATAACCTAGCAGAAACTAAAGTTCCACAATAAGCATTAAGAAAGACAATCCATGACTGACTCGGGTCAACTGTAAGCTCACAGCCGTTTACAGTTCCCGTTCCAGAGACGCGGCCCTCCAGAGAGATTACTTGTTGCTTGGCGCAATAACCTGACATAACCGAACATGCGTATGGTTACTTCGCACAGCTCATTCGAGCCGTTGCGATCGCAGTGGCCATCTGCATAGTTCCTGGCTAGCACGTACAGAAGTCATGCAGCGAGATTTTGTTGGGGATCACACAACGTACCCCGAGAAGCCCTCTTGCCAATGCGTTGAACGGCAATGAGGGGTCATCAGTCGTCTTTAATAAGCAAATGGCCACACCTGCATGTGTTCTAACGTTACCAGCGAACTTTCAGATCTCTAGGCTTGTCTAGGCTGCCTGCCCCTCCAATGACACAGACGCGAAAACGGCTGCTAAGCCTGAGCACCCCACTGAAAGCTCCCCATAAGTTCGGTGATTGGCACTTTTGTGGCCTTTGAGGTTTTCCAAGCTTGTGACAGCGACCAGGGTTAGGGGAGCGCAAGGAAGGTGGCTCGCGGATTCTCCAGTGCAAGTACAAAGTAGCCAAAGAAAAGCATCTGGCTGCAAGGCAAAAGTCAAGCAAGGCATGACGCTCGTCACACCCTTCGCATGTCCTGTTTCCTAACACCACCAATTGGTATACGAGGAATACTGGCACAGCACACTTGGCCGTCGCTTTTCCAGGTTTTTTGTGAGCTCTGTGTCTGAGCGACAACCTTGGAAAGCTCGACTTGTTCCTCATTTTTCGTGTCGTCCGACCAAGCCGGACTCCTCGCCCCCGGATTGTCTCACTCGTTGAGTTTCTGCCGGGCTTTCACCAAAACGCCATCTAAATAACCAGACCTTTCTCTCCAGTCGAGCTACGACGTTGATCCGCAATTCGTGTGTGCTCTATTCCGATTGCACCAGATTTCCAACTCGACAGCAACGTAGAGTAGACTGAGCCTTCGAGAGTGCCAGCGAGCCCGAATCGAGACGAGACAAGCCAATAACAGCAAGAACAGCCCACAACCTGACTGAGCGAGTTCGTCACCTTCTTCGCCATGTCTGAGAACAAGTCGAAGGCGGCGCAGGACATGCCGCCTGACAGTCAGGCGAAACCCCACAAGGAGCTATATCCTATGAGCAACTGGAAGTATGACGCTTTCAGCTGGGTCATGTCGATAATTATCGACCTGTTTTTCCGAGAGGTCTCCCACAGGGGCTCCTGGTATGTTCCCAAGCAGGGCCCTGTGCTCTTCATTGCCGCGCCGCATCACAATCAATTTGTCGACGGTATCACCCTCCAGCGAACGCTACGCAACGAAGCGGGGAGACGAGTTTCCCTCCTGATTGCCCAGAAGTCGGTACATGGTTTTGTGGGATGGGGATCGCGACAGGCTGGTTCCGTCCCCGTCGGTCGTGCTCAAGACAGCGCGAAGCCTGCCAAGGGTCTGATTTACATGCCTGATCCCATCAACAACCCAGACATCATCCGAGGTGTTGGCACCGACTTCGAGAAAGAGGCTGCGGTCGGCGGCATGATCTTCTTGCCCTCAGTCAAGGGTCAATCGGGGTCCAGCGTGGACATTGCCGAGATCATAAGCCCAGAAGAGATTCGCACAAAACGAGCCTTCTCGGGACGCGTTCCCATGCAGCAGCTCACTGGGCGGGACGATATTGATGAGAATGGCAAGTTGACCAATAGAGGTGTACACGGGATCAGGGACGGATACAAGGGCACAAAATTCAAGCTCGCGCCGCACATTGACCAGACGCGGGTTTACCAAGCTGTCTTTGACCGTTTGAAGTCCGGAGGATGTGTTGGTATCTTCCCCGAGGGTGGTAGCCATGATCGAACGGAGTTGTTGCCCCTGAAGGCTGGTGTCGCCATCATGGCTCTTGGTACGCTTGCGCAGGATCCGGACTGTGGCCTGACCATCGTCCCTGTCGGCATGAACTACTTTCATGCCCACAAGTTCCGTTCCCGAGCCGTAGTCGAGTTCGGTGCTCCCTTTGAGGTCCCGCCCGAGCTGGTCACCAAGTACGAGAACAACGAGCGCAGAGAAGCCATCGGTCGTCTCCTGGACATGTGCACTGTTTCTCTAAACTCCGTCACGGTATCGTCGCCCGACTACGACACGCTCATGTGCATTCAAACTGCTAGAAGACTGTATACAACCGGCAAGAAGTTGCCGTTGACCCATGTCGTCGAGTTGAACCGCAAGCTGTCTAAAGGCTTCTCCAAGTTCAAGGATGATTCACGTGTCAATAACCTTTTCGACAACCTCAGGAAGTATAACAGGGAACTTAGATACCTCGGTCTCAAGGACCATCAGCTCGAGTCCACGAAGAGGTCGCTGCCAAAGGTTATCTGGCTGCTCCTTACCCGCACTATCCAGCTAGTGCTTCTCTCGATAGGCACAATTCCGGGACTTATACTCTTCGCACCTATCTTTGCGGTCACCAAATACATTAGCATCCAGAAGGCGAAGACCGCGCTCGCAGGTTCGTCTGTCAAGATCGCAGGCCGAGATGTTATGGCAACGTGGAAAATCTTGGTTGCAATGTTCCTTGCGCCAGCAGTCTACAATTTCTACTGCATAGTCCTTGCTTACACTCGTGCCTGGGGCTATGCGCCAGAGTGGCTTCGTTGGTGGCAGATATTCATTGCCGGCTGGATTGTCTTCCCTACCATCACACTAGCGGCTCTCCGTTTTGGTGAGATTGGTATGGACATTGCCAAGTCTTTGAGGCCGCTGTTCCTTGCCTTGAGTCCGACATCAGGCTACAGCATTCAAAGGTTACGTCAAAGGCGCGTTGAGCTTGCCGAGGAGGTTACAACCGTCATCAACGACCTGGGCCCTGACATGTATGATGATTTTGAGCGTTCACGCATGGTCAAGGATCCTGCATTCCCAGGTGGCTCGACTGGTATCCCCGAACTGGCTGGCATGGACGCCTCTGGGTCCCCTGGATCGCCTTCTATGCCGTCGCGTAAGAACACCACAGCGTCAAGCCGGGCTCTTCCGCGCAACGAGTCGTTTTCCAACATTGGCTCCATCCAAATGTTCGCAACGCGTCCTCCATCTCGATCGAGAAGCCGGAGCAGCTCGAGTGGTGGCGGTTTCGGATCAGGAAGCTTCCCGATCAGTGGTTTCACAACCCTGGATTCCGAAGGAGGCTTTGATGAGGCCAGCAGCAAGATCCGGCAGGCGATGCAAGAGAGGGGGCATTTGCGACGACGCAAGAGCGGTGGACACTACAGTGACGCAGAATCGGACAAGACAGATTGATGCAGAAATTAGGTGCGGCCATCTCAGAAATAATGACATGATACCCGGCGCATCGACTGGGTAGCAGCAGCACAGCACTTCCTATTTGGATCTTTTATGGCGCGGGAATCAATTAGATTGCCTCTAAATTAACTGATGTCTCTTGTCAATGAACGAAAAATGCCAGGGATAGGCACTGAGGCTTATCCTTGATCTACTGTTAGTAATCTACAATATAATAGCATAACCAGAAGCTAGGGTCCATCTAGAGCAAACTCGACACGAGACGTGATGGGTATACTCCGCCAAGGGTTAGAAAATCTACGTAGTGTTTTTATAATACCTTCTGTTTTACGGGCGGTTTAGTCCGTGAGATTCGGGATCTTCGCATTGCACACTATTTCTATTTTATTTTCTTCGTTCCGACCAATCCAAGCCAGGTTTCAATGCTGTGCTTACCCCCCAACGGCCGCTTTGCAGGGGTCCGACCACTCGGGGAGCGGAAAACGATCTGATAACTTTATTCTCCGTCTGTGCGGCCTCGGAGTTAGTGAATGATTTCGCAGACTCCGTACCGTTACAGTGAATTCTGGGCAAGAACTGTATTCGTTTATTAAAAGTATATAAAGCTCCCAGTCCAGTTTCCCCGATTTGATGATTTCCTGCGATCTCACAATTAGATTCCAACGAGCCTTGATCGAATCGCAAAGTTTTGCAGCCCGCCTCCGAGTCCGAGCGGCTTTGTTTGCAACGGCCGAGAAGCCCGAATACTTGTTCGTCCGAACTGGTGCCTGTTGTTCGGACTTATATCTAGTGTCTCGATGCCATGATGCCATGATTAGTATGCTTGCTGCTCGTAGCTCAATCCTTCCTTACATCTCAAGATCGCAACTTCTTTTGCTCTTATACACGTTTTTACAAGGTGCATGAATAGTAGAGAGCTCGAAGAGACGCATTCTCCCAGGGTCCGCTCATACGTCGAAAGTGAGTATCACACGATATACATACTATTGGATCGCATTTGCATCCCTAATACTCTAAAACCCAGAGGCCGAAGAGCCTCCCCTCAAGAAAGACTCCATTCAGTGGAACATCATCTTCCCAACCATTCAGGATTGCGTGTTTTCAAACCAAAGCCAGTGCGAACCGAAGAGCCAAAACGATCCGTCCCCCACTTGCCTGCCGGATCTGCACTAGACTATCTACAGTAACCTGGGCACATTGACGGATCACCGAGCACCCCTTCCGCGCCTAATTCCGGATCAGATAAGCGGAACATCGACACCACGGTAGCGTCAATTCTCCTGTCTCCATAAAATAATTCGCAATCCATTCCATAATTAGTGGGCAGCCGCCATCCCACCATCACTACCATGGCGCCAAGTCCCTCCGCCAAGTTGTCCTCCTCAACCTCAACCACCACCACCACCACCACCACGACCTCCCGCCCAAGACCTACACCCCCCGCAAAGCAAAGGATGGCACTGGGTTTCAAGAGCCTGGTCGACAGCGCCAAGCGCTTCGTCTCGTCGCCCTCGACGCCCCAGAACGAGAAGAACCTGGGGACGGCGACACTGACGGAGCTCTTCCCCACCACGACGCCCGAGGTGGACGGTGACGCCTGCTCCCACGACTGCGAGTCCTGCCACGTCTCATACCCGCGGGGCTTCAAGATCGACGAGTCCGACCTGCTGTACGGGCACATCGGCGGGTGGAGCACGCATGTGCTGGTCGCCACCGGCAAGACGGACTGGGTCCGCGACGTCGAGGACGAGAAGGGCTCCGTCATGCAAGCGTTCGGCAAGGCCGGCGCCAAGCCCAGCAACGGCAAGCTCATGCTCAGCGCCAGCAACATCCCGGACCCCAGCCACTCGGCCAACTACAGCGAGCCCACCACCCTTTTGCTCCTGCCTGCCTTCAGAATCGTGGAGCGCGTGACGCCCGCCGACGTGCCGAGGTTGGTCGAGTGGATCAATGCCGCGCCTACGAATACGGATCCCCTCGCCCCCGTCAGCCTGCCGAGGAGTATACCGGCCCCGGCGCCTGGCGCCGAGGAACTTCTGACGAGGCCGAGTCCGCATGCGGCGTTGATCCTGCTATGCAGTCAGAAGACGAGAGATGCGAGGTGTGGACAGAGCGCGCCGCTGTTGAGGAAAGAGCTCGAGAGGCATCTGCGGCCCCTGGGCCTGTTCAGGGACCTGGACGACGAGAGGCCGGGAGGCGTGGGGATCGTCTTCATAAGTCATGTGGGCGGGCACAAGTACTCGGCGAACGTCATGGTGTATAGACGGCCGGACGCATTTGGCGTTGACGCGGTGGAGAGGGCCAAGCTGCCCGCAGGCGAGGAGCTGAGGCCTGCCCAGAAGAAGGCGCCGAGGAAACGAGAGCCGGTCGTCGAGGTGGAGGCACCAGACGTGCCCGAAACAGAAAGCAAAGCCAACAAGGATGCGAATGGTCGGGAGGAAGAGGAGGACGTAGGTGCCGCGCAGTGCATTTGGCTGGCGAGGGTTAAGCCCGAGGATTGCGAAAACCTCGTCAAGTATACGGTACTCCAGGGTAAGGTGGTCAAGCCTGATTCGCAGTTGAGAGGTGGGTTCGATCGTGAGAAAGGATTGATTAGTTGGTAATTCCGCGCCGAGCACGGTATAATGCTAAAAGTACCGGATTACCTAGACGAGTCGTGGCTCCATCGAAGAGTCCTATAGAAGCGCTGATATTTTAGATTATAGTAGAACATATACACTGGCCTGTCTCAGTCATGGGCAATGTCAGGCACTTTAACAATCCAGTAATTCCAGCTATCGTTTCGGAACCATTGATTGCGACCAACGTCTACTAATATCTCATCGGAATTTCAATTGTAAGCATAAAATAGCTTGGATTCATTCAACTGGCCATTTATTTAGCGCATCCTCGATAACTGCCCTTCGATCAAAGCTCTCCAAACGGCGGGGCCACACTGAGCTTGGGAACCCCTTGCCTGAAGGTTTATGATAGGCGCCTCCCATGCCTCCTGCATTTCGCATGATCGTGTTCGAGCTTTCAGCACTCCCTTCGCTCCGATGGGAGTCCGGAACGGCACGGAGGCAAATGCCCCGGCAAAAATACAACATACTTCAGCGATTGGCACGTCGAGCAACGAAAGGTCTTTCATACGCGATCCGCGCGCTCGACCCCGAAAACGGCTATGGATATTGCCAGTCGCGCATTTAGAGTTCAGGACCTGCGTCTAACCGATACAAGCTCGGCATTTTGTGCTTGGTTTCGAGGTGTCGTGTGTGGCTGGTCAACGGTGGGTGGCTAGTGGGACATGTGTGACTTTGAACGCAAATATCGTCAGAAAGTTTTGGGGTTCATGCAGTCATGAGGATAATAGCATGTATTGCCAAGATATGAGGATATATGACGCTCATTTATGGACATGCCTGGACAGGTGACGCAGATCGCTGCATCGCCTCCTCAGAAACCACCACGAGCTCTACCTGTCGCACTCGTTCATCCGCTGTCGTTCCGATCTCCGACTCGGAGCCGCGTGTGGCGGACTGCTTCGTGCCAGTTTCGTGTCAAAGACGCGGTTCCGGTTAAGAGAAGCAATGAACTCAGACGTGGCTGGGGGGCTGAGACAACACCACCCCAGCCTCCCCCTCCCCATCGCTCCGGGCAACAATGAACCACGATGTCGGTGATCTTTGCTTTCCCACGTGGTGAATTTGAGACAGCTACCAGCACTGCGCCTTCTCAAATGCGTAGCATCGCCGGAGGGTGGGGATGGGGCGGCTTATAAGTATGACAATATCTGGGCCGTGTTATATGATTGAAGAGAGTCTCTATCATCTCAAGCAAACGATCATACTGCACACCCAAAAGACCAAAATATCTATCGACGACGTATCATAATTTGTACGGCTCAACTAAAATTCAAAAATCATCCTACGCCAGTGAGAAACCCGACCATCTTTCCACGAGCTGCCCAGCGTCCATATTCGACATTAAGATCGACAGGAGCATCAATACTAGCAAAAGAAGATAAACATCAGCTGATAAGAGCCGGCCTATACACAAACGCACAAACTCACAAAATGAAGTTCTTCGGCATCTTTCTCATCGCGGCCATGTCTCTGCTGGCGGCAGCTGCACCATTACAGATGCAGTCATCGGGATCGGCGACAGGTTTGGCCGTCGTTCGAGACGTGGAGGATTCGATTCCAGAACCTCAGCAGGAATGGGACGAGGAGGAGGAAGACGAAGACGACACAACAGAGGACGGCGATGATGCTTCAGTGGAGGAGGAGGATACTTGGGGTCAGGACGCCGAGCTCTGGGGTCAGGAGACTTATGTCTCTGATGAGTCGTCTTGATAGGACTGAAGGAACGGGCATGAACGACAAAGGACTTCCCAAGTGAGAGGAAATTCATGGCTAACGAGTTACGGTATGAAATAATGATGTACATGGTCAGATGGGGTCTTGTCTCATGGAGAAGAGAAGAATTATTCGCAGTTTGATGGAATTAATAGGAAATGCGATACGGATCAAGATAGTTAGACATGGTTTAAGGTTAGACGGCAGCGGCCGGTAAAAGAGACGGTGTCCCTTACAAGGCTCAAAGACAGTCGTTCGATATTTAGCGATTAATGAAATAAACATCTTAAGTGAAGTTTGAGGTCACTTACTTTCGCTATGCTCGCAATTTCCTGTCACAAATATCTTAACTCTGGATGTGGCTCCTCCAGGGGCAGAAAGAACATGCCAAGGCTAAGCCAGATGACATCAACGACCGGGAATATTACTGTCCGGCACATCTCCCCGTCCCTCCGTATGTTCATATCAACACCCAATGTTTCGGCTTCGTAGTACTTATCAGGCTGGCACCAAATTCACGGCATATTATCGGATCTACAACATGACCTCCATGATATCTCCCACCCTGGTAGGTTACTCTTGTGGCCAAAGGCCCTCGATGATCTAATACCGCCACATATGATCAAATCTGTCTGCATGGAATCAATTACGACGCATTTCCATCAGAAAATGATAACACTCCGGAGATCCACTACACAGCGCAATGATGGAAACAGAAAGTGCAATAATAGGGGCTGAGGGGGTAGGACTTGAGTCAATCGCGGTAGCGCCAAGCATGCAAAGCTGACCACCATTCTTCAAAGACAGCTGTAATTGGACATGGCTAATACCTGTGTACTATATAGAGCGAACACGACAAACCATAATCTTGCTCTCGATATCAATAACTGTCAGGGAGTGGTCTACTCCACATATTTCTGCACTCAGCCTAGGACTCGGCCTTGTCCTAAGAACTCTAGATACAAAACGCTACTTCGATACTTGCCGCTTGACTCTATCCTTCTGATACAGGCTGCATTATGACAGGTAAAAAGGGACCCTCGAAGCGGCTACCAAGTCCAATCAGGGGCGTACAGCTGGCAGTTGTGAGGCCATTTCAGGAATCGTCGGGTGTTGATGTGACGACGTATGAACAATGATGCATCGCAGCGCACGTGATGTTCATGATCAGAGTCCTGGGGTATATCCGGTAGCTTCGCTTTCGAAAATTATTTTCTCTTCCGCAAATCAATATTGTCAACCTCTGCAACTATATCCCTTGATCTACACAAGATTTGAATACCATCAGACGCAATGCCGCAACAATGGGAGCTCGCCAAGTGCTCGGAGGGGACACTCTACGTGAAGCAGTCCTCGGCCGTTGCCCAATCTGCACCGCCTCGCCCGGTCCAATTCTCAGCTCAAGGCCGCAATTCCAGCCTTCAATACGCTGGGCCTGATGGTAGTAGACACACTGCCAGAGCGCTCGAGATCGCCAGTTACGTGGTTCGAAAGTGTAAGGAAGAGCAGACGATTATCGTCAGTTTGGATTGATTCACTGACTCCCTCCGATACAGAAACTCAAGGCGCGCCTGCCAACCACAAAGATATGGGGGTAGTGGAGTTTCGGGTTTGTTAGAGGTCTGACAGTCTTACAATGGAGTCGTGATGGTAGTTGAGGTGAATACAATTTTCGAGAAATTTGTCTTATACTACGTACACGGTACAGTCAAATAGAAGACTACAATTGACTTCGCTACAATGTCAATTGCACATGTTCTATGCTCCTGGCTCCAAGTTAACAGCCTACATAATGAAGACATTCGTATTTTCAAAACAATTATCAATATTTGGATCGTTGCCTCCATAGCTCATGAAATCTTTGCATCGTTCCGTTCCATTCGCAGCGCAAGAGACACCCGCAACGATAGCTACGTGATAAATGGACGATCAGAAATAAAAGTCTAATTCCTCTACAATACTATCTCCTCGTTGGATGACTACATCAAGCAACGCTGGTAATATCCAAACAGCTGTCAATTCTGCCTAGTCCAGACTTCACTATATATCACTCGAATTTCCAAAAGCTACCAGTCATGTTGAGTTGCACAGCGTAAGCATACTCCCCCGCATGATTTTTGAACTGCTCGAAAGCGCTGCCCCATGGTTTGCCAGTGTAGACCATTTGGCTTCCGTCAGTGAAGAACGCGATAGCACGGAAGTCGTTGTATTGGTCGTGAACACCAAGAAGCTCTTTGACTTTGCTGACAAAACGTTGGAACCACGCCTTGAGACCCATGGTTTGATGCAGATGTTATTCTCGGCGCTGGTGATACAGCAATGGGGCTATAACCAACTATCGAACAAACGGTTCCATGAGCGACACCATCCAATACCGTAGGAAGAATTTGTGAACATACTGCAGATGATTATCGGACTAATGGCTTCTGATTGAACGCTTCTTGACTTGTGTACGTGTAACTTCAAATCTGGAGTTTATTGAGATAGATATCTGTTGGGTCGATCTGATGTTTTGCGGATGTTTCTTGGCCAGCCTCTTTCAAATTGGTCACCATTTCTCTACCTTGCAATGAGACTGGCACAATTAAAAAGCGACAGGCCTTCCATCATTCGCCAAGCTTAACTCGTATGCATGCAATGCTGTCTGGTCTATTGTTATGCTGCCTCGTCCTTTCGAACAGCATGGCTGTGTGTTGTATCGTCTGGCCGCATCTGATACGTCATTTTTGGAAGTGGGAAAACCCGGTATGTGCACTTTGTTCTTGCGTGTGTTTGTTGTGGAAGATGACTACATAGTATTGACTGTTCTCGTTATCACTGGCCTATCATTCTTACAGGGCGCCTGCGTGTTGTGATCTGCATTGATATATCATTTTGTCGCAGTCTTACGCTCAAGCCGGGCGACATGGTGACATCGCTGCGTCAGAGCACCCTAGCCCATTGCATTACCTTCAATTCTGGAGGACTTCGAGGTACTTTGTCAATCTGACAGGAAAACCCATCCACTCTGGGCCTTATGTGTTATCTCCAACTTCATAGCTCTGACGTGTCTGTTCGGTAGTTAGATCGCGGTAAGCGAGGCGGATCGACCTGTGTGACACCTGCCTGACAGCAACATAGAACATCGGCACTGATCTTGACGTTATTTTCTCACTTATTTCGTCCAAATCTTTATCCTGAATTTCACCTTTATTTTTATGCTCATACTTACAAAGATATACCACAGTGTCATTCAACGATTATCATCATGTTCCTAGCCAATAAGTTTTCCAGACAGCCCGCGAAGGCTGAGCATCGCTACGATGACCACGATGACAACGTAGTTTATCGCAGCCAGCGCGGTACGGTGTCATTTAATGCGCAGTCACCACCCAACAGTCAACATGCTGCCCAGCTGGCACAGCTAGCGATGGCTGTACAGGAAGACCGGCCTCGCGGTGGTCGGGGACATCGATCGCCTGGTTCCATGATTGACAGCGGCCCTCCACGTGCTCAAATTTCGCACACAGGCCAAGCATCCGCGAGTTACCCACCTGTGACTGGTACCGCTAGAGCATATTCCACTATGACGGGACATGACGATGAACCGGCAGGAGATCCGACCGCAGACTATCCACATGCCCAGCACTATCCTCCTCAGACAGAGGTATCTCACCGCCGTGTTGGCCAGTATGCAAGCCAGTATGACACAGAACCACCACGTGTATACAAGTATGCCAGCGCGGAGAAGACAGCATATAGCGTGGAAGGCCGCCATGGAACTATGTACGTGTCGGCTCCTCGACACGCCAACGAGGCGCAACTGTTCGATGCGGTGGCTGCGGCCAGATCTGAGACCTCCAGGGTAAGTGCTTTCTATTGTGGTTAGCAACGAATCATTCTGATGCAAATACTTGAGCTAGCCTACTCGAACAATTGAGCGAATGTGAGAGAGGTATCAATCAGTGGGAGGAAAATTCCAGTATCACGAGTCATCTCAAAGGACCATTTAAATGTATGGAAGAGTAAAGTATTTGGGAATCGAATTTACGATTGACCAAGACTTGTACAAAGGCAGAAGCATGATTGAGGGGTTTATGATATTGCAAAACTAGCCCAGCAATCTCAAAAGCTGTCTGACGTCTCCCATGTCAGTGAGCGTATCCTTGACTGTGAAAGTGTAGATAACGAGACTGTAACATCGCTCGGGATGCTAGCACTGATCATCTCAGTAAGGAGTCCGAGTTTTGACGGCAGACGGTCGCTTGAGGTGTAAGGAACCTAACCTAGTTGGAACGTGCTATCTAGAGCACGAAGCATGAATGCCTGTTGGACTCCGGATTGTCTGTCATACATCAGACGCCAAGCCTCTCTGGTGAAATGCATCCCAGTTGTAGATACGCCACAAAGCCCCTGAAAACTCCTTCTCCGACAGCGATGAACATTGAATACGGTGAATGCTGGCCATGTAACATGCATAGAGGTCCTATATGCTTATAAGTCATGAATAAACAGCGTCGCGGTGATTGGATACGAAAGCCCGCTTACAGTAGTTATCAAATAGATGAAGGAGGATGGAACACAGAAAATAACACAAAACTCAGAGCGGTACCAATTCCCCGAAATCTGTTACCAGGCGACAATTATCAAACGTATTTTGTTCTATTCATCTAAACTAAGTAGTTTCGGATACACTGACTACAAGCCCCAAATACATGTGAACGAAGCGCAGTATTCGGTATTCAGTAGTCCTGGTAACAACCGCAATAGAAGCAGTATTTTCATGTCAGCGTCTTGAGTGGTTACATTTGTGACTGTGCTAGGCAAGTTGTAGTCATGAAATTTTGGTGGATTTGAGCTAATACATGAATGTTACAGTAGTTGTGGACAGAGTATATTCAAATGATGTCGATTATCTTAGTTTCCCAGTCCACTCCATCAAATTTCAAGATGTGTTCCCACGCAGACAAGTAACCGATGCGATGAAAACATCCCGGCGTATGTTCCGAAAGGCCGAGGGTTAACGCCGATGTACAGTTAAGGCTTTCCATCTTGTTGCTTCGTACCGCTTTTCAGCACAAATAACCATATTGTAAAGAGCTGCACAACAACTTCTGCTGAAGAATCTAAGCTCTTTTCTTCAAGCGTGGAGAAGGGTTCATTGTTTCCAAACGTAAATGGCTGGAGTATGCGTACTTGACATCTATTTAGAGATCTTTGGGCTTGGCCAGGTCAAGTGCGTCGCGGGGTTGCGTCCCCGGAATAAATGCTGGGCGCCGAGGGGCATAATCCCAGATTGACAACGTTCTACCAGACCCAGCGACCCATTACTGTGTACAGAAAGATGGCAGAAACAAGGCCCTTCCGCGTTCGCGCTGCAACTCTTAAAGACATACCCACAATGTCTCTCATTCTCTACCACACCTCGAAGTCTAACAGCATCCAAGTAGCGCTTTGGCCTGAACAGCTGAGGGTTTTGCCAGGTCCTGGTGATCATCTTGCCTGGAGAACAGCGCGTTTCGAGGGCTACCTCAAAGACAAAAGCTTGCAGCCCTCGATGCACTGCATTGTTGCAGTGAAAGACTCGGCTGCAGGAGAGGTGATAGTCGGCTGTGCCGAGTGGATAGCACCTACAGTGTCTATGAATGGCAAGCCGGAAAGGGAGAAATTGTGGGAAGAAGTAAGCAGAGAGCTTCCAGACGCAATGTGCAAGCCGGCCATGAAAGAGCACGTGGAGGAAACCAAGAAGTTTGAGGCAGTTGCCGAGCAAATCCTGGGGCCAGCAGGCGTGAAGGACATGTGGGGTATGTGTTTCTCATGTTCTTGTGTTCTCATTGTGCTGCTGAATGCTAAATGCTGAATGGTGACATACAAATCACAGTGGCCAGGTCGATCGCTGTCAACCAGGAGTATCAAGGACGCGGGATCGGAACTATACTTACCCAATGGGGTTTAGAACAGGCCGAGCTGGGTGGAAAGGACGTTTATCTTGTAGCTTCTGCGGAAGGTGCAAATCTTTACAGAAGATTGGGCTTCGTGGAGCTGTGTTCATCTGAAATTCTCGGAGAAAAACGATCCGCCATGATCAAGCAGCGTGTGAGTACTCAAGTAATCGACAGTCCTTGCCAATCCCTTCAACATACAATCTAAAGTGCTGTTGAACTGCCCTCTTCTTGGAAGTGATAATTTGTGTTCCAACTATACATTTACCATGAAACGATGGCTCGCGAACGGCGTAGGCTAGTACTGTGCTGCAGCGTTATCACCAAATCAGTGCCGGATGAACGAGAACATCCTCCGTATCGTTATAGCAAGCCTGTTCAGCCGTGCCAGACCATATTTGGTCTCTGACAGACATTCGGAAGATCTCTCATGGTTAGCCAACCGTGGCAAGGCCACAGCACAACCTGATAAATGCTTATTTGTAATCTCCTTCACGTGTTTGTTCCTGTCTGTCCGTATATCTCATCTACGCTGGTGGCAGGAACGATGCGAACAGTGCGCCTTGAATGGTCGCATACATTACCATATACATGACGACGCCACCTGCTGTCTTGGACGTTTCGGACTTTCCAAGGTTTTGTGCTAGCCAGAAATACCACAAGGGATACCCGGAAGATAGCCTTGTGATCACTTGGATATGGTAAGTTGTGACAGCGGCCCCAGCTAGCAGCAGTTGCGTCAAGGCCATGGACCCGACAAGTACCGAGGTGTCTGACAGCAACGTGCTCATGTGCCTCTGTTGCCGGGCACTATCGAGAGCCCTTGCCAGGGATTCCCAGCCCGACTTCGTCAATAAATAGACCATAGGAGCCGCTAGGAGAAAGAGTGGAATGTTTCCGGGAGTCCAGTATCGAAGAAACCCAACATTCCTATAATTAGTCAGCCCAATAATCTCTCCGAACCATTCAGAAATCAGCTCACCAATATTTCTCTTGTACAAAGGCATAGATGCTGGGTGGCCAGTTATTACACCAGGGCCTCGGCTCAGCTGCGGAAGGGCCGGAGCAAAAGATTTCGTAGGCCAGAGCTTGTGGGCCGATGGATCCCAGTGCAATATCAACCCCCCCAATACCAAGCGCGGCAAGGCGCCTGATACTGACCATATTCGGACTTTTCAGAAAATGGCAAAGTTCAAGGACGGCGTAAGCGGCGAAAGGAACTCCGTTTAGAATGCCATTACTGCGAAAAGTTGTGGCGAGACCCAGAATAAAGCCAGATGCCACGATCGCAACGTCGCTGAGAAGATCGCGCGACTTGTTCAAACATCCCCGTGAGAAGAGCAGCAAACCTGCAAAGGTGAGGCAGGAGAATGGAGCCTCATTGTAGGGGGCCGAAAGGAAGAGACCAGCCGGAGAGATAGTATGAAGTAGCCCAGCAATGAAAGCAATACGCTGACTGTAGAGCTTCAAGCCTAACTGGTATAGTGCAAGTACGGACAACAGATGTGTAGCATGGGATATGCAAACACCGATCAGAGGCTCAATTGATTCGTTGTTCTCGACACCCAATTGTCCAAGCCCTGCATCAAAGTTAGCCTGGTATTACACAACTGCCGTAAAGTCCGGCGCCGAATTTCCAAAATGAGGATAGGTCGTGCAAGATTTCGGGTCTCGCAGTCAAAACCGGGCCCGATGAGTGAATATGTCCAGCCGAAGCCTGATTGAGGCTCTCTGATTCAACTCACTCTTGACGATCCTAGAGATCACAGCAGGCAAACCCATGCCAAATGCCCATTCTTGCTCAAACACGTAGCCACGACGAGCCGATTGAACGAAGTAGATCGCATCCCATCTTGTCAATTTCGTAGCAATATCGAACACTGACTCGTTGAAGGATGACACGTGATGTTGCATCAGGGTGGTGGAAGTATCGTAGGCCGAACCGAGGCTGCTGCCAACCACAACCAGCAGGAGAAAACACTTCCAAGCTACAAACGCGGTGACCAGTGACTGCCTCGGCCGGTGCTTATCTAACAAAGCCATCGTAATAAACTGAGCCCAGAATGGGACTACTAGAGCTTGAAAAAGGGCTTCTAAATTGCGGTAATGGACTGGATGTACGGGTAAGAAAGGGGCGAGAAGCATTGGTCTTGGACGCGATTTGCAGCCACATGGCAAAACATGGATCAAGCGGCCGAATTGACGCCCCAGCTGACAACAGTCCCTCAGTCCATGGATGGGTATGTAATCTAAAGGTAGCAATTAGCGATTTACTACTGCACTAACATCTTGGAGCTTCCATAGCAGCACAGCACTGAAACCATTGCTTTTGTTTAGTGAAATCAGCGAACATCATTCAAATACGGCTACGTCATCGTCATTCTTGGATGCACCATGGTATGCTTCTGTCCATGCTTTTGAAACATGACATTCCGACGATGTGAACTTTGTGCTAACTTTAGTGCTTCCTCGGCCAAGTGCCAGGGCTGAATGCTTGTAGGGTAGGTATGTAGATTTCGCATCTCGGCAACGAGTCTGCAGCGCTGGAGCCATTGTAGCAGGTTTCGAGCTTGAGCCTTGGCAGGCAATGGTAGTGGGGGTTCTGTGGAGCCGCTCCAAAGCTTCTGGAACACCATCGTGAAATAATTTTCACCCCTCAAATCACTTGACTGATGACGGATTCTCCAGGAATTCCGAGCCCGAGGCGTTTCTTCTCTCTTATTCTTTGGTCGTCAACGGCAAGGTTCTATTCTGTTGTCATCTGATCTGATTATTGAGTACCTCGGATCGTACCGATGCTCAGGCGAGGTCAGAGGCCTGATTTCTAATGACGATGAGAGAGTGATTTCATAATACCAACGTTAGTACCCATGGCACCCAGGCCTTGGAGAGACCCTGTCTGCGGCGTCATTCGGTCTACAGGAGCAGAAGCCTCTGGTGAAATTCCAAGAAACAACTTGGAGCTTACAACAACCAGACTTTAGATATACTTTATTATATGGAGAAGAGAACGCAATTACTTAAATGATCAACGTCACACGTCGATGGGTGTGCCGATTTATCCTCCCGGTACAGCGCGGCCCAACTGCTTGCATACAATATACTCTCCGCTCGATCGCTGTTGTTTGTTCAGATTCCAGCATGCCCATTACTACACGAAGCCTGCATCGAGCTAATACAGCACATCCTCTTTCTTTTACATTTTGTTGCTGCCTGGGGCACACCGACGTTCCAGTGCCGTTGATATAAAGGTCTTTGGTGTGTTACACCGACTTGCAATGCGATTCCGGATTGCCATGTTAATTTGAAGATCCCATAGTGGTGACATAGTTGGCTGCATCATCCGTCTTACACAAACCTGACAGCTCTAGCGGTTAATGATCGCCGTACCCTCACGCCAACCACTCGCCGAATTGCTGTGGTACGCCCGGGATCGACCTCGCGGTCAGGCTTAGGGGAGGCCCTGACAGCCAATAGCAAATTCCACTGCTTGACACCGGCAGCTCGGCACCTAGACTTCGATCATCCGCAAACGTGTTTGATCTGTTCGACTTGGACCCTCTACATAAGCAAGCTTGCATTGTGTCGCTGCGCGTCCCCGCCTACTTATTTAGATCAGATCGAATCGAGGTTAGCATCCACATAGGCGAATTCAGCATACCTTTTTCGGGCTCGTCTCATGCTCAAGTTTCTCTCCGTTCACCTAGCCCGAACACCCCGAATTCACCGCTTCCCTCACCACCCATCCCATCAGTTGACCAAACTTTCGACGCAAATTTTTTTGGGTTCTGTTTTGCAATCTCCATAATAAACGACTCATTATACACGGCCGACCATCCCGGGCGCATCTGTCTATCCCCCTTACTTATACCTACATATTGACATTCGGCTGCTTACATGACTGAATGCGCAGCTCTACCTGAAGCTACCACAAACCCCTGTCCACTATCTGCGGCTCGATCTAAGCTTTATTTCGCTGCCTGTCGCTTCGCTGCAATTGGCTCAGCCCTAAGGACAGCCCCTAATTCAGGACTGTAATTTCAGCTACACACCTAGGGGCCCAGAGTCCTTGAGCTTCGCCAGCCTCCTGAGGTTACCGACTACTCTCTAGCTGGTTGCTCTAGTGGCTGGGTCGATTGCTGAATCATTCTTCTGTCTTTCCTTCTTCTCCTTTTCTTTTTTCCTTGGTGTCGTTGGTTCGGAAACTCTGGGTAGACATTGTGTTTACTTGATATACGAATTGGTCCTGTCGAAAGCCTATCGCGCGCTTCCAAAGGTTAACTTAGTTGGCTGAGATTCTCATATGGAACCCCGGCGAATGCGAACCTTCTCAATATAAGCCCATTTCAGGAGCCCCGCTGAACCGAATAAACCTCGAACCTCACCTGGTCCTGTCTCCAAGCGAGGAAAGCACGAACCGAATGAGGACCGTACCTCGTCGTCATGTTCCTCCATTCGGGCGCCAGCCTGCATGGGCATGAATACTCTAATAGGGACCCCCCAGCAACCGGACATGCCTCTCCTCGACGGAACTCATTACTACGATCTTCCTTTGGCACGCCTATAACTCGATCACCACCTAAAGACTCTCGTTCACCTTCTCCTAGTATTCGGACCACCTCCCTTAAAAAAGTCCGACCTCGGCCTGTGTCTGACTTCTCGCCTGCGCCGCCGGAGCACGTTGTTAGGTTTCTGGAACCTGTTGAGCATGAGCTAGTACCTGCCAGCACACCTGAAGAGATGAGTGAGGATGAGTCTTCCACCATCGTCGACATTAGCGACAGCGACACAAGCCGAGCTGCATCCTCAACGCGCCGGCAGCGACGTCTCTCAACGCGACAGCGCACTGCATACCTCCTTGCACAAGCGCCCCCAACTCTAAACAAGAAGCAGCGTCTTCTGCACATTCGCCCAAAATTACTGCTTCAGTTACAACAAGTCCCTGCTGGTCAGCGACCAGTACCGGCCATAGACGTTTATCCTTCTTCTGGCATTGTCAATACCGCAATCGCCGCCCACCTTTGTAGGCGGTTCCCCCGTCTATCCCGTATTAAAAGCGAAAAGAGCATACAAGATGTACTGTTACTCAAGAGCGAGGATTATACGGCCTCGGAGAATGACTCCGATAGTGATGGAGACGAGGAGAGCATCAAGAACAGGGACATCATTGCCATCCTGAGTCCGCTATCTGGGCAGGACAAGGCCGAGATTGCTCTTCCTGACGGCACTGTCTGGGTCGCTGCTCCTCGCCTAAATGGCTATGAGTTCACAACAATTGACAAACATGGCATCACGACGACTGCCCGCTGGATTCGAAGGCAAACGAAATCCATTTCCACCATGCCATTGACACCCCCAACTTCTGCGCCATCATCTCCATTATCCCCCTCCTCGATTACAGCCTCGGCTTTCCCGTTTCCTGGGTCATCATCGCCAGATTGCAAATTCATATTCAGCTTTGTTGATCCCAGTTCTCGTCAACATCCAATCATGGCTACACTCCAGCCATCATCACTGGATATTTCAGACACATATACCACAGTCTCGCGGTCATGTAGTAAACACCCCCCGACCTCGACACAACGAAGAAGGACGATCGGCGCAGAGGACGAGAAGGAAAGCGCCCACCAGAGGACGACACGAGTGGTTGAGGACTGGCAAAAATCATTCATCCAGATCTCAGCCTTGTGGGTGGCACTTCGAAATGGTTGGGTTCCTCGTTTCAAACCGGCAGATTTCATCCCACAAAACGCCAGCACAGCCTCATTAGCTTCTACCAAGGTGCCAAAGCGTACCCGCTCCTATACTACTGGCTCAGACGTAGGAACACCTACAGTGCCGCGGAATTTGACAGGTCGTTGGCGCCATTCTCAACCTCCTCTTCAGGAGGTGAGCACATTTAGTCCGGGTATTCTTCCTAGAAGGGCCACCTCGACAGGTGCTGCGCGAATGAAACGTCTGAACGCCGAGCGCATCTCGGAGGTGACAGAGATCAGCGATACGTCCAGCACCAGATCGAAAGGGAGGCGGGTATTAAGTGGTGAATGGAACCTCATCCATCGTCACAGTACCGCATTATCCGGCATAGCAGACTTGGAAACTATTCCAAACGAAGGACAGTCTGCCAACAAGCCGACAGCGTCAACACTCGTCAGTCCGGGGGTTGTGACACCAAGTAAACGTCCCGTCTCCGATTTCATCACCACGACCCCAATGCGACCGCCTTCTCCCACCAAGAACGCGGTTTCAAACGGAGCAGATGGAAGACGACCAAATCTGCTGAACCAGTCGCGTGGCATAGTTACTCATGACGAGACAGATCAGAGTAGAAAGCGCCATAGGTGGAAGAGCAGCGTGAGCAAATGGTTTAATAAACTCCGTGCTCGCTAGGAACCTTACCGCGGATGTTTAGAGGCTAGATACAACGGCCATAATGGTCATGTTAAACCCAAGAGGGGCTCGAGACCACTCTAGAGACAGCTGTCAAAATCTGACCTGACTGGTAGGAGGCGACGAGGATGGGGACAAAATCCGAAATCACAAGATAATGGCTCGCAAGAGCAGAATAGTTCATTACAGTCATCAGGGGAAATACAGGAGCAACACGGCGCGCACATTTAGCATTGGGGTTGGAAAGGAGGTGGATGAGGCGGCGACCTCGGGCTTTTGGAGTTTTGGAGAGCTATGCACAACGTATGATATCCACAGCATAGGCTCGAATTTTGACATTTGTATTACTATTGCATCCAGGGAAAGGTCCACTAGGCAGTACATCCATTCATCATGATATTGATGTTCACTATACATCTGGACTCAATGAACTGAATCAACAAGCGAGCCTTTGCTGGTCTGCACTTTATCCTGGCATTTCTACTAGTTTAGACTATGGTTAGTCTGGAGCAAAGAAGAGCCATACCCAACCCCGGATTGCGGCCCGAACAACATTCACACTAGCGGTAGAACTTTGTGGGCTGAAGCATTGGAAAATCACAGGGCTGCAGCAGTCAAATGCAGAATTGGTCGCTTTATTGCCCATTGGTCAAGCTGCTCGGTAATGTGAGTGCGCTTAACCATATCCAGCATTAAAACTCCGCCACTGCAGTAAGACTCCAGTTTACAAGTCTTTGCAAGTAGGGGGCTCGGAAATGTTGCCGAACTTGTCGATGTACGACCAATGAGAGACAACGACATCCATGCATTGGAGATCAGATGGAATACTATGTAACTAGAATAGACGGTCAGCAATACATCCGAACTTCTCCCGCACCATACTAGTATGCCAAGTCTTGGAGTCAAAGAGGATTGTTCCGTGATCTGTATCGAAGATCGTGACTCTGTCCTCATGTTGACATAATTTCCCGCCCGTATTCCGCTCGATGGTGCAACATCGATCATCTGTGCTCGCTGCGTAGAGTAAGTTTTCGTCGTACTATCATTTAAATATCCCTCGCTGGCCCTCGCAGGCGAGACATCAGTTGCTACATTAGTTTCGTTCGAGCCAAATTTGTAGCACCCGAGCTTGGCTGCTTATCACAGTCCATCATTCCGGCTGTTCTGTGCGAGCAGACACTTGTCAACAACAGACAGCCGCCTTCAAAGGCACGTTTCCTCACAATGGCGTATTCATCCTCGTCGACTTCTGTTGTCGAGATGGAGCCAATCCGTCTGGCACCCTCCACAAAATCAACTCGAGGACCATCAACATCAGTTCCCGGAGATTTGACACAACAGCACATCTCTAGCTCAGGTGTCTTGGGGGATAACGCTGAGGATCTCCCGGCGCCGAGCACCGCGACGGATGTCGTGCAGCGGTGGAATTATCCTCGCAGCAACGTCCCAAAGGTTGCGGCTTGTTTCTGGAGCTTTGTGGTCATGGGGGCCAACGATGCTGCGTACGGTGCCCTGATCCACTACATCGAGCAGTACTACAACCTCACCTACCTCATAGTCTCGCTGATCTTCCTCTCACCTTTCGTCGGCTATACCACATCGGCCTTCATGAACAACTGGATCCACTACACGTTTGGGCAGCGCGGTGTGGCCATGATCTGTGCTACGTGCCATCTCATCGCATGTGAGTGAAACCTATATGCACGCCTGTGCTTTGCAGCACATGCTAAACGGTATTTAGATCTTATCATTGCTCTACATCCTCCTTATCCAGTCCTGGTCATCTCATTCATGATCGCCGGATACGGTAATGGCCTCGCTGACGCAGCCTGGAACGCCTGGATTGGCAACATGGACCACGCCAACGAGATGCTCGGCTTCCTGCACGGCCTGTACGGCATTGGCGCTGTCATCAGTCCGCTGGTTGCCACAAGCATGGTCACCAAGGCAAGCCTGCCATGGTACTCATTTTACTATGTGATGGTGAGTTTCCTCAGATCGACTGTCAACCCCACGAACAGGGCGAGTAAAGTATGAATAGAGACGGCAGGGGCAAAGTTCTGACAACACATGATCCAAACAGATCGGCCTGGCCGGCCTCGAACTCCTCACATCGATAGCAGCGTTCTGGTCTTCCAACGCCGCGGCGTACCGGGCCTCCATGAGTCACTCGAGCGAATCGCACAAGGGCTCGCTGAGGGATGCCCTCACCAAGCGGCCCGCGGCGCGCGTGACCTGGCTCTGCGCCATCTTCCTCCTCGGCTACGTCGGCATCGAGGTCGCCCTGGGCGGCTGGATCGTGGTCTTCATGATCCAGGTCCGAAACGGCGAGGAGTTCGCCTCGGGCATGACGGCGACGGGTTTCTGGCTGGGAATCGCCGTTGGTCGGCTGATCTTGGGGTTTGTGACGCCGCGGATCGGGGAGAAGTTGGCTATCAGCGTACGTTCGTTCAGATATTTCTCCTGTCTCGATTCTGTTTACTTTCGATTTTGCGACTAGAACTAAATATGAACACCTCCAGATCTACCTCCCCATCGTCATGGGCCTGGAGCTCCTGTTCTGGCTCGTGCCGCAGTTCGTCGTGTCGGCCGTGGCCGTCTCGCTGCAAGGCTTCTTTCTGGGGCCCCTGTTCCCCGCCGCCGTGGTCGCCATGTCCAAGCTGCTGCCGCGGCACCTGCACGTCGGCGCCATCGGCTTCGCGGCCGCGTTCGGCGGCAGCGGCGCCGCCGTCCTGCCCTTTGCTGTCGGCGCTATCGCCCAGGCTAAGGGCGTTCAGGTACTGCAGCCCATCATCCTCGCGCTGCTGGGCGTTATCACTATTCTGTGGTTGGGCCTGCCGAAGTTTGGGAAGAAGAAGGAGTAGTTAGTGGTGTAGTAGTAGTGTCAGTGATATGTGGCATTTCTGAGCCGGGTAGCCAGGAAGTATAGTACATGAGAGGGTAAGAATCGAAGTGGTTAAGAATAGACTTAGGTGAATATCTCGTGGTATACAGCGAATATTATAATCGATATATATTTACACGTTGGTTGTCATTGATGACCAAATCTTTTTTTTGGATCTTTTACATTTTCATCCTTCCCGACTATCACAAGTCTATGTCCCGTCTCTGGTGGAGAACATCTACATATCAACAGGACCGGTGCCGGATCCCGTGGAGACCAATCATGCGCTTGAAAAGCCTAAGGTTAGTACATTGGTCTCAGCCGCACGTGGCTCATGGGTTCTCATGTGTGTTAAAACATGCATTCGATGAAGTACAATGGACATAAGAAACTGCGCAGCGGCCGTATCGTCCGCTTCGGTCACGGAGATTTGGTGTGAGTGTCGGCACCGAAGCGCGAGGTCTCGGGGAGCGACGTCATTTTACATTTGGAAGTAGCGCTGGATTACCAATTCGCGTGTCAGAACAAAGTGGTGTCGTCAACACAACTATAATATGACCATAACCTTCCAACAACTGGGCCTTAACATTTTCTTGGCGTATTGATCAATAAAAACAGTCCTCTGAGGCTCGCTAAAGTCTATTCAGCTACAAGATGTGGGGCCGTATACTGCTCACCGTCGACGCCATCGGCATGTGCTTTGGGACGCTGAAGGCGGATTACTTCAGCCATACACACATGTATAATCCAAACTGGCCACCACATGCAAAGTACGGCTCCCATGCCTGCCCGAACCTCAGTGATCCAGGGAAAATGAAGAAGCGAGACAGTTTACTGACCTGAAGACAAAACACAGGTTCCACAACGCGCAGACAGTTGGCTTGGCCTGCATCCTCTCGTTCGCAACTTTGTACTGGACCTGGCGCAAGGCGCAGTCGCCGCAGCTTCATCGCGAGTTCATGAAGATAGCTGCGTTCCTGGGCTCCATATACTGGATCACGGGGCTGCTGAGCATCTTGCCGGAGGGCACGATGGGCGTGGATCCCGAGTTCGGGGGGCCGGCGTTCCCGCAGAAGTATATATTTACGTCGTTCTTGCTCTGTGGACTTGTTGGGGCTTGGCTTGAGTACGAGTGATGAGGAGGGCTTCGAAGTATCATCGGTTCATGGTACTTGGATGTCCGATACGGCACAGCAGACATGACCTGCGCAGAATGAAATCGCACCTCGATCCTTAGATTAAAATTGCACAAATATCATCAAGTGTTGGATACCGTGATGAAACCTTGTGTGGTCTGCACCAAACCCCAAGAAGTCGTGAATGTGAAGATTGGACGACAAGCTTGAAATGCTTCGTGGCCGGATCGTTGGGTCGTGTTACGTTACAAGCTGAAGTCACCACACCACGTCTTGTCCAGTTTGCTTTCTGACAAATGAAAAGAAGCACGATTGGTAAGGGTTGTAAGACATTGATGGCGGTCCACGCATGGGTCTCCGGCGAGCCAGAGCTTTCGCGATCTCGGACTGTGAGCCTGAATCCTCCTATAGAAGTGGCTTGCTGTGTCAAAACGTTATAATGATGTATGACGGTGAAACAACGCCTGATTATGCAAGGCTTGTATCCATATTGAGTCCGGCGAGACAGGCAAAAACGTTGTGTACGCAATGGAAAGTTTCTAGAACAATTGGGTAAGCCAGAGCAGCAACATGCGCCTGCGAATGTGTTGGCCGCCTAAAACCGTCGAGATGCGCTATTAGGCCATGTGCGCTGCAACTTGGAGGGTGATGAGCTGTCGCTAAAGGTGCCTAAAAGGTGCAAAGCATACATATATGTGCATCCGAGATTCCAGGACGGAAGAGAACAAGTTCGTCTCCCCTTTGAGAGTTGAGTCCAGACCATATGTACTGCTGCACTGCATCAGTCGGTATAATAGCGCAATGCGTTTCTGTTGACATCCGCGAATACGATTAAACGCGCAGCACCCGGACAGCAGCAGTAGAGAGACTTGTGCTAGCCAGGCAGCCGCAGGGAGGTGCACACAGTGTAAGTGGACGTGCTCGGACACGCGACCGGGTTCGCGGATTGCTCAGGTAAGCTTGTATTTCGAGTGTCCAGGTCCAAAACGGGAGTGAGATCCCCTCATCCCCGGCAGTGGTCAGGGTCAAGATCATCGCTGCCCATTGGTGTTACGCACACAGGCCTGTAGCCTGTTCGGATGCCCTGCATTCGGCTGCAGCACGCTAGAGTCAGCAGTTCAATGCTGTTGGTTGCCTGAGTATCCACGAGGTTGGAGCAAGAAGGCATAGTGCACGATGGGAAAGAAGAAGGGCGTGTGATTGCCAGATTGCAGCATATGAAGTGCGTTGGTGCATTCGTTCGATATCTACATATGCTCAGTCTTATGGGATGAACAGAATTGGCTAACCTGACTGGCGGAAGCGCATCAAATATAGTGCTACCTAAGTAAAGCTTCAGCTTTGCTTTGTGGTTTCAGCGCCTGGGCGGAGCCACACGCGCCAACGGCCACGACATACCTCCTCTGCCTACAGTGACCATAGGCCAGAAGATGCTACATATGCTACACATGTGCTCTAGGTTAACCTAACCTGGGTATGTATGTATGACTTGTAGTCTAGGGGAACTCTAATAGCGCCCTATACACCCCTCGTTGGGCCCCTATGTACTCAAGAAGCATCCCTAAATCGCCATCCCAAAAATTCCATCACGTCTCAAGGAGTTCCTTACTTCCTTAAGCGAAAGACCCAAGCCGACAAAGGGCACCAATTGGTGACAAGCGACAAGCGACGAGCTTGCATACATACAAACGACTTTGAAGCTGCAGCGGCTTTCACTTCAACACATGCAAGCAGACCTTCATCCGCATCACAATTGGCCCCAACTTGCAAACGTTTCTTGCTCATTCACTAGCACTGTACATTTTGTCTTGACTCGTGACAAACTCACGGGACCCGGCCGCCTGTCATCATCATATCGACTTCACTGCGCACCCATCCCGCCAAATCAGCCCGGTTCAGTATAAGCTGAATTTTCTTATTTGCGAATCACATGCCTTTCATTCTTACATCTGCTTGACCGACTAAGTGGTGTTACACACTTCTAGAATTCGAGAGGTACCTCTTGGGAACAGCCACCAGTCGCATCTGCGACTACAAATGCAACTGCCAGTGCCACTGCAACTGAACCGAAGCGAAGCTATCTACTGGATAGATTCTCCAGCTCCCCAGCTCCAGCTTCAGCTCCAGCTCCAGCTCCAGCTCCAGACTAGCTCCAGCCAGAAGTCTCAACCGCCGCCACAATTACAACCACAAGCTGCCAGCGGCGACATGTTACTGGGCATCACAAAGGAGCACGAGATCACTAGCACTTCTTCGCCCTCCCCAAACATATCTCTCTAGCACCCATCATTCCTCTTGAGATCTCCCCCCTCAAATACCCAGCCTTCTACCGAAAAGAGTCCATCCAACGGCGCATTGCCACAAGACTAGGGGAGTCTACCCGCCATTGCATCCCCCCGTGTAACAACAGCCTTTCCCTCATACGCCATCGAGCTCAAGCTTGTCCTACCTCTCGTCAAGAACCCAAGATTCGGTCTTCCGTCCACCCATCATGGAAGACCAACTCGACTCGATAGGTGGTGCAGCCTTGTCGGGAGCTGCCCAATTCCTCAGCACATTCGCATCTGGCGAGACCATATCACGAGCCACATCCCCAGGCATCCCCGGCTCGGATGCCGGCGACGACACTAAGCGATACCGACCGAGAACTTTCTCATACTTCGATCTACTGCCATATCCTGTGGAAGAGGAGGCTCAGCGCGATGCCGCACTCCAGGGTATACTGAAGCAGCTATACATTGCTATAAAAGCCGAAGATTTCTCGCCTGGCGCGATTCACTGGACAAGACAATTGCAATCGTGGCTCAGTCTCAAGTTCGACATGCCGAGAGAGCTACGGGCCAACCTCGCCCAGCTCTATTTCCACCTCTCTCTGGCTCCTGGGCTCGATAACAGCTCCGCCGATCGCTTCTCCAGGATGGTGTCCGTCCTGGCCAAGAGGAAGCATTTACTCAAGCCAATAGATGATCTGACACTTGACTGGAAACCGATATGGAAAGAAATCAAGTCGTTGGTGCTACCCGGAGAGGCTCCTGCCCATCATTCTTCCCGTAGGAGGGGACTCAAGAACATGTGGAGGCTATGTCTACAAGCATCCATCTATATTGACCCCAGAGAACGGCGCGCTATGCTCGACGAGATCCTGCCCTACTTCAGCACCTCGGACCTGCAGAATGCCTACATTGTCGTTGGGGCGCTCAATATCCTCGTACCCACGACGCCATGCCCCCCAACAGAACCCCAATCACAACCATCTGATTTTGTCCCTACCTTCTTCCATTTGTGGTCCTTGAACACCAGATCAAAGGTATTTGACAATGTCTTCCTCGATATCTTCTCGCGAATGGCTAGGGATTACTTGTCATGCCAGCACGTACCTTTCTCCGAGCACGGCATCTTCGCCAGAGAACAGTCCGATCTGATCTTCACAGCCATTTTGCGCCTAACAGAGATTCCAGTAGGCCAGGCCAACTCACCTTACACGAATTTGGATTATTCCTCTGGTCTGGGCCTCCTTTTGGAGAAAGACAAGAAGAAGTATCCCATATCATACACTATTGCACGATTCATCGTATCATCGCTGTCTCCTCAGTGTCTAGACAAGAATAGTTCGATATTGGACAGCCTTGAAGGGCTGATGGAATCTATCGACACGTTCTTCCACCCATCCAACCAAGGCGCCTGGACCCAGATGCTTGCCCAGCTGACATTCTATCTTACGGAGATGTTTGTGTCACGATGGAACAAGGAGCAGAAGAGTGAGCAAGACACTCCCGCGGATCGACGTCTTAACGATGATCTCAAGAAGCGCTTCGTGTTGAGTTTGCGGGAGGTTACGTTCATGGGTCTGTTTGGCAAGAGTACCAAGGTCACCAACATGTACTTCGGCTCTCTCCAGAATCTGACCTACCTTGAGCCTGGCTTGATGCTTCCTGGTGCCCTACAAAGATTCTACCCCAGCTTGCAAGGTTTGGTTGAAGTCCATCGTACCACATCTAGTTTGTGTGGTCTGCAGATGGTTGCAAACATCATGTCCAAGCAAAAAGGATTCCGCTGTCATCTTACCGCTCTTCTCGCTCTCGCTCTGCCGGGTATTGATGCCAATGACCTCAACAAGACCCAGTACACGTTGAACTTTATTCAAAGCGTTGCCTATAGCATTCCTTTCGTAAATTTGACCAAAGCAAACTCAGATGTCCATGACACAACCTTGGCCATGCAGTGGGTCCAGGGCGAGATGGAGCGCATGGAGCGTGAAGGACAGGATGTGAAGATCGATTACGAGAACGAACTGTCCGACGAAGACGAGGCAAGCATCGTTCGATCTTCAACCGCAGGCTTTGGCGAATTTATCATCTCCCTCCTCGGCAAGGTCTTCACCCTGCTTGAAAATCTGCCCGACTCTTCGCATCTTCGGACAGGCTCACCAGAAGACAACATCATCAACACATTGCCTGCAGCCCTTACGCCACTCTTCGCCTCCCTTTCCCCTGAGCTGTTCGAGATAGTCTTGGATAAGTTGGCGACATTTGTCTCAACACATGTTGTGCATCAAGCTCGGGATAGTATGGCATGGATCTGCAATGCGTTATGCAAGGTCAACCCAGAAAAGACGCTCAAATTATTCCTTCCGATGCTTATCGTGAATATCCGCAACGAGATCGATTACAATGGTGCAGCCTCTGATCGAAGTAGTGGTACAGAAGTTCTCCCCCGAGACCGAGCTCTTGTATGGCACGTTAGCATTTTGAGCATGTGTGTCGTCCATGTTGGCGGCGAAACCCTCAAGTACAAGAAAGAACTTTTCGAGATTGCGCAGTACATGCAGGAGAAGTGTCGTGGCTTACCGACTCTACACATCAGTAACTTCATTCATCACCTTTTGCTAAACCTGACGCATACCTATCCCATTGACAATGCCCTGTACGAACCCGACGTGATCAAGCGTGGCTTAGATGTGGATGACTGGGGCCGAGCAACAGACCCAGCAAATCTGACGATCAAGTGGCATCGCGCAACTCCCGAAGAGCTGCAGTTTGCTGTGGAAGTCTTCCAAGCTCAAGCTGAAGGTGCAATGCAGCGACTTGAATCTTTCATGAGCGATGACGCGCCCGTGAGCAGAAAGGGCAAGAACAAGGAGTGGTCTGATGAGGTTTCACGTCAACTCAGCCAGATCCGTCTTGTCATATCAGGTATCGCGACATTATTCGACCCAAAACGCGCCTCAGGAGAAGTAAATGGTCATGTCAATGGTACTACTAATACCGATGCCGAAGGCGATGATGAAATGAAGGATGTCGATGAGGAGGAAGATCCCTTGGCCGAGGCGGGCGAGGACGATGAAACTAAGCCCCAGTACAAGTACCAGAGCGGATACCTGCTCAAGCCTGAGGATCCACTCTACAGTCGCATTCATGACATTCGTGACAATATTGGTCGACTGCTTTCTCGGACACACTCATTCCTTAATACGCACCAAGCAGATGATGTTTCTTGCTTCACCGCTCTCTACTCCACATATAGAATGTGGATCACAGATGTTGGCTTTGAGAGGTCAGCACACCCACTCGAACGTCTGCAGAGACTATACAAAGCGGATGTTGGTCCCTTCAAGATTAGTGCCCTACGCAAGGCCTACCCTCGTCCCTTGCTCATCAAGCGTGCTGATGCGTATCACTTGCAACGAGCGAAGCACAATGCCTCGGTACGTAACAAGAGCGACCTCGACAAGAGACTTCTCCTGGACCTAGCAGAGTCGTGTGTCTCTCCATATGCAGATGTCCGGCGAGTCGCGCAAGGCGCTCAGGACGCTTCGCTCAAAGTTCTCATAGGAGGACGCCCTCTGGTCATACCCGTTATTCTGGATAAGTTCCGTAAAGCATTGGCAGAAGTAGACCATGACCGAATCAAAGGGTCCATGTACACGCTTTTTTTCACAAGCCTCCTGAAGACTATGATGAGAGACTGGAGGTTTGCACCTGATCTGATGCGGCTGTACATTCAAGCAGCTGGCGTTGACAAAACCTCCATCCAGAACCTCGGCTCCAGTGCTCTGTATCCCATGATAGAGTTTGGGAAGCGCTTTGAGCTCATGGTTCTCTTGGATGACGACATTGTTAGCCTTATTGAGCCATCCGAGGATTGTTCAAAACCCATCACGTCGCGCCACAACTTTATCCTCGAACGCAGAAAGAAGGTTGAAGCCAGGAAGGCCGAGCTTGGCTTAGAGCTGGTCAAGATAGCCAAGGGATCGCACTGGAAGACAGCGAGCAGGTGTGCCATTTTTGCAACAAATCTGTGCCTACGTTTCGACACAGTTGCGCCGCCAGAGTTCATTGAGCTGGCAGTCAGCGGCGCGAATGATCAGCACCCTGGTCTTAGAAGCGGGTTCATGACTGCCTTCTCCAATATTTTCACAGTGATTGACCAGCGCGCAGTCTACAACCACTCTTACAGAGATTTTCTCGAGGAGAAGGAGAAGGACTCAAACAAGATCACCGTGACCGTGCCAAAGGGTGATGTAGCATACACGGAGAAGTTCCTAGATCAGTTTACACATCCTCAAAATGCCGAATACTACGTGGACACAGATCACGTTGGGTGGCTTGTATGGGGAAAGAAGTTCTCAGCATCAAAAGCTAAACCGAATCGATTTGACGACTACGATGATGTTGAAATCGCTGCACGAAAGCAGATTGGCGAGCTCCTCACCAGAGAGTGGCTTGCGAAGTGCTTCGAGCACATGAAGCAGGAACCGCGCGATACCTCTTCGGATAGGTTCAGAAGTCAGAACGTCATACTCTTGATGCACGTGTTCGATTTGATGAACTATGAGCAAACGGCAGTGAAATTCGAGGATGTGAAAGAGCTGACATTAGAGATCTATGGTGACGGTTCGGACAAGCACCAACATCGAGCAACAGCTGAGATCATCGGCGCCATGCTGGCTGGCTCAGCTGACGATCCAATCGATATGCGGGATCGTGCGTGGGGCTTTGCTCAACCTCTAATGCTGAAGATTTTTGCTGACAACCTGACGCCCGAGAACCTGAGCTACTGGAGCACATGTCTGCACTTTATCATCGATACCAAGGATCCTCGCCGTGCCCATGAATTGGTTGAGAGCCTTAGCTCCTTCCGCCTCGACATGTCATCTAACGCGGCCTTCAAGGAGTCATCCAAGGTCCTTCTCCTTGAAATCCTGATCAATGACTGCGGATGGCATTTCCGCCGCGAGAAACCGATTCTTGAGGACTTTCTCGCTCACATTGACCATCCGTACAAGTCGGTGCGAGAATCAATCGGTAGAGTCATTGCCACTATCTATCGCACAAGATATCACGAATCTTTTGAGAATGTCTCTGCATTACTCGAAAAGAACAAGACGGAATCCACAATTGGCATAAGACCTTATCGACCTTCGGAAGAATTCTCGTCCACCATGAAGGAAGTCTTTGGTAGACTAGAGAAGTGGAGACATGAGCGCGAGCCTGGACAGCAGACGCCTTCGTCGTACACGTCTGGATCAAAGACGGTTTTGACGTGGTTGGACAGCACGTTATCGTCCCAGGAATGCACACAGCTGGTCTCGTTCTTCCCAGACCCTTTTATGGATCAACTTCTTCACATGATGGACGTCAAAGAAGACCCAGAGCTCATGAGACTTGCCTACCACGTCTACCGCCATCTGCCCAACATTCCTTTCCGATCTGGCGAAGATGATGCATTCATCAATGCTCTGATTCGCATCGGTAAGAGTGCTACATCATGGCATCAACGACTGCGCGCCCTGGTCAACATGCAGGTCATTTACTTCCGACGTCTATTCCTGACTGGACCTAATCAGCGCGAGCTTCTTTTCGATGCCGTGGGCGATATGCTTGCAGATCCCCAACTCGAGGTACGAACAGTCGCTGGCGCCACACTTGCCGGGATGATTCGGTGCTCGCCGGCTGCGATTCGTAATCCAATCATCAAGATATTGAAGAAACGTTTCGAGTCACAGCTAGCCAAGAACCCCATGCCGAAGAAGAAGCTGCCCGGTACAGACACTCCAGTGAACCAGACACAGCAAGTCGTTCGGAGACATGCAGCTGTGCTTGGTTTGGGATCGTTAATTGAGGCTTTCCCATATGCCACGCCACCGCCGTCATGGATGCCTGAAGTCCTTGCACTTCTTGCGAGGAAAGCAGCGAGTGACCCTGGTGTTGTGGGCAAAGCAACCAAGAGCATCTTGAGTGAGTTCAAGAAGACGAGGCAGGATAGTTGGGGAGTTGACCAAAAGGTGAGTATCTCCGGATTTACGGCGCGACAAAGGCATGAACAAGAGCTAATATTTGATCTAGTACTTTACCTCTGAACAATTAGAAGATTTGGAAGGTGTGCTGTGGAAGAGCTACTTTGCATAAGCAAGCACGAGATGAGGACGAACCATGAGCGTATACGATTTTATGGCATTGTAAGCAGGCTACAGAGTTTGGCGGGCACCCAGGCACAGAACATCTTTCCATTCGCAACGATACAATGCTACATAGTAAAGACGAGTAAGTTGAGGGGCACCGCCACTTTTCGTGGCGCTTATGAACAGCCCGCCTTTTGAATCGCTCAAGGTCATACGATATGGAACGCCCGAGAGGCCAGCGGCCCCCATTAGAATCCAGAGGGCCATGATGATATCCCCTGTCAATAGAAAGATAGCGGCGTTTGACAGACGTCGACTTGTGTAGTATAGTCATGATAATCATGCACTTCTCTCGCCCTGCGGATCATGAGCTATCTCTGTGAACAGATTGCGTTGGCGTGTGCATCGCCAATTTGAAGTGAAATATGCCTACGCCTATTCAAGGGTCAAGAGTCAGTTTGACAATATAGACACTGTCATCAAAATATCCACCTACCAAGGTCATTATGAAAATTAGTATATATTGAATTAGGGATCCGAGACTAAGAAGAGGACATGAAACCGCTTCATAGGCTGCGGCGCATAAATCCTTGCGCATTCCTAAAGCAGCTTTTCTTTTTGTTGGCAATTACATAATTAACACCTAGTCTAGTGAAGATTCGCCGTGCCCAACGTTACTCTCCACCACTTTCATTCTCAGCGTCATCCCCACCCTTTTCATCGTGCTTCACTTCCTTTGTTTTCCTACAAGATGGAGACACCTTTCGACTTCATCGCCAAACAAAATGCCGAGGATGTAAATATTGCATTTTCCTACTAGGTGATTGACGCTAAACATGAGATCATATCATTTGTCGACAGGCGCCTTGGCTGGAACAAGGCCGGAGAATTTCTAGACTACTTCAATGGCTCGTTTAATCTTAGCATCGCCGCCCGGCATGGCAAAACCCACGAGTGCGCTCTTATTCGCTTCCCAATCCCGGGCAATTTATACGGATCATGATTGAGGGGAAGGTCAAAAACGAGGTTATGATTATGAAATACCTTTCCCAGCATACAACTATCTCGATTCCATGATAGGCGAGGGAAAGGAGGAGCTCTTGTTCCTCTTCAAGCCGCGGAAGGAGCAGTTTATCCGTGCAATGGAGCGGGCAGAAGATGCATCAACCATATCAGCGGGAGAGCAGCGTCTTTCAGCTCGAATGTGGGATTCGTGGGATATCGGGCGTTTCTGGTTCAACCTTGCAGCACGTAGCAGCTTTAATGTGGACGAAGTCTACTGGAAGTGTCTACACAAGGAGGGTTGAGGCGAGGCGGTGCTGGACGAGACAATACTTGCTAAGAAGTGCGAATTCCTGAATCGGAAGAAGAATCAGTTCAATGCGTACTGGGATGAGAAGCGAAGTGACACGCGCTTTGCTATATAACCCTTGCGTAGCAGGATAGAAATGGACACTGTCCTCCTCGTTATGTCTTCTCAGGAGCTACGCCTAGGAGGGCATGATGAATGACTGAAATCTTTACATAGAGCAAAGCAGATGTCACTATCGCAGCGTGAAAGTAAACATAATGCCATGGGATATTGGGGCCGAGCGTTCGAAATTGCGTAGAGGTCCTAAACTAAATAACGAGGCTGCTATATTCCCCGCCAATCACATGTTCGCGCTTTTGATGCTCCTCGTGGGAGATCTCAGCCGGATTGCCTCTTGCGTGGTGTAAGATGTCCTTCATTGAGGCACTATGGTCTGGATTCGGCATCTTTCACCTCTTGCCATTTACATTATTATTCTATAAAGCTACTCAATCGAAGGTACTGTATTGACGACCAACCGTATGGAATCATAAATGATAAGGCAAGTATATCTTCACAGCGTTACATTGGGACTTAGGTGGGTGATTATCAAAGAATCTTTGGTGTTATATGTTCTTTATCTGTGTTAGGGTCGGTAGAGCTCGTGAACGGATAGCAAGCATAGGAGAGGCTTTATTCGAGATATGGGAGAAGTAGGCAGGTGTCGGACCACAAAAAGCCATACCTGTTACAAAATAGAGGATACTTTAGCTATTATGAATGGTTACAAAACCAAACAAACCATTCGCCCAAGTCAATCAGGCTGCTCAAAACAAGATGTTCTATATTGAGACCACCGTCTTCGTATGCCTGCCACGCATCCTACAAACGAAGCCGGAATTCGTTGGAGCATTCGACTCTAAACTACTAAAATGCGAATCGACGTTTTAATATCTGCGGTTGTTGTCGTGTTCAGTATCTTAACTCTCAAATGCGATCAAGTAGCTGACAAATACGCTCGGTGAGCTGCTCAGGAGTAAAAAGCTTCTATTATCTACACATGGAGCACGGAAGTATAGAAGCTAACTATGTCGGTCCTGGTGGTATTTGCTCGTCAAAATTGGGCCATGGGTTCAGTATGAGTCTATGCGACCGATGGATTGTTTGTTCAAGCTCTTGCGATATTGTACCGTGCGCTTTGCAAACGAGTATGAAGTTGGCAGCGAATGGCACCTGTCGGAAGCGCGGAACGCTTACGTGGTGGTAATGATAATTCAAAGAAATGACATTCACTTCCTCGGCATTAGTTGGGACAGGTGCCGTCTTGTAGGCTAATTGGGAAAAGGGCATGGGTTGTGAGTCACTTTTGTCTTATGTATACATTATAACTGGCAAGTACGTATCTTTATGGTCTCAACTACAACAGAGAAGTCTCTATTAGTGGTATCTGTCTATACGTGCCGCGGCCACACCTATGGAATTCCACATGATGTCACTTTGTAATGCCTACTTTCGAACCATTATTGCCCCCCTGATTGAGCCACCCAATAGACCGGGCCACTTGGGTCTCGGAATTTCATGTACCGTATACTCCTTGGCCATCATTCTGGTACGAGGCGTTGCGGGATCCAACATTGGGTCACTGAGAACTGGTCAGCACATGTCTTCATTCCCGGAGTTGATGCTTACTCGCAACCATATACAGCACCATCTGGTGATGTAATTACGGCTTTGACGGTTTCGTATGTTTCGTATTGGTTCTCCTCTGGGGTTTTCTGGGATGGTTCTCCTATGTAGATTACAGGGCGTGGCAGCTCTGCCAAGATCTCGCGCATCGGGAAATTAGGAGTGTTGCTGTATACGATTGACTTGTCGTCGATTAGGGTGAAACCGGCGGCTCCATAATCGCCCACGACTTCGAAGCCGTTTTCACCCAGTACGGTCTTGTCAATGTCTAGGTACAGCGGATCCTGTGCGAACAGACGGACCTGTCTCTTGTGCTTCTCCTCTATGAGCAGTACGAGGCTTCTTGCAAAGATGTGCTGATCCAGACGGCAAAAAAACTCCTCTGACGCATCTGGTGTATCATCCATCTCCATGTCCAGGTCGCCCAAGCCAAAACAGATCATCTTGTCAACTTTCTCGAGAACGGTAGTCTCCGCAACGAATTGTTTCAAAAACTCGTACATCTTGCTCTGCTCGAACTCCTTGGTGCGACATCTGAATGCGTTTGACAGTCTTTGAACGAACTCCGGAGAGCCCTCCTTCTCACAGTCTTGGTTACACGATCCATAGCCAAGAAAGTGATAGGTTTCGAATGCAAATGTTGGGGCCCAAGTGGCGTAGGGCTTGATGAGACTTCGGTAGCCATGGAAACCGACAACAAATTTCCTGTTCTCCGACTTAGTGGTTTATCTCTCAGAAGAAAATCTCTTGACCTTGCGATCATCGTACTTTGGCTTAATTTGTCCCGGATACCTAGTAGCTGCCGTCCGCTCCACCCCGTCGATTCCATGGATAATTACCTCCAAAGGATATGATGCCGCTTGCTTCTCGGCGTCGAGCAGCATTTCCCGGGTCCAGAGAGGCTTTCCCTCGTCGTAGAGCCTCGAGGCTTGTTCCTGAACATCAAGTTCCCTTGAAGTCCATAGGCGAGGATGATAGGGTCTACGAAAGGTAGCGCTCCAGAAATCTTCCAACCTCTCCTTTACGCTCTCGTCGTTCATGATAGTAGGTGCCTTGAGCAACACGACTGTGCGATCATTTGGTAGCGGTTGCTCCTCTCCAGCAGTGGTAGAGCTTTTCTTCTCTTGGGTAGTCATTGTGGAGATTATTCTTGACGTTTATGCTTCTATTACGTATGGGAGTGCGTACGAGTCTTTTGGTGTTTCTGGGTAGAATGAATTGTTTGGGGTTCTTGACATGTCTAGGAGTCATCAAAGTTCTGTTTAAATAGAAACTTAGGAGGAACCGTGATTCACGGGTTGCCAGTTACCGGTCGAGTATTACCTCTGATCCAGACCATGGGTAAGTGATCACTCTGAACCATACACGGCAGTCCATTGTGGTGATATGGGATCGGCCTAAAGAGTGATTCATCTTGCTGTATCTTCTCACCTGAATTTTGCAGCTCATTTATAGTGCTCCTTTGATGCGAAGCAAGTTTTTGCATTCACAAGTGATCGTACATGTTCCTGTTACAATCAAGCTTCTTTAAGCCTTATGTACCTTACATGGTCGTTCAATGGTGACTATAGCGACCAACGCTACCGGGTGGGACCCCTGAAACCTGCATCAAATCAGTGGAAGCCAACGCTAATTGTGGTGCAGCACCACAACCCTTAAAATCAGGTATTACAGCGGTCGTCGAGTTTGTCATTGTCAGTGTCTCAATTGGCGCTCTCCAAGCCGCACAATGGCTTCGCGGCCAATTCACCTTGAGGATGCATCCACAGTACCTAGTCTAGAAACCAACCTCTAAAGACCTGAAAATGCCGACAGCAAAGATGGGACGAATCAGTACTTACGCTCTGTTCGGGTACATGTATCCTTGAACCCAAACTGTTTCGGGCAGGTACCGCAATTTCTACGGTTTCTGGCGAGCCCTGATTTGATTAGGCCCGAACAATTCGTGACTGGAACAGGGGCTTGCCTTACTGCAACACCCCTAACAACTGAAATGGCCATGGAGATCAAATTGCCCGCATCGTTGAAGAAGGACTCCTCTATTGTGATCATCGGCGCTGGAACCTGGGGCACTGCAATTGCTTATCGATTAGCTAAGCGCGGGTACACGAAGGTAACTGTCCTCGACTCGTACGAATTCCCCTCCGCTGTGGCCGCGGGAAATGACGTGAACAAGATTCTGGAAGAAGGTACGGCGATGCGAAGGGTTCTCAGGCCATCTCGCTGACCACTTGCAGCCTATGAGCCACCATCTCAAGATCAGGATGATCGGTCATACGCTTGGGCTGTCATCGAGCACATGGCGACCAAGATTTGGAAAGATGACCCAGTTTACTCAGCTCACTACCACAACACGGGCTTCATCTATGCTGCCGTTGGTGATGACGCTTACGCGAAAGTCAAGGAGTCTTGTGACAAGACACCAGAAATCTATGAACCTTTAGAGGACGCAGCAGCAATCAAGGCTACAGCGCCAGATGGTGTCTTTAAGGGCGACTTTGACGGTTGGCGCGGCTACATTCGAAGAAATACTGCCGGTTGGGTCGAGGCTAGAGACACAATCATCGACACTCACGCCGAAGCTACAAAGATGGGTGTCAAGTTTATATGCGACCCCGTCAAAGGCAAGGTGTTGCGGTTCCTTTACTCCGACGCTGGAGATGTTACCGGCGCGATGACCGCAGACATCGTCAAACATGAAGCGCATACCACAATCCTTGCTGCTGGTGCATCGAGCTCATCTTTACTTGACTTCCAGGATCAGCTTCGCCCTACTGCATGGACTCTGGCGCATGTCGCTCTTACGCAAGAGGAGATACAGTCAGGCGCTTACAATGAGTTGCCCGTCTTGTATGGTGTCGACAAGGGCTTCTTCATTTCGCCTCCGAAGTCCGAATTCGCAGCCGGGACGCCGGAACTGAAAATTTGTAATGAGCATCCTGGATTCATTCACTTAGTCAGCGACGGTATTTCTCGGTTTCCAAAACCGGCAGTGATGCAGCGCCATGCAATACCTTTGCCTGCCGCGGAAGACATGCGCAGTTTCCTCAGAGGCACTCTGCCGCATCTTGCCGACCGGCCTTTGCTTCGTCCACGGCTTTGCTGGGATGCAGATACACCCGATAGACTATTCTTGCTGTCGCGACATCCGCGACACCCGAGTTTGTTCATCGCGGCCGGAGGGTCCGGAAATGGATTCATGTATTCGCCTGCGGTCGGTATGCTGGTCGTCGATCTAATCGAAGGTCAAGTTGAGGACAGGCTGGCGAAGACGCTTGGCTGGCGCCCCGAGACGGCTGAAGAGAGAGACTGGTTTGATGTCCAAGGCCGTTATGGCGGTACTGGAAAAGTTGTCGACTTGAAGGCTTTCAAAGACGATGAATGGACGTCTGGTACTGGTTGATGGGGTTCTACTCGTTGAATCAATATCTGATAAATACTTCTAAAAGTGTTATAGGCTAAGTTTCAGCGCAGCGAGCACATAAGTGAGGATCGATCGATTCTGCCAGTGCGTATATCAGGAGTCATTTAGGAAATCTATGAAGCCATAACTAGATTGAACATCGTGCAACGATGGTCGAAACTCCGCTTGAGAAGTTCAACCTTGGATAACTCAATTTACGGTACCCACTTCGCTCTTGTCAGCACTCTCATGTAGGACCGTTTGGTCATGTTATCTAAGAAAGTCGGATTTTTGACTCATGGGTTGTCGGATAATGTTACTATTTAGGTGGCCCACCGAGCCAGGACGGAGATGAGTCAGTTCAGGCCTTATCGGAGTCCTCCGGTTTTAGAAACCTATAGACTGTTACGATACAAATTTGCATCAACAAATCATAGCCCGGATGGTTTAGTGGTATAATTCTCGCTTAGGGTACACCCAAGCAATTTGCGAGAGGTCCCCGGTTCGATCCCGGGTTCGGGCCCAATCTTTTGATTTTTGGACAATCTGAAGTCCTGAATTCACTTCTGCTTTGTCCTGTTTTTGAGAAATGCATCTTTTTGTCGTTTCGAGCCTGCTACGTCCTGAAGTGGTGCAATTTTAGTGAGCTCATTGCCAATTGATTCATTGTGCGCCCCTAAAATATAGTCTTTCAAGTGCTTTCCAGCTGTTGGTCCGGCATCGGCAGCTGCTGGACCTTGCAGGGAGCCGACGACACGCTTAGGCATCTCAATATTGCAAAAATGGACAGAGCGTACTTGTAATATTCGTTAACGAGAACAAAAACTTACAAAACGTTTACGGGGCATCAAGTAAATCCTGTAGTCATGGCATCAGAAGACACCAAGATCAAAGCACACATCGAAAGCCTGGTGGCTAACAACCTGCCCCGCTCACCCATTTACAATTTCCTGCTCTCAGACGTCCGGATACATGCCGCGACCAAAGGCAACGTCAAGGCCCGCCTCACACTGACCAAAAACCACATCAACTCCGGCGGCGGCATCCATGGCAGCGTCTCTGCGACGATAGTGGACTGGGCTGGCGGCATGGCCATCGCGACCTGGGATCTCCGCGAGAGGACAGGTGTTTCCGTGGACATTCACGTGAGATACTTGAGTTCGGCCAAGGAAGGGGACGAGATTGAGATCGAGGCGGCTGTGGACAAGGTTGGAGGCTCGCTCGCCTTTACCAATATCATCATATCTAAGGTCGTGGATGGCGAAGTGGGGCCGATCGTAGCCAAGGGGACGCATACAAAGTATGTGAAGCAGCGATCGTGATGGGAATGGGCCCTGGCGTATAACGGTTTTTCTTCTTCGTTTTCCTTTCTTCGTTTTCCTTTCTTCGTTTTCCTCTCTTCATTTTTCGGACACGTCGTTTAGACAGTGGGTTTCTCTGGTTAATAGAGCTGTTTTCTTCATCACACGACGGGTTGCCCGCCCGTGGCGAGTGCGCTTACAGCCTTATCCGGGTGGACGAGAAGAGTGTATCTCGGATGCTGAAAATGTGGCCGCTTTGGGTTGTTAACTCGTGAACTCGTGCAGTCCTTGTAGGTTGCGTTCCGTTTTCAAGCGGTAGTCGTGACCAGTGCCCAGCAACTAATCCTAGGCCATCAGGCTAGGGGGTCTAGATGTTCTGTTCCGCAATATTAGACACGTGTATATATCAGGTCAACTCGCGCTTCCTAGATTTGACTTTCGACTGCTCTAGATTCTCGCAAATATAGCCTACCATTAAGCAAGCAAATAAGTGGCTCTCAATAATCTGGGCTGATCCATATGAATCCGAAGTGGCTTCGGACAGGCTGCGATATGATTGGCACACATGACTTCCTATGAACTCTCCTTGGTCTGGTTTGTGTATCCATATAGTGTTGATAACGATACGCCATTGCTTGAGACGCAGCATGCAATTGCCAATTAGGGATGCTAAGCTTGGGCCAGGGATCAAGGTTTTACGAGCCGTGTTGAAAGATGAGGTTATCGGTTGAGCTTGTTCAGTGTGGCTGCAAGGGTGAGGCCCTTTGGTCACACTGGCCATGGTAGAGCGGCGAGTAAGATCCTGCCGCGAACGCCCAAATGTCATGTCGATGCATTGCATCGTCTTGGATATATGATAGTCCACGGACAAGACAAATGCTATTGCGCCCGCGTTTTCCCCCTCCACCTCGGCGCACTCTTCGCAGGAGGTCGCACACTCAACACGCCGCACTGCTCTGCAAATGCACACGCGAACTGTTGACTCCAGGACGAAATATTAGATCCTGTTTACGAGGACTGGGAAGATTTAGCTAATCTCGGGACTTGGAACCCCCACATCGAGGGTTTGCTAGCCAACCAGGCTCTACCGACAGACTTCTGCATTCATGCAAGTAGGGATGGCGCATCACCGGGCCGGTTTCTAAGAACGAGTTAGCATATTACTGTCAGAAATATCATGAGTGTGGAGAACAAAGAGGAGTCGATCCAAGTTTGCTGCTTATAATACAGCGTTGTAAGGCAGTCTAATGGCCGTAAAGCGGGCGGGAACCAAAGATCTGCTCGCCTTGGTACTGCTATGGACACTACCAAGCGACAAAACCAGTCCGCCTGGTACAATTGGACAACTCAGTGCGTCAATCGTGAGTCGAAGTAGCTATTGTGAGAAAATTCAGCTTGTTTTGGAACACTTAAATGCATGCTTTGAAAACCTACGTGATGCGCGTTTGAGCGAGATCCGCTACACTACCGGCGCCTAGTCCACAACAGAACAACACGAGTAAACAAGATGCGAAATTACATATGCAATAACAAGACTGAAAATTGTTAATTTAGTATTGATTCACAAATAGAAAACTTGATTCAATCGGACCACTCAGGTTTAGGAGGACAACGACTGTTTTATAGGGCTCGTCACTAGGTCTGTCATTGAGATGATTCATTACAAACAACCTGACGACGTTTCGGAAATGTTTGATTTCCAGTACTGATGAGTTTTACTCATACCAATCCAGCACATTGATACGTGTACGACAGATATCTAACGTTTATGACGCGTTGATAGTTAAACATATCTAGAAGGGTGGAGGAGGAAGTTACAGGTCATACGCGACGGTTATGAGCACTTTCTTGGAGACGTTCCTTGCACGTCTTCACTGAAGATACAAGGTTATCGCATCGAACGAATGTTATTTGCAGTAATCGTTATATCGCAGGGATATTCAGCTGATCTATTTCAATGTGTCACGACTGCTTCCCGGCTCAGTTGTGAGTGTACTTGCATCGTGGGGTGATTCTTGAATACTTGGCTCCGTGTATAAGTGATTCGACTTAAATTGTGTCGAAGATGTCGAGCTCGAAACACCCTGCATCGTATTCGTGAAAGCAGAGGTAGCACGGTGGAGGCGAGATGGACTGCCCCGGAAAGATGATCCGTCAAACGAGGTGTCATGGTATTGGGAGCTGACCACCTTTTGGCTCTTGTCGCATCTTTACTGGCTCTTATACCTTCCAATTGATACTAAGGACGGTCCAGATCGACCGGTGTAATCAGTGAGACCTTTTTGAATGTCAGCTTGCCCAAAATTATTGGGCAAAATAATGGACTGGCCAGGCTCGCACACGCCTGTGTGACCACACGCAGCTCACGTTTCCAAAGATACTCAAGCCCAAAGACTGTCGATAACGTCTTAATATCGACACAAGATGACAAGCTCTCGGCGGTATGTGTAACTCCACGGCACTCTACGTGTGTGGGCTGTCAACGCATCTTGACCTGTCTGTACCTTGGATGCTGAGCGCCTCCCGCGCTATCCTGGAATTGCGGCATGGATTGGGAAGACATCAGTCAACTGTTGCATGGAAATCGCAAGCAAGCTTTAGACAAGATCTCCCCGCCATGGTGTGATTGATCTCAAGCACTTCCCATAGCCTCTCGATCGAACCAGGTGATCCTCTTGCCAGGAACCCACGATGTTTATGCATACTTGAACATGCAAATCATGGGGAATTTCCTGACAGAATGTTTTTCTAATCTCACATACGGGAGGATACGGCCGTAAATGCTATCATTGTGGACAATGGCATAAGTCGGCTCGGACCGTCGCGATACTACTTCGAACCGAGAGCACTTGTAGTGATGATCACGGCAGGTGAGAGCATTTCAAATGATGACACCAGACATCAAACCCAAACTCGCAAAGACGAGACATGTCGCGGCATCCACCCCTCATGTCATGCAGGTAAATATTTATGGATGTAAAATCATCCGTAGGTAAACTTGTCTTTGACTGTGATCTCCCTTTAGAACATCTAGTGCTCAGTGGATGAGCAAGATCAATCTCTTGGCATAACAGTCTAATGGGTGATGGGATGAAAACCAAAGGCCTTACAAATGAGTATGGTATAAGTCCTAGCGTAAGGCGCCAAACTATCATACCTCAACAGTTCATGCGCGTCACCTATGATTGTTCGGATATTAATGGTGGGTCCAACCAGATCACCTTCCAAATTCTGTTACTGAACAATGCCAGTGAAAATCCCGGGCATAAATGAGTAACATCTGGGGTGGTCATTTCACCGATATCAAAAGACCTTGCCCTTAATGCTAAAGGCTAAGCCAAAATTGATGCCAGCTGGCTCGGGTGTGCCGGGGCACAAAATGTCAGCAATGTACAATGAGGGTCGCAAGATCATGCAATATTTCAAAAAGGACCACGGCGGAATGCCCAGACAAGGGGGATTTTATCCAATCGGTTGTGTGGGCTAGACAATTCCAATTGTCAGATGAAGCATCGGAGAATATCTTCGGTACCATATACCGAGAGTCTATGCAAGGGCATAGACTGGACGCATTGTGCGTCAGATCTCGGGTGGCGTGCGGCAGTTAATCATGCAGCAGTGCACAGTGACTTCAAGCTGTGACACTGATGTTGATGATACTCTCCTGGCTGATCAGCCCGTTCTGCAAATGCATGGTCGAAAACCTGGAATTATGGCAGAAGCATGACGATTCCCCGGAAGATCAGATGAACTCGCAACTTTGTGACACACGGAAGCCGGACCGAAACGCGGTACCCCATGTTACCTGATCGACACAGCTGTCAATCGTGCCGTCAAGATCCCTGAAACGAAGGCGCAGTACAGTAAGATGCAGGTGTCTCGTTTACATGATAGGTACGAGGACGACTGCTCTGCATGAGGATCAACTCATTTCAGAGACATTTTGTGACAAATTGTGGCTTGGTAAATTCCCAAAAGTCTGTCGAAATGTGGCATTTATTGGCAACTTGCCAAGCGTTGCAAATGGCGTTAGGCTGCTCAGCAATCACTTTGTCAGCCGTGATCATTGACGATCCCCTCGAGAATGGCGAGATTTGCGAATCGCGTCCAGTCTCTTGTCACAGCAGCTGCTAGAAGCAAGACCCCGGAAGGAATCCGATACGACTGGCTGGAGCTGGGGACAATAATATTTCGACGTCATTGTCAAAGCGGTGGGGAGGTCAGCAGGAACTCCAAAACTTTAGTACTCGCGTCGAACATGTGGTGGTTGATGCCTGCACCGTGCTGATAATTGTTGAAGCTCAATCTTGGATACACACGAGAACATGGCAGAACCTTCCCCTACGCGCCGCACGACAGTGTCAATTTCGACTGTCGAGGAGGATATTGACAAAGTAAGTGCCCCAATCCTCCAAACGCATTTCTAAGCGAGGTTCCAGGGGCCCTCAAAACAGAAGCGAGTGTCAAGGATTAAAGGCATGACAGGGCAGCCGCAGATCACACGGGACCCAACGCCCATAAAAACCCCACCCACGCTGAAATCTTCCGTTGGCTCGTTCCGAAGGGCCCTGGACTTGCATGATGCAGCATGCAAAATCCTGGAGCCCAGCGTCAATCTTCAACTGGCCTTGTCTGCTTATGGGAAATGCGCACCGCAGAAATCGCCAATGTGGTCTTGACCAAAGCCGGGGCGAGTCTTTTTCAACTACATAGCATGATGGCTATTACCAAAGCGTTGAGTTTGACCCGTTGTCGTTGTAACACAGAGTTGGATCGCGAGCTCGCGTAACAAGAGATAATCATCTTGTCTACCAATCCCGACCTCGTCTGTTTGTTCGCCTGCTTCTCCATGTAGTGCGCGGGTTCCCAAGTATTCATGCGAATTGCCGGTGTTATGTGTCAGTATGGAAATCTTGCGGGCTGTTATTAAAAAATGGTCCACGGGACAATATCGTTGGTCGTTCAAGGTATCGGGTTCATTTATGTGGCAGTAGTCGGGCCCAAGGCACGTGGAGATGCGACACATCCGAGGTGAGACACTGCAATCGACCGCCATAAGAATATGGCGCCTGGCGTATATGCAATATGCAAGATCGTCTGAACT